GCACCCTTATAAGGCAATCTTTTATGAAGAAATTTATTTAAGTAACTTATGTAAATACCTCCCCGAGTGGGTGTAACCCCCCCCCCCCCCATCTTCATAGTTTGTGAATTAAATTAAATTAAATTATGCATCATTTGTATTAAAAAGACTTTTCAGAACCGTTATTCTTCTTAAAGAATGGCTAAATCGTTTTCAAATCAGTAAAGTCGCTTTATTTTATGTTTACGCTCGAACTTACGCCTACCCATGGCCATGAGTAGACGTAAAATTGTGGCCTAACTTTAGTCCGGTGTAAAGATACGCTATTTAATGAAACGCAAATCTTTGTGCTAGTCCCGACTTTACGTCGGCGTAGCGCTACGTCTGGGCGTACGACCTTTGATGAAACGGGCCCCTGGACATCTATTCACAAAAAATCGTAAGTTTACGACTACGGCTTGAACTTACGATAATCCTAAGATCTGAGTTACGAACTATTCATGAAAGTGGTCGTAAGATCGACACATTGTCGTAAGTGAAAAACGATCGTAAGATTTTCTCTTCCCTAGTTACCGACAACTGCTCATGCGCAGATGAAGCTATTAATGCGGGAAACCCGATGACGCAATCTTGAACGCAAAGGAATTAACTACGCGAAGTCGCCAATATACCATGATTACGGGTTGTCTCAGTTCCGATTCATTCTTATATATTATTATATTTTATACCATATTGTTTGTTAACAATAAGAAAATTTTGAAAATTAACATTAAGGTTTTTGATAAATTCACTGCAGCAAGACTGATATTATAATAACAAACAAAAATAAATATTAACGTTTTTGTTCACTGCAGCAAGGGTGATTTATAAGTTGTAGGTAAACAACAATAGCTGCAAAGTTAGAAACTTCCATTCAGTTATATCTTGGAAATCATTCATATGATCACTGCTCAAATATATTTACATTGATTAATGATTCAAACTGTAGCAGCGTCTCTTATACCGCATTACATGGAACATTAAAAACTCAACATGCTCAATATTCAAAACTTAACAACAAATTATGTATTTAACTTAGAATTATAAAAATATATATGTTTGGGGGGGGGGGGGGTAGCGTCATACTGAAATCAAGTCTGGAATAAGTACACTTAAAACAACAATCAAATCGCAGGACTTTTTTTTGAAACAAAAAGCTTAATAATATGATCAGAGGTGTGAAGTCATGTTTTTTTTTTTTTTTGTTTTTTTTTTTAGAGAAAAAGAACATGTTAAACATTAATAAAAGGCCAATTTTGGCTAGAAAATGTTCAATATTTATTCAAAGGCCTCTTCTCTAGATCTAGCAATTAGAAAATTTTTGATAAAATCGAGATTTGTTTCTATTGATAAACTCGATCTGAAATGTAATTAATATTCGCAGTCAGACAGTAATTGTAGCTAGGATTCAATTTGGGCATACTACGCGAGGTTGCTGAGATCGTTAACATTAAATATCGCTAACAATTCATTCCATATTGGAGGTTACTCTTTTCTTTCTATGTATTTCACAATCGCTAAAATTACCTCTCATATCGACTTTTTAGGAAAAATCACTAAATTTGCATCTCGCTACAGATTCCATTCATATAGTCTAATGCATGGTGAAATTTTTTCCGATTTATAGTGATTGGGTCACTCTTAAAAATGGTCTGTTTCTAAGACTTAGTAGAGCCCCATTAAGTATGTCTTGGACAATAATTTACATTTCAAAGTCTTATTTTATTTCACTTCCGCAGGGAATTCTGTATGGATTTCAGAATTTCTTAATGTTGTCCGATCCACCATAAGTATTTCAAATGAGTTTCAAGAAATTTACAGATTTTGTATGGATATATATAGAATACTTGAATCTAAGATCTGAGGTACCCGGGGAGACCGGCGTCAAACTTGATTGTATCCACATTTTGATTGGCACAGAGGGCGATTGAAAAAATAATTAAGATGTATTCAAAGTCAGTTGACCACCAGAAATTATTGAAGGCATCATAAAATAAAAAGTTGAATAAAACAAAAATGAAAATAAAATTCTAATGTATATTGTTCAAATTTGCTGAGAAACGAAAGAAAATACATGTGATTAAAATTAATGTAGTTCGAATAAAAAAAAATTTGTTCAATTTGAAACAAAATTGAAGTAATTTTACAAACGATATTGACTGTATAATGCTTGTATCGACAAAGTTTATTCTATGGTACAGAAGTATTTTTATTGACGTTTAAAAACAAGTACATTGTTTTCCTAGTAGCGAATATTTGCCAGCGTCGTATATTTTTTTAAATAAGAATATTCTTGAAAAACATAGTGATGGGTTGAAAAATTTCTATTTAAGTAAATACAATAAAAATATGAATATCATACCCCTTTTTCACACTGGAATTCATGGAAATTGGCCCCAGGACAGGTTGCGTTGATGCGTAGTACCCCCCCCCCCCCTTTTTTTTATACAGAGTTGTCGTTTTCATTGAAGGCCAGCGATTAACCCATACTTTTATAAAATTTAGTTTTGGCAAATTACTTTCATAACTTTAGTTTCAAAAAATTATTTTGTTGAAAAGAGAATATAATCCCCCCCCCCCTTAATTTTTTTTTATATAAATTTTTATTCCTGTCAATTTTTTGCAGGCATTATGTTTTCTTTTTCTTTTCTTTCTTTCTTTATTTCTTGCATTGTCAGTATATTTTTACGGGGGTGTCACTCCCTTTTGACTTCCTCTCTTGGTAAACGGTATCTTTTCTCCGTTGGTCAGTGATTCAAATAGATCTGTGCCGACCCAAAATATTTTTTCCTGCTCCGTTTTGATTATTTTTTTTTACGTGGTGGCCATTTTTATTTTTAGAGTTGATACCATCTATAGTATTTTTAGACTTACGTCAACTGAAGACTAGACGTAAACTTACGACTGTTTTTGACGTAACGTCAAACGTACGATTTTTTGTGAATAACCAAAATCTTAAGAAAATAACTTACGACAATCTTACGACTACGACTGATCGTAAGATATTTTGTGAATAGATGTCCTGAAGATTTTTTTTTCTTATTGAAATGACATCGTCAAAAATAAGCAAATTTTTTCAGGATTTCTAGCAACCTCTTTAGTCTGTAATCTATGATTTTGCTTCCATTATGATTAGGGATTACGAGGTGACCAAACTTCATTTGTCAAATTAATCTGCAGATAGTTATCATACCATATACATGTAGCATTTCGTCAAGGTTTATTCATTTATTTATTTTGGGGGGAGGGGGCACTCAGAGGCAAATTTACTGTATTATAGGAGAACTGGTTTTATTTTTACGTCTGGAAATCCACCTTATGCTCGCAGTTCACTTTCTAAAGAAGATTGTTCAAAATCACATTTCAGTGTATAATACTTCTAACCTAACCAAGGTGATTTCGATCTAACCTTCTTATAATGGATTCCTAAACTTCATAAAAATCCTTACAAACTGAAATACATTGCCGAGATCAGCAAATGCTCTACCAAGCCCATATCTTTACTCCTTACAAAAATATCAACTGTTTTTAAGGAGAAACTTCAGACGTACTGTGCTACAGCATTTTCTAGAAGTACGTCCATACAACCATTCCTCACAATAAATTAAAACCAAGTCTTTTTGATATCATAGACAACTACTTCTTTAATACAAATTGAAGTCGGAAATTTTCGTATCTTGTGAATGGTCATCAACAAAATTACTTTATTAAAAGACTCTGATTCTACACACAGTACTCTGAATTTGATATTAAAAGGATACTGGAGTTCCTCATTGACACGTTTATGTAGACAAGGTCTTCCAACAAACTGTTGGAATTTTGATGGGCACTCCTTTATTAGCTGACCTGGGTTTTTTTTATTCCTATGAGGCAGAATGTATTCAAAAACTTCTACATGAGAAGAAGAAAATACCAGATGTGGCCTTCAACTCGACATTTAGATATATTGACGATGTATTATCTATTAACAATAGTTACCTTCATTCATATGTCCATTCGATATATCCCAGTGAATTTGAATTACAATATTTATATTGAATTCCGAAACTTCACAAAAATTCTGACAAAGAAAGATACATACCGGGTTCCAGTCAATGTTCTACCAAGCCTCTTTCTTTACTCCTCACTAAAAAATTAACAGCAGCGAAGGAGAAACTTCAGGAATACTGTGCAACAATATATTCGAGAAGTGGTGTAAATCAGATGTCGATACATAAAAATTCCAAGTAACTTTTGGAAAATTCGAATCACAAAATTTTACTAGAATCAATTACATAATAACTTACGACTTTTCAACTCTATATACAACCATTCCCCACAATAAATTTAAGTCCAGACTTTTTGACATCATTGACAGCTGCTCTTTAAATAAAATTACTTGTCATTGGTCATTTGCAAAATTATTTTGTTAAATATTCCAAATCCTAATAAATCATAAATAATAATACTAAATCCCAGGTCTTCTAAAATACAATAAAAATAATGAACCTTACAATGACATTGTTGTTATCTGCTTTGTCAACTGGGACCAGTATATACTGATCATGCAGTTTATCTACTTCTTTATTCACTTCTGAATTATTGAACACAAGAGGATAGATGGTTTTCATATTGCCCCTCAATTGCTTAATGAGAGATTTTAACATAAATCTGATGCATTTAATCCATTCTGACGAAGTGTCAAGGTCCTGCTACAAAGAAACAAAGTACTACACTGAGATATGATGGAGAATTATTTTAGAAGTGAAATATTTCAAGCATTATAGCGTAATGTAGGACATCATAGGGTAATATAGGGCATTATAGGGTAATATAAGGCATCATAGGGCATTATAGGGTAATATAAGGCATTATAGGGTAATATAGGGCATTATAGGGTAATATAGGGCATTATAGCGTAATATAGGGCATTATAGGGTAATATATCATTTAATTTTTTTTTTCATTACATGACTTATATGACTTTTACTGTCTTACACCAGATCCTTTGCCTTATTTGCGCCTAAATGGTGGAAACACGTCTTCTGAGGGATTACTGAGTTTATATAAGAACGGAACATGGTATCCTATCTGTGATGAGAGAATTTCAGACGCCCAGATTAACATGACCTGTCAAATGATGGGATACAAATCTGGGTATGTAAACATCACATAATATAATGTATGATACACATACTTGTTTATATTATTTGTGTATACATGTTTTAAGAGCCAATATCTGGAGTAATTTGTACTTTTATTTAATGAAGTGTGGCACGTATGATCATAAATTACCTGCAAACTTTGTAAACTGTAAAGGTTTGCAGGATGAAGGCCTACTCATGCATGATGTTTTCAGAAAATCTTTTATCATGCGTGCCTCAAAAATTTCTTTAAAATAATGCGTCTGAATATATGGCTTGTCAAACGTTGCAATATTCGACCTTTTCCATTTGTATTGTATATTTGTATTCTATATTTTTTTTCATTTGTATTCTACAATCTTCCATTTGTATCATTAGTATAATTTTTCATTTGTATTGCATAATTTTCCATTTGTATTCTATAATTTTCCGTTTGTATCATTATTATAATTTTTCATTTGTATTGCATAATTTTCCGTTTGTATCATTAGTATAATTTTTCATTTGTATTGCATAATTTTCCATTTGTATTCTATAATTTTCCACTTGTATCATTAGTATAATTTTTCATTTGTATTGCATAATTTTCCATTTGTATTCTATAATTTTCCACTTGTATCATTATTATAATTTTTCATTTGTATTGCATAATTTTCCATTTGTATTCTATAATTTTCCACTTGTATCATTAGTATAATTTTCCATTTGTATTCTATAATTTTCTATTACTATTCTATAATTCTCATTTGTATTGTATAATTTTCCATTTGTATTGCATAATTTTTGTATCTATAATTTCCATTTCTATTCAATAAGTTTGCATTAGTACTAGTATTCTATAATTTTGCATTTGTACTAGTATTCTATATTTTTCTATTTGCATTGAATTTTTCTAACTGGAAAATTATACAATGCAGATGGAAAATTGGAGATTTTAAATGCTAGAATTATCATAACTTTATCTAAAAATGAAACGATTGTGACAATTTTTTATAGAAATACTCTCAAAGCCAAGATCTTATATCACATTATCGAGTAGATAGTTATTCTGCTGGTTAGCTTAGATAAGTCAACAATAATTGGTTTTTTTCATATTCAATGGGCAGTAAGACAAATGCTAGTTAACTGCATGGTCGTTTAGCCCATGTGCCTTTTGTCTTCAGGGGTTATCGACTTGGGAGCCTTGTAAACCACACACATAGTACATACTATAGATTCAACAATCTCCAGTGTTTCAAAGATTTGATATGTACCTCAGACCCATTTTCTTCCACTGGCTGCTCCCACGGACATCAGGTGACAATGGGATGTTACTCTTCTTGTAAGTTTTATTATCCACGTATTGTAGATGATAAAAAATAGTTTTAAACAGAATAAAGCAAAATACCATCTTTATGCCCCCGTATCAAAGATTCGGGAGTATATAGTTTTTGCCCTGTCCGTCCGTCTGTCTGTTTGTCTGTTTGTCCGCAAAAACTTTAACATTGCCCATAACTTTTGATTGGTTGGATCTTTGGCTTTCATATTTCATATGTGTATTATTTGTGACAAGACCTTTCTTTGGGTACCATTATATTTGACCTTTTGACCTTGGAGTTTGACCCACTTTTGCAAAATATTACCGAACGTAAACCTTGGCCATAACTTTTGAACAATTGGTGCTAAGGCTTTCATACTTCATATGTGTAATTCTTGTGACAAGACCTTTCTTTGAATACCAACAACTATGGCCCTTTGACCTTGACCTAGGAGTTTGACCTGCTTTTAAAAAACTTTAACCTTGGGCATAACTTTTGAATTGTTGGTGCTAGGGATTTCACATATGTTATCCTTGTGACAAGACATTCCTTTCGAAAACAACAACTTTGACCCTTTGACCTTGAAGTTTGACCTACTTTTGGAAAACATTAACTTTGGCCATAACTTTTGAAAAGTTGGTGCTAGGGCTTTCATATTTAAAATGTCTATTCCTTGTGGCAAGCCCTTCCCTTGGAAACCAACAATTGTAATCCATTGACCTTGACTTGGAGTTTGACCTACTTTTGAAAAAAAACTTTAATCTTGACCATAACTTTTGAACGGTTGGTGCTACGGCTTTCATATTTCACATGTGTATTTCTTGAGAAAACCTTTTCACAGGTATATTCCTCGAGACAAGACCGTACTTTGGGTACCAACATATTTGATTTGCATTGGAGAAAGTTTAACCTTTGCTATAAGTTGCCATACGGAGGAATCATTGTTTCACAAACATATCTTGTCTTCTTAGTTTCCGACAAAATTCGACTAGTTGGAGGAACAAAACCGTCTGAGGGCCGGATCGAGTTGAAACATAATGGAATATGGGGAAGCATTTGCTCAAAAAACTTCTCTGTCTCCGAGGGAAAGGTAATATGTCGTAGCCTGGGATTCGAAGGCAGGTACGCATTACTTAGAATTTATGCATTTCATTCTTTCGATGTAAAATGGACGTGATTTTATGTAATTAACTCGAATGAACATGTATATTTCAATCACCAGACACGTAACGGTGCATCATGGTGGTATGTTTGGTCATGGAGAGGGACCGGAAGTGATATCCCACTTAAGCTGTCGTGGTACGGAAGAGGAGATCTGGACCTGTAGCAACCTTTCTTACACGGAACGTCCGTGTTCTCTGGGGAACGAAGTGGGCGTTACATGTGGTCAGTCAATAAAAATTGTTTCGATTGATATATTTAACTTAAATGTCTAGAGTTTGCATCAAATTCCTGTGACCACTGGGGAATTACAGTTTATGCTTCTTGATCAAACCTGATCTGCTGCAGTGTATGGTGAGGTTTTATTGACGAAGGAGGGAGACTTGTAGTGAAGACTTTGTTCCCACTTTTAAGATTTACGACACGATTGAAATCGTAGCTTTAACTGTGGAATAATCATGGAAATCCTATCAAAATCTTATCAGATATTCAGGTCAGACGTGGAAATCTTGTTGATCCTATTAAATATTTTTCATATGTCAAAAATTTTCTTCGATGAACACTTTTGCTTCTGTTGAATCAGACATTTTTGGCGTGCGTATTAAATCGTACAACGGTGAGAACCGAGGTTCGAGTTGTCGGTGAAATGTTCAGAGTTATGTAATCAAGTATGTTGTCAGAACGTTGACTTAACGCATGTCAAGAATCACATGTTAGTCCAGTTTCAACTACTGTATTTTAATTTCAGACGGTACCCCTTTGCAATTGGTTGGAGGAGCTGGACCTTGGGAGGGTCGCCTAGAGGTTCAAAATGGTGGTGTTTGGAAAAGCGTTTGTAAAGATAGTTTTAATCAACAGAAAGCAAAGATCATCTGCAAAATGATGGGTTTCCCCGACAGGCTAGCCATTATTTATATTTACAGTTTATTAACATAACGTTATAAAGTAGACGGCATTACAAGAGTATCTTTGCCAAACAGAAAGTTAATCCACAGCTTAGAAATCCATCGTCCTTACCTGTTATTTCTAAAAATTGTAGAGATATCTCCTACAGTCAGAATCTTAGTGTGACCTATCCTCATGCAATAGCATCAGAAAGGAAAACAAAGTGTCTGCATCTTTTACCAGATTGGCTTGCAAATTCATAATTTTAAAACATTGAATTCTCAATCATTTTAATTCTTTAATCAGATCAGCTACATAATCCAATCATGGCCTTCTTATCTTAGGTTTCACTGAAATATGTTCTGAACTTTCTAAAGAAAAACACCTTGCAACCGGCATGAACCGACGTGAATGGAAAGATGATCACTTCGCTAACGAGGATGATTAATCATTTAATTTTTTTAAGGACCTTAAGTGTCTGCTTGACAAAGCGTTTAAAAGTTGTGTGACATTTTTCAATGATAAAGCCTGATTGGCGTTTACTTTTTGAACCTAAATAAATATCCATCTGATTGCTTTATTTCCAGTGATGTTGTTGCTGACATCAAACCGGATAATTTTTATGGTCGTGGTTCAAGTCGTCAGATGATCAGTATTCTGAATTGTCGTGATGACCTGTCAGACATTGCCGGGTGTGCCATGTCTGGGGGATGTTTATCCTCCGTCAGTGTTGGCATCCGATGTCGTAAGTTATTGTCCTTTATGTTGTATTTATCACATAGAGTGCTACTCTGTCGTAATTTGACGGTGATTACCCAGTTTTAAGACTACTGCAATACATAATCTATTGAATAAACTTAAATTAAAAGATACACAGGATATAAGGCTGCGGGGTGGGTCACATCCCCACGAGGGACGAGTCGAGGTCAAAGTTGAAGGACAATGGAGTACAGTTTGTGATGATGGCTGGGACGACAAGGATGCCACAACAGTGTGTCGAATGCTGACGGATTATCCCATTGACAAGTAACAACACAAAAAAATTCATTTTTCAGACTTTTTGTGGCAAGCTTAAATCTTAGACAGTCACTTAACGTTATGTTTCTATAGTTAAATTTATTAAGGTAATTCAGTGTTTATGTTTTTCAAATCTAGTCTAGTTGCAAGATTAATTTGTATTTTTAAAGACGTTCTCATTTTTAATTGATAATTTATGCAAAAAGCTTGAAATTTATGAATATGTTTCGAAAGAATGTCTTCAGTATTGACTGATGATGATTTTCCTAAGCCAGTCTATACAGAAGGTAGAGAACGGTGGTAAAAGCAGACATTTCTGTAATACTTCTGTTTGGATTTGGAAAATGTCTATTCAGTTGGGGTGATCCTCTTTGTTTTAAAGTCTTTGTGAAGCATCTGAATGATGGAAATGATCTTCTCTAGGATGCCGTAGAGTGTAAAGTTCTTCCAAGGTGTCTATTGATCTGCTCTTAAATTCATCTCTAGGGAAATATATGGTTTGCGCTTGAATTTTCTGAATCCTGCTTGTTCTTAACGGAGGAATTGGTCTTAAGATGACTTTTTTCTGGTAATTGTCATCATTTTAAGTCCTCTTCAGTTATTTGTGTCAGCAAAGTCACCTTTATTGATAGTCTCAACGAATAAACGAACAGCAGTCAAGCTCAGAAGTCCATTGGAACAATACAAAATGGGAGAGCAAACTCGGACCTCTAAAGAGAGACTGTATCGATATATTCAGTATACAGTCTAATTGAAATGAGCCTGGGCTATATTTATCATTTGTAATGCCTACGGAATAACTGATAATAAAACATAGGGGATAATATTAATTAGACTGCAATTTACATGTATAAAGAGTCCACATATTCACTTATTTCAGCTTTTGTTGATGACATTAAGTATTCTTTCCTTCCTCTGATGTTTTCAAGGATCCGTGTTTGCTCCTCACGAAAATATTAACAGCAATGAAGAAGAAACTTCAGCAGTACTGTAAAACTACATACTAGTATTCCAGAAGTTGTGTTAATCAAACGTAGATTCTTGAAAAATCACACCAGATTTGCTATAATCAATAGCATCAAAACGTAAGACTTTTCAAAACTTTATACAACCATTCCACATGATAAAGATCAGGCTCTTTGACATCATAGACAGCTGCTTCTTCAGTGAAAATAGAACTCGCAAATGCTCATATCACGTGATTGGTCAGCTTCAAAATTACTTACTAGTAGTTAAAAAATCTACCTGATTCTGCAAACAAGTACTCTGAAGTTGATTTTTAAACGATGCTGGAGTTCCTCGTTGACAACATTAATGTAGTCTTTGGAGATTAGGTCTTCCTACAATTTGTATTATCCATGGTACCAATTGTGTCCCTTTATTAGTAAACCTGTTTTTGTATTCAGGTGAAGCAAAATTTCTTCAAAAAATAATATAAAAAAAAAGAAGTCTATTGCTGTGGTCTTCAATTCGACATTCAGATATAACGATGTTGTTTTATCAGTTAATAGTTTTTCATTTTTCTTCATTTGATATATCCCAAAGAGCTCGAAATAAAAGACGCCACAGAGTCTGATACGTCTGTTTCATACTGGGATGTTTTACAGCTAGAGAAAGACATTGATGGCACACTACCAACTAAACTTTATGATAAACGTAACGCTTCATCTTTTCTATCGTCATCTTCTCTTATTTATGTAGCAATTAACCATTACCACCTGCAAATGGTGTTTATGTCTCCCAGTTGATTCGATATGCAAGAACATGTTCAATGTCTAAACGAGGTAGGGGACTGACAAATAAAGTCTTATTACAAGAGTACCAATGCAACATTTCGCAAATTCTATGGTCAATACAATGACATCCTTTGCAAATAAAACCTATTGAATGTTGACTGACGTATTAAATACAAATTGCCCAGCCATTATTTCCCGTTTATCCGTTTACCCAATCAAGACAATGGGGTCAGGATGAGTATGACTTGTTGACATGGGATCCTTACTCCTCCATGGCACCTGATCCCATCTCTGAATTATGCTCTACTCTCAATTTGATTTGTTTTTTTGGACTTTTGATCATTACTGCTCGTTATCTTCATATTTCATTCATTGGTAATACGCTGCGTTGACTTTTTCAATACTGAGTTCTTATACATTTTTGAAGATGGAAAATACCTTTTGACCTAGTTAAAAAGATTTTATGATTTTTAGCTCACCTGAGCTGAAAGCTCAAGTGAGCTTTTCTGATCACATTTTGTCTGTAGTCCGTCTGTCTGTCTGTCTGTCTGTAAAATTTTCACATTTTCGACTTCTTCTCCAGAACCACTGGGCCAATTTCAACCAAACTTGCCACAAAGCATCCTTGGGTAAAGGGGATTCAAGTTTGTTCAAATGAAGGGCCATGTCCTCTTTCAAGGGGAGATAATTAAGAATTAGTGAAAAATTAATAGCATCCTTTAAAAATCTTCTTCTCAAGAACCGTTGGGCCAGAAAAGATGAAACTCATATGGAAGCATCCCCAGGTAGTGTAAATTTAAATTTGTTCAAATCATTATCCCCGGGGTTAGGGCGGGGCCACAATGGAGGATCAAAGTTTTACATAGAAATATATAGGAAAAATCTTTAAAAATCTTCTTCTCAAGAACAGCAAATCCATGATGAGTCATATTTATGTGGAAGCATCCTCAGGTAGTGTAGATTCAAGTTTGTTCAAATCATGAGCCCCGGGGGTAGGGCGGGGCCACAATGGAGGATCAAAGTTTTACATAGAAATATAGAGGGAAAATCTTTAAAAATCTTCTTCTCAAGAACAGCAAAGCCATGATGAGTCAAATTTATATGGAAGCATCCTCAGGTAGTGTTCAAGTTTGTTCAAATCATGACCCCCGGGGGTAGGGCGGGGCCACAATGGAGGATCAAAGTTTTACATAGAAATATATAGGAAAAATCTTTAAAAATCTTCTTCTCAAGAACAGCAAAGGCATGATGAGTCAAATTTATATGGAAGCATCCTCAGGTAGTGTAGATTCTGTTTTGTTCAAATCATGACCCCCGAGGCTAGGGCGGGGGGCACAATGGAGGATCAATTTTTTACATAGAAATATATAGGAAAAATCTTTAAAAATCTTCTTCTCAAGAACAGCAAAGCCATGATGAGTCAAATTTATATGGAAGCATCCTCAGGTAGTGTAGATTCAAATTTGTTCAAAACATGGCCCCCAGGGTTAGGGCGGGGCCACAATGGAGGATCAAAGTTTTACATAGAAATATATAGGAAAAATCTTTAAAAATCTTCTACTCAAGAATAGCAAAGCCCTGATTGGTCATGTTTATGTTGAAGCATTTTCAGGTAGTGTAGATTATTTTGTTCAAATCATGACCCCCGGGGGTAGGGTGGGGCCACAATGGAGGATAAAAGTCTCAAATAGAAATATATAGGAAAATAGCTTCTTCTCAGGAACAGCAAAGTCATCATTAGTCAGTTTGATATTGAAGTTTCCTAAGGTAGTGTAGATTCAAGTTTGTTAAAATGATGACCCCTGGGGATAGGGTCGGGCCACAATGGGAGATTGAAAATTTTACATAGGAAGATATAGGAAAGTATCTTCTTCTCAAGAACAGAAAAGCTATGTTTAGTATTACTGATATGGAAGCATCCTCAGGTAATGTAGATTCAAGTTTGTTCAAATGGTGACCCCTGGGATAGAGAGGAGCTATAATGGGGGATCAAATTTTTACATAGGAATATATGGGAAAATTCTTTCAAAATCTTCTCAAGTACAACAAAGCCATTTGTTATATTGACATGGAAGCATCGTCAGGAAGTTTAAAATTCAAGCCCCCCCCCCCCCAGTAATCTTTTCATTACTGAACTGATTTGTGCCTTAGCCTAGCCAATGTGCTCAGGTGAGCAATGTGGCCCATGGGCCTCTTGTTTATGATTGTGGGGTCTTTGAAAATGCTCACATCTTCTTGTCACTCTAGCTCACATAATGCCCACACTGTTGCTTCCTTTTCATTTACTTTCTCGGTGTCAATTTCAGCTTAACTAAGATTTCCTAATAAGAGAATCTGGTCATTTCCTATATCGGTTTCTCTAACTTCCTCTCTACTTTTTATTCATTAGTACATGATCGATTTAGTTCTTTATATTACCTTCCATGATAATCCGTGGGTGGTTTTGTGTTGGAAAATGATGTTGCAAAGCAATTATTAAATTCTATTCTGTTCCCATCTTAGGTCCATTAAATATTTTCTTGAAAGTTATGAATAAACGTATTTCTCAATACGTATTATACTGAAATACCACTGATAACTGAACAATTCCATTGAGCAAATAAAAATGATAACATCATAGAATACGCCTCTATGTGATATCGAAAACTGAGCAAGAAATTAAAATGTGGCAATATTTATTTTTTTTTTAATAAATATTGCCACATTTTAATTTCTTGCTCAGTTTTCGATATCACATAGAGGTTTTCAATGATAACATCAAAATGGCGTCATTCCTGTTTACCTTTTTTTTTGGTATTTTTTTATAAAAGGTAAACAGGAATGACGCCATTTTGATGTTATCATTGAAAACCAAGAAATCCAACAAACTGAGTAAAGAAGAAAACAAGAAAATGCAGGTCCATAAAGTTGTCATGATGTCCTAAGGGACTTGACTAATTATACTAAATATCTTCAGGCACGTGAATGGAACTGCCCTTGCAAATGCTTTCTTCGGAAGAGGAAATGGAAGAGTAGCCATGTCAAAGGTCAAATGTAATGGGTCAGAGGTCAGCCTCCTCTCCTGTCAGGCAGACATGACAGGGGGAGTTAACTGTGATCACTCACGGGACGCGGGAGTGTCCTGTTCAGGTATTTTTTAAATACAAATCACTTATAGAATGCGTAAGTAGCTGGGGCAGTCATATTCAGGATGGTTTATTTTATTATGTGTCAACTGATTATCATGTGTAAAATTTTGACTGTCAGTATTGTTCTGGTAAAATTATAAAGTTTATACACAGTGTATCCAGGTCATTTTTAAAATACTGTACAATAGGTAGTCAAATTAAAGCAACTGCTTGCTATAATACAGTGTCCCCTTTTCAGGTAAATTTTTAGTACACATGTACATGCATTTATATATGTTTTATCATATGTTGATCATCATCTAGAAATAAAGCATCATGATATGAAGATCATCACCTATACACAATACAGTGGGCATGTCGTATTTGTTTGTATATCAGTTCTTTAGCACACCAATTAGAAAATCTAAAAATGCACATCTAAATGTTTCAAAACTGGATTTTTTTTAATTTAACATTGAATTGTATAATTATACAATACAAATGGAATGTTATACGATACAAATAAAAAATCATGCAATGCAAATGGAAGATTATAGGAAATGCAAATGGAAAATTACATAATACAAATGGAAAATTATAGAATACAAATGGAAAAATATACAATACAAATAGAAAATTGTAGAATGCAAATAAAAAATTATACAATACAAATGGAAAAGATTAAATATTGCAATGTTTGACATGCCATAAATATTGCAACATTTGACATGCCATAAATATTGCAACATTTGACATGCCATAGTTTAAGTACAAGTTTAGCTGTATATAACTTTATTTGAACTGCATGAGTTCATTTACCTACACTCAAACGGGTTACTTCCTCCACATTACACTTCCTCCACATACATGAGATTGCTGGACAAATTCTCGTATAATCTCTTTTTTATTGTAGTAAACAACCACGTTGTGTTAATGAGTAGCTCCTCCTCTCCAGACACAGGGACTGTGAGTCTAGTGGAGGGTACGCAATGGCACAGCATCTGTGATCATTCCTGGACGACAGAGGGCGCTCGTGTAGTGTGTCGATCGCTAGGCTATTGGTAGAGGTTCTTTTTTTGTAATATCCGTATCTTTTTGGTGTCAATAGGATTATATGAAGCTAAAAAATAATTTGTAGTTGTTTATATTTAGGAGTACTTCACCATCTGTTTATGTGGACGCATGGTTTGGACAAGCCAATGGCACATCCTTGGATATCGAGCCGCATTGCACTGGGTCTGAGTCCAACATTGCTTTCTGTAAATTGAGGAAGGAATGGGGCAACCAGTCTTGTTCCCATAGTGATGATGCTGGTGTTGGGTGTACTCCAACAGCCATAGGTAGTCAGCAGAAAATACATACCACATCGACAATTTATCCTCATATCCTTTTTTTAACTTGTCTGTTTGCAGTGGGCATATATACATATATCAGTCGATAAAACAAGTCCGAGTTGAAGTGGTCAAGTGCAATTTTTTTTTATCTGAACCATTACATTTGCTCTCTCTCTTGTTACAATCTTAATGGAATGTTCTGTATAAACTGGATTTTAATATTTACTTCCTTTCTAAGGTAGATAAATATATAAAAACAATGGATATCGTTTTTTTTGGTCTGCAGGGTATCACAACGTGCGATTATCTGACGGTGAAAATCCAGGAATGGGTCGGTTAGAGGTATTCTATAATGGTCAGTGGGGATCTTTCTGTCAGGACAACTGGAACCAAAACAACACGGATGTCGTCTGCAAAATGATGCACTACAGGTACTCACTGGTATTTTGAGGCCATCTTTGTGTTCTTTTTTAGAACTCATTATCATCAATTCATTAACTTATCATGTGTCCTCAAATTAAACCAAATGCTTGTATTCTCCAAAGACTAATGACTGTCAATAATTTAATTTTTACTATTCTTCGATGCAATATTTAGTTTAAGAATGCTTAACCAAGTTGAACAATTTGTCAGTATACGTAAAAATTTGTTTTTAATTGATGAATAGCTAATTAATGCCTTCTTATAAACTTGACGTTCATTAGCTATAGCTTTGAGTTTATCATCCATGTAGTTACCATATTATTAATATTTTTCTTTTTAAGTTCAGGCGATTTTTCATTTTACAATGCATCACAAGGAACAGCGGCTGTGCTTGTAAACTCATTGGAATGTTTTGGCAATGAATCGGACATTGGATATTGTAAAGCTAATTTACAAAAGGAGAACTGTCAGCGAAAATCTGTTGGAATAGATTGCACAGGTAAGATTTTTTGAGACTTTATAGTTTTTTTTTTACATTACTTTTTTTTTACTTTATTTTATTATTTTGTTTTTGGTTTATTTTATTTTATTTATTTATTTATTTATTTATTTATTTATTTATTTATTTATTTATTTATTTATTTATTCTTTGATAATTTAATATACCCTGTATGTTTTAAACTATGTCTTTTTTCAGATGGCGTAAAGGTTCGGTTTGTCGAATCTGCCCAGAATTTTTCAGGCAGAGTGCAGGTTTTCAAGAATGGAGCTTGGGGAGAAATTTGTTCGTCTGATCTTTCGAAAGAGGAAGCGCGTGTTTTGTGCAGCATGATGGGTTTCAAGTACATCATATATTTTAATGAGATACACTTGCAAGTAGGCCAAATGTTCAATAATTACAAACATCTATTTTCATTCTCAAACCTTTTTTTTAGAAACACTAATGCTCGTATTATTTCTGGACCCGCCCATCCCACTGGTGACCACGGCGTCGTCAAGGTGATAGATCTTCAGTGCGATGGATGGGAGGAGCATATTCATCAGTGCTCTTATTTGTCTTCTGGTGGCTGCTCGAACGTTGGAGTGCATGTGCAGTGTTTTGGTTTGCCACATTTTCTGAAACTCGGCATAACAGAATTGCGTTATAAAATTTGCAAATATGACCTGCAATTTATTATTGATTTCTCAACACCTGAATACATGTATTTAAACAATAACAGTGGAAAAATTACTAAATCATATTTCTTAACAATGCAACATACTTTCTCTTAATGCTAGCGTAAATCTTTGTCTGCTACAGCATGTACCAATTCATACAGCACAGCTCGTGGGAATTTGTCTTCCGCGGGATATCCCCAGGGTTACCAGCAGGTCGATTGTCTCTACGCCATCACTCCCCCTAACTCTACACATCATATGTATAAACTAACCATCAGTGACCTTGATATAAATAAAACCGGAGATACCCTACACGTAGGATCCCTATTTTATTCATAAATCATAATTTCTGTATTCTGGTGATTATGAAAATGAGCTGAATTAAAAACGAAGATTTCGTAGTGGCCTGTGATATACATGCGTCTTAAAAGTAATGCTATTCTTCTGTAATTTTTTTTAAAATTTATTTTTATTTATTTATTTATTGTTTGTGGAATTTGGAGTGTGTTTGAACACTAATACTTGTTCGCATCTACCTATTGGCTGTGTTGCTTGTAGATTACGGAAGGACCAGGGGGTCATACTCTTGCCATGTTTTCTAGCGGACGTACTGACTCTTTAATTTTAGCTGGAAAGGAATTTGTAGTTCGCTTCAGATCCGAATCTGGCAGTCAAAGCCATCGTGGGTTCAGTCTAAAATGGAGTCGTGCGTATATATTTCATAGCCTAGATTAGAGCGCTTAATGGCAATTACTTGTAAAACTTCCCGTTAATTTTAAGCTTTAATAAATTTTAAAAATTCAAAACATTGTCATTATTTGATTTAACGTATTCCAACCCCATAGCCTCATTTTCAATTAATAATATTAATTTTAATATATAAAAGAGATCTATGGACAAATACTCAAATTATAAGACAATTCCCGTTTATTACTATCAGTATACAGAGTGGAATGACCTTGACCTATCCTCAAAGAGTTATCTCCCCCTGTTTTTAATCAATAAAGATTTTAGAAGATTTATCTGGTAAAAAAAAAATTAGTGTCAAAATAGTACATGTAGTAGATTACCTATAGGTATCATTTTCTCCTCAGCTCTTACTTTGGAGGATGCCATAGCAGTCAACTGTGATGCTAATTCTTGGCGGATTGTGGTCAACATGACTTTGTTACGCATGTTATACCCAGACTCCGGAGTCTCCCAGATTTATCTTTCGAAACAGTCTTGTTATGGTCACGTGGTTGGTGATACGATTGTGTTCGATCAGTCATACAACAACTGTTCCACTTCTAAAACGGTAGTGCTGCTTGATATCATATGTTTTATAAATGTGCTTTTTCTGTTCTTCCCGGCAGAATAGAGCATTTGGTCTGAAGAATTTAAACATAATTTTAAATCTTGCAAGAAATTTAATTTCTTCATTGTTAATTATAAGATATCAGACCAGTTTGTGACATATAAAAATCAGCTCGTGTACCCAGAATCCACTACACCATTTCCGCTCATTGTTCATGGTTACCGTTGGAGAGTTGATGTCAAATGTGACCTTGACCGTTACGAACATGTTACTCAACATTATAAGCCCACCGAAGCTCCAGCAACACAAACAACCCTGCATCACCAAGTAGGGGGAACAGGTCACTACGATATAAAGCTACAATTCTACACCGATCCACAGTACTTCCACGAGATCAAGGTATTCAGAAATATATCCAGAATAACCTTTCATTAATGTAAAATTAAGCAGCTTTTTTCATGGCGAATCTGTGCAAAAAATCCTTATGGTTTATTATTAAAAAAATGAATCAGCGTTTTTCATGATGTTATTAGCGTTAGATCATTCCAAGTTTTTTAAAAACATGTTTAGCGTCCGCGTGCACCTTAGTTTTTGACACTCCATTTCAAAAAAAATAAATAAACGAACAAAATCAGGAGTCCTGAAATTGTTTATTCTGAAATCTATGAATTCTGTCAATTTTTCTAAACATTTGTCTACAATATGTCATATAAGGAATATTTTAGGCATTTATTACCTTGATTTTGCTGAAGAATATATTTTTCTAAGAGAAAAATAAATTAATGAAATCAAATCCTTTGAGTGAAGTCATTATATGACTATAAAGTCTGTGTTTTATTTATTTATTTATTGTGTGTTAATGTGTGAATGTGCGCGCGCGCGAATAGGTAGGTAGGTTTTAGACAGATGGGTGGATGCTAATCGGAGAAAAAAAATTGGAATGGCCTTATTTTCTTACCCAACTAAAAGAAAGACTCACAAATTGAAATAAGATGCATAATGTAAAGAGTTCTTTTATACTAGGGAAATCCGATATCTGCAAATATTGGTGAGAATATTTTCGTGAAAGTTTCCCTAAACAATGACGATTATGGAACGAAAATGCGACTTGACACATGCAAGACAATGCCAGAAGCACATTCAACACAACGAAACACTTACGTCATTATCAAGAACGGGTGATACAGTTTTATATGTCGTTATTATATTCTTGCAACTCTTATTTTTCAATTTGCCCTATCCTAACAAGTGGCCGCGATGTTGCGACCAGTCGACAGGGGATGCTCACTCCTTTATCGAACCTGATCCCACTGTTTGTTTTTAGAGATCTCTGTTTCCCTTGCTCAAATCATGCTCGTTATTTTTACATTTTATCTTTCCTTTAATATAATCCAGTGGTGTTGCTAAACTTCCTTTTATACACCTGGGCGTCTTCATCATTTTCAAAGAGAACGAGAACATAAGCAGTTAAAATCAAACTTGATAGTACCCATAAATATTCATGTCTCGTCTATTTAATAGGTCATTATGTATTATTCATTATTATCCTACAAGTGGGTGCAATATCACAGACAATTATTACAGCATAAAAAATTGAAATATGAGCGAAAAATAGATAAACATAAACTCCATGTGATTCAAAAATATTAAAAATCCAGGGTCTTTGCCCTCTGTCCCCTCCCCGACTTTGTTCTAAATCCACCCAGAGAGGGGGAGGGTTGGGGCGGTCTCAGAACCTCAACCAATCCAGGCGTCCACATCAAATTGGCCCCTATCTACGCAAAATCAATGAACGACCAACTCTTATACAAATTTGTTATTAAAACAAAATTTTGTTTATTTTTATTTCAGGTGTTCTGTTGATCCTAGTACACAGATCGTTTCCCAAGGAACGCACGAGACGCGATTCTTATTCAACGCGTTCGTCTTCCCGTCCAATCAGAATGCAGTGTATATTTCCTGTAATGCTACATTTTGCTCCACAAATGATTTGTCCTCAAAGTGTGCTCAGACATGTCATCATAGAAGATCAAATGTATTTGATCAATCGTTTAAACTTTTTTGAATAATAACAAGTTCTAAAATAACTTTTCTTCATTTATTGACACAAATAAATCTATATTTTACAAAATATAGAATCTGGAAACCACAAAATTACACCAGAGCAGAAATTTTGCGTGTGCGATTGTTCAGTGTGTGATGTGATAATTGGCTAGCCATAGTGAAAACATTCACGTGTTGTTAAATAACATATATGTACTAATGGCTGTATGTAATGAATACCAGGGTACTTATTTCCTAGGTTGACCTTGGGACTACTTGAGGTACCTAATGATGTGTACCATACCGGCAGAGTCGCCCACGATCATCAGACCTTTGTTGTCCACCACCACAGAATGGGGCACGTCAATCCAGTCCCTCCCGATCTGATGGACCCTCAATACCTGACCATGTTTGTCAATCATATGGATAGCGTTGTTATTGGCGTCAGTTACGATAACGTGTCCGTAAATATCACAGGTCAAGTCTGTTGGGCAAAACATGTACTCCATCTTCAGTCCTACTGGACCGGTATAAATAAACTTGACCTGTTCGTTACGGGTGAAGACGATGACACGGCCTCTGTCCTTAGCGGTTTTGTCGATGACGCAGATTTCTTCCTCGACTGTTTCGGCGACCTTCAGTGGGGATGTAAACAGACGTATGTCAATGCTGAAGGCAAGCCGCTTCATGATCCTTCCTGACTTGGTGATCTTCACTAGCTGACGTTTGCTGTAAGGTCGAATCTGTCTTCCGTCTGTGCTGGGAGAATCTACTAGACAAGCCAACAAGACGCCACTTCTACTCATGTGTATTCCTTGTGGATGCAGTGGGGATGCATTGAAGAACGTTTCGAGAGTCCCATTCAAACGCAGTCGTTTGATGCATCGGGTGTCAAAACAGGACATGAACAAATCGCCATTGCGAGAAATTGCAAGGTCTCGAATGACAAAATCAAATTCCCCGGGTTTTTCCATAGATCCATCTACGCCAACTAGTTGGATTTGTTTCGGGTTAGAAAGGGAGGACATCCAAACTTCGGATTCCCCAAGAGGTACCATTGTATGAAGTGGCTGACCATCTGCACAGGGAATAGATGACACACGAATTAAGTCCAAATCCCGTGTGGGTTTCAGTGTTTCTGCTTGCAAGGACCAGGCTACTGTTGCCACCGGTTTTTCTTGATGATTGTGCCCGAACAGTTCTCGGATTCTCTCATCTGTCGATGATCCTGCATAGAATATTGGCGGTTTGGCCTCTTGAATTTGGATCTTCATATCAACGGACGATATCATAGACCTAAGGTCGTTTTCTGATCTAAGAATACTGATGTCCTCAGCGTCATTGATTGCCATTTCTATGTTTCCTATCACTTCCTCTGTCGATTTCATTTGGTCCTCTAAGCCTTCCTTGGAAATCCTGTACTCCTCCAGATCTATAGAGTTTTTCGACTCTACATCTTCGACTAAAGCATTTTTGACACGATCTATGTCTTTGTGTAGTTGTTCAGCTCTCTTGTTGATAATATCGATACACTCCTGGGACTTCTTTGTATAAGTCTCTTCCGATAGGTTGAGATTCGTCATCGCCGTCCTCGCGTCTGACTCGTACCATGTCTTTACTGGCAAAATGTGTGATTGTAGCTCACCTCGTAACTTAGTCGCCGCCTCCGAGATGCTTACGAACTGATGCCTTTGGTGTCCTTCAACGATGCACTCGCTACAAACGATTTTATTGCACTCTAAGCAGTGAAGTTGTACATCTTTACTGGGATGCGAAAAACATCTACGAAGCTGACTTCTGGGTGTCATTGCTTCACTTCTCTCACGCTGGAATTTAGGAACCAGCTGTTTGTTTTCTGTTCTTGCAGGCTTTTTAGTGACGCTATGGCCAATGTTAGGCAAGGGCTCTTTGACGCGAAAATTGGAGATCGTTTCTGGACTTGCAGTTTGTTGCAAATGAAAAGGAAGCCTCGGTGTTGATTTTGCGGATACTGTGTCATCTTGTTTCAGATCAATAGTGAGGCCCGTTGAAATATCTCGCATTTTATGTTTAGCGCCATTAGCGACCTCATTGGCGTGTTTTCCCCGGCATTCCCTACAGTAATATTTTTGACATTGGTCGCAGAAGAAGGCAGCGGTGACATCATCAGGACACGTACTACATTTCACAGGTCCCGCAGGAGTAGGTTCGCGTGTGCTAGCCGGGGTCACATCCTTTGGGGTAACCGAGGAGGAGACAGGTTGTGATAACGGTACATTGGCTTTAGAATCCTCCTTAGACTCCATCTTCAAGTTTCACTCAGTCGAGTCCCATTCTTTCAGTAGAAAGAGTTCTCTTCCAGGTTAACAGAAATTGGTCCTTTTTTAAAATTTAACAAGCTTTATGATATTTGTGGACATAAGATGAACGTGAACCTTGCTGTAGACCATTAAAATACTTTATTAACCTGAGTGAAAATCGAGCTCGTGATAACACGATCAATGAAGCGGCAGAGTGATTCGTCTTCTCATTTGTTACGCTTAATTATAATGAAAACGTTTTAAAGTGTCACTGGTATTTACTTCCACTGTTTGCATTTTAAAATAAATCATGTCTTTAATAACTCGTACCACCGTAACAAAATAAGCATTGTCTTATCAATGAAAAAAATCAGTTCAATGTTTCAAAAGAAAATCTGAATAAGAATTGTCTCCAATCCAATTTTAAGTTGCCCCGTGTTAATCATCAGTCGGTTTTTATTTTTAATATATATGTAGAGAGAGGGGGAGGGGGGTAAAAATATAATTAAAAATATAATTTGATTCAGGAATCTAGAGGCAAGACGAGATTAGAAACACACAGTGAACGCAGTGTCATATTTAATTACTTTATTATTACTTTAAGCTTTACATTTTATCAGTATATACAATTTATAACACAATCACAGAAGTGGGCAGTGTACAAGAGAACAATGTGTACATACAAAAATTCTTGGTGAAAAAACTAACGATTATTGTATTACAAAATCGCCTGTTCGTCTTATGCTATAATAAATATATCTGCCGAGATTACACGTCCTTAAAATTCTCAGTATTGAACAATTGCAGTAATTTATACATGGATGGTTTTTTAAAGATTTTTTATTTAATTTTGCTACGATAATCTGCATAAACAGGACATACTGGTATAAAATGATATTCAACACAATTTTGGCATAACAATTCAAGAGGGCTTTTATTGTTTTGTGATATCTTCCACTTTCAATAGCTAATAAGTGTGAGGATAATCGTGATTTAGATATACATTTTTTAAAACTAATCAGGAATTGATTTTCTTAAATAATACTGTAGGTATAGAATCCATCAAGTACGTCTTGTTAAAAAAAATACATTCCTGCGAATTTTCAATTTTAGCAAATATTTCTCGTTTAGTATGATAAGAAATCCTTCATTTAATAACTTGATGCTGTTTTTAATTCGTTGTTTACAGAGACGTAAGCGTATTCATGGGCATTGGTCTTACAATAAACCTTTTATACACGATGTCTCCTTTGATTCATTACTACCTTGTGTAAATCAACAGTTAGTTCTTCATCACATTCGCACCATACTTTACTCTGTCCCAACAGTTTCCTTGAAAAGGTCAAGGAAAGTCCATATTTGGATTCCTCAACACCAAAATAAGGCTCGGATCTGTGGTTATGGATATTGCAAATCATAGGCTTTTTAACCCGCTACGTTTTACGGAAGTAAATACGGCTAAAAAACCCCCGTTTTTTCCTTAAACTTCAATATGCCAACAAAGGAATTGACGTGGTTAAGTAACATTCTTAATCACATAAGGGTCCAGTCTTGTATTCCACCATATTTCAAATTGAAGACTACACCCTGTATTTCGAATATCTGAAACATAATCCTCCATCGTGTTCATGTTCTTCTTCACCCTACAACTATAGTCCTGCTGGACACGTTATTACTGGTGACGTTAATATAGTTAATAATGAGAACCTTAAATCACTTCTATACTACTATATTAAAATAATAGACTCGAATTTTTGGCCTTTAATACCGATGAATCGGAAGAGTACTGTCTTTTGTTATATATATTTTAAACATAATTGGTACTTGAAGATTACCAATTTGTTTTTATTTTTTCTCAATTAGCCTTCGCTAATTAATAATCAACGAAAATTCTACAAAAAATTCCGGAAATCATTTGGATTTTTTGGATTTTACAATCTTGCGCGTGCGCATTACATTCACGCTAAATCACGGTGTTCAAATCAGAAAAGACAAAAGAAGTACTAAGTAGATACTTATATATTTGTTATTTTATAATTTCTCTAATATGAAATAAGAAAATAAGAAATCATAAATATATATGAACAGAATATATAGCAAATTTCCAATGAAAATTTACACGTATTTGTATTATCTTTCTGAGTTTATCCATACAAATGTGATATTGTGGCCACGTGGGTAATCATTCGCCATCTCGGAGACACATTTGTTATATGTTATTTATGTATCTGGCCATCTCAACGGGGGCAAAAAGCTCATGATCGTAGGAACAATATTAATGTAACTACCCGATTTTATTTTATCCTTCCTTTCAGAAATTCTTTTATGCTTTTTTGAGGGGAATGGGGGGGGGGGGGTGTTACAACTCCAGCTAGAATCACATCTTAGTGAAGTAAGCATTCTTTTTCCGCCAAAAATTACAAGAACATTATTTTCATTTCTTAACTTTGAAATAAATCGAAGAAATTAAATAACGTCAATATAACCGATATTTTCAATTTGAAGTGTGTCTAAATGATTGCAACTTGAATTTGTTCGCCATGTTTACTATTACCTTCACTGCTGAAATTTATAACGCGGTAAATATGAAACATAAACTAAGGGCAAAGAAATATTTGATTCCATGCAAAAAATTCACATTATATTTCTTAGAAGTGCAGTGAAATCAATAGCATTATTGTAGGTTTATAGCTTTGTTATGTAAATACATATAATGACCTCTGACCCTGGTCTGTCAACAATACGTTGAACACCCCCTGCAATGCTTGCGCCGTGCATTTCCCACGTGAACCATCAAAGAAAGCATATTATTGTTTATATCTAAATTCACCTCTAAAAATTTCTTTAACTTTCAAAAAAAAAAGTGGATGAAATATGTAAATTATTGTTATTGATCTTCAGTACGTTATATAGAAGGGACAGCCTGTTCTTCTAAATATGTAAAGGTTGTCATGGTAACTACGCTTTAAAGGTATCAGCAGTGCTGAACTCTTTGTTGTTGTCATATTTTCAATGAATATCCATAATTTCTTTTATCAAATTTGTTTGGAAAGGTGAAATTTATGTAAGCTCCGGCGTGATTCTAACTCATGACTTGATTTATAGCTAACTGATGGTCAAAGCCATTCTGAGCTACGCCGTTACGCAACAATTTTGCAAAAAAAACAAACAAACAAACAAACAAAACAAAACAAAAACAAAAAACAAACAAACCAGAATTATATTCACATTCATTGTTTATCTCAAAAGTACCTTACGATATCAATGTGTCGATGTATCTATTTTGTAAATGTCCGATATGCACATGGATGCATTCATAACAATGTCAACCCGTGCACGCACGGGTCAAAGTCTAGCATTTTAAAAGGGTCAAAAGACATGAAAAAAAAAGACTTTGACACGTTGTCAGAATGGATTAATTGTATCGGTTGTATGTTAAAATCTCGCATTAGGCGATTGTGGCACAGGCACTTGTTTCGGTAATAAATTTTTAACCCATAGTATAATAATAACACAAGGTATCTAACTCCGAATTACACGGAGTACCCCCCTCCCCCAGAACCGCACTCATTTACACTTTCAGAGGAAATACACTGACAAACTGTTTATACCTATGTTTTCTACGATAATTTATCTACACAACCATATATGGCATGCTTGTCTTTATTTTCTTTAGTCTCCGTAAACAGCGTCAAAACTCTGCTCGCCGTGTGGAAAAGTCGAATTCAACCATGAAATGGTATGTGCTAATCCCGCACAGAGAACAAAATTAAAAAATGAGTGGGTTAAAAAATACAATTCCAGTGTTTAAATATTGCATGAGTAAATATAACTTGTTTACGTCTGATTTTCCCTGAAAACATTACGATGTTTATCCGATGTAATTTTAGAAACACATTTTTAGCTAATCAAAATCTCTGTGCGGGATTAGATATCCAAATACAAAACATTGAATATCCTCTATGTCTTTGTAAGGCTCATTATTTAAATTGTATTTTAGAGGAACTGGAATTTAATTCTACAAGTGGTAATCCAACTTATACGCTTATCTCCCTTTCTAAGGAAGAAATTCTTCAAAATCATATGTTAGTTTCGAATATTTTTAATATTACCAACATGAAGAATTACCATATCTATATTGGATTCCGAAACTTCATAAAAATCCTTACAAAGATACATAGCGGGTTCAAGTAAATGTTTTACCAAGCCTCTTTCTTTACTTCTCACTAAAATATTAACAGTAGTGAAGGAGAAACTTGAGGAGTATTGTGCAACAATATATTCGAAAAGTGGTGTAAATCAGGTGTGGATACTTAAAAATTCCAAGGAACTTTTGATAAATTTGAAATCACAAAATTTTACCAAAATCAACAACATAAGAACTTACGACTTTTCAACTTTATATATAACCATTCCCCACGATAAATTAAAGTCCAGGCTTTTTGAAGTCAATGACAGCTGCTTTTTCAATAAAAATGGTACTCGTAAATTTACTTACCTTGTCATTGGTCATTTGCAAAGTTATTTTGTTAAAAACATTCTGATTGTACACACAAGTACTCTGAAGTTGATATTAAAAAGATGCTCGAGTTTCTGATTGACAATATCTATGTGGTTTTTGGAGACCAGGTTTTCCAACAATCTATTGGAATTCCCATGGGTACCAATTGCGTCCTGTTTTTGTATTCATATGAAGCAGAATTTGTGCAAAATCTTATACGCCAAAAAAAAAAAATTGCTGTGGCCTTCAATTCGACATTGAGATATATCGAAGACGTATTGTCAATCAACAATGGTTATTTCCATTCTTTTGTCGATACGATATATCCCGGTGAGCTTGAAATAAAAGATACCACAGAGTCTGACACATCTGTTTCATATTTGAGTATTTTACTAGAAAAAGGCGTTAATGGTAATCCAACAACCAAGCTTTATGATAAACGTGATGATTTTAACTTTTCAATCGTCAACTTCCCTTACTTATGCAGCAATATACTTTTATCACCTGCATACGGGGTTTATATCTCTCAGTTGATCCGATACGCAAGAGCATGCTCCACGTACGAACAATTTCTAAAACGAGGTAAGATATTGACAAACAGGTTATCAGCAGTGTCGTTTAAAGTCGTCAATTCGTTTGTTTGTATGTTGTGTAACGTCCCTCTCGAGAATTTTTCACTCATATGGATTGATTGATTGATTGTATGTTGTTCAACGTTCCTCTCGAGAATTTTTCACTCATATGGAGACGCCACCACTTGCCGGTGGAGAGCTGCAAATTTTGTCCTATACTCGGCACTTACGGCCATTGAGCAGTGAGGGATCTTTTTCGTGCCATCACCTAGTGCGACACGACACCTCGGTTTATACGGTCTCATCAGAAGGACCGGTCTCCACGTCCCACAGTGGGATTCGAACCCGCGACGTAAGGATCAACTCCTTACTTCGCGACTCTAGAGCAGACGCTCTAACCACTGCGCCACGCGGGCGACTCGTCACTTCGTAAGTTCTATGGTCGATACAATGACCTTGTCAGCAAATACAATTTATCATTAAGTCAAATGCTGACTGACGTTTTTCATACTTATTGTTAGACATACTGAATTGATTTTTCCGTTGTTTCCCGATCATGACAAGGAGCACACGGATGGTGTGACCGGTCGGCAGGGGATGCTCACTCCTCCATGGCACCTGATCCCACCTCTGATATTTTAGAGGTCCGTGTTTGCTCTGCTCTAAAATGTGTATTGTTTAATGGACTTTTCAGCTTGAATACTGTTCGTTATCGCCATATATTTCACTACAAATATCCATCAACTATTCTTCCGAACTTTTTTAATTACAAGAAAACTTTACATAGCCTGGATATTGAGCATCCGGAACATAATCCTCCATCGTGTAATTGTTCTTCTTCACCCTACAACTATACTCCTGCTGGACACGTTATTACTGGTGACGTAAATATAGTTAATAATGAGGACCTTAAATCACTTATTTTAAAAGGGCAAACATTTAGGGAACACTGGTCTTTCAACTTGAATCTTAATTTTATAAATAATATGAATTCTGCGGAAGATTACGCCAGGCGATGGGCCAGACATGAAAAAGAAGACCTTGACACTATGTCTGAATGGATTAAATGTATCATATGTATGTTAAAATCTAGCATTAAGCGATTGGGGGGGCAATATGAAAATCATCTATCCTTCTGTGTTCAATAATTCAGAAGTGAAAAGAGAATTAAATAGTATGTACTGTGCCCAGCTGACAAAACAGGTAACAACATCGTCTTTGTTTATAAGGCTCATTATTTAATAGTATTTCAGAGGAAAGAAACTGGGGGGATAAGCCGAGCCATATGCCTACATAACGATTGATAAAAAATCAATAAATTCATTTTACAAAAATTTCACTTTTTGTTGAATTAATGTAATGCTTATTACCATTTGCATATAAATTTGACAAAACCTGAATACTGTAACAGCGAAAATGATTCTGATTAACACAACAAAATGGCATCACGCTCAATTTTCACAGAAACTGACATAAATTGGATGATATAACTACATTTTTTAAATAGAGTGGGTCATCGTACCATTTTTTTGAGAACGATCAATGAAAGGCAATGGAAAGATGTTGCTTTTTACACTTGCAAAAATTTGGTATGAAGACCCACTCTACATAAAAAATTAAGTTAACTTACTTAAATTTTCACCGTGATCTTAAAAAATTCTAAGTCCAAAAACGCTTGCTAAATATAGAGAACTGTATGCTATTTAAATGAAAATGTTAGTGTGACTCCGTGGTCTAGTGGTTAGCGATGAGCTCTCTAAAGGGACGTTTATTGAGGAAAGTGTTCGAGTCATGCTCAGATTTTTTTTTTTTTTTTTTTTTTTTTAATTTTGTTTTACTTTATAAAAAATGTATATAGGAATAACATATTTTTCACTGAAAATAAAATATATATATGTAATAATGAACTTATTCACAGTAAATTATTTAAAATGCCGGATAAAAATTATAATAGATATTTGAATACTTTTATTCCCGTTTTATTTATTTTAAATAAAAGCGCTTCTAGATCACCATTATCATTATATACGATGTTAACATTTTTATAATATCTCCACAATAAGTGTAAACACTCAATATGCAGATTAATTAATAGAAGTCCTTACCCATGTTAGACATTTGTGACAGTAAATGAAAGTCAACTATTTAGCTTTTTAGAATATAAATATCATTTTGAAAACTACGGTAAACATTAAAATGCTCAAGTAAATTCGAACAAAATAGAAATTTTTTCCAATAAATGTTCTTGCATAGCCGAAAAATGGGCATGGGCACATGGCTCGTCTTATCCCCCCAGATTCTTTCTGGGATTTGATTTAAAAGTGGCAATCCAACCTATACCCATAGCTCCCTTTCTTTGGAGGAAATTCTTCAAAATCACATGTCAGTTTTGAATATTTTTAATATTTCCAACAATCAAAATGAATTTGAATTACCATATTTATATTGGATTCCAAAACTTCATAAAAATCCTTACAAAGATACATAGCGGGTTTCAGTAAATGTTCTACCAAGCCTCTTTTACTCCTCACTAAAATATTAACAGCAGTGAAGGAGAAATTTCAGGAGTACTGTGCTACAAGTATCCGAGGAACTTTTGGAAAATTTGAAATCGCAAAATTTTATCAAAATCAACAACATAAAAACTTACGACTTTTCAACTTTATATACAACCATTCCCTGCAATAAATTAAAGTCCATGCTTTTTGAAATCATTGACAGCTGCTTTTTCAATAAAAATGGAACTCGTAAATTTACTTGCCTTGTCATTGGTCATTTGCAAAATTATTTTGCTAAAAAAAAATTCAGATTGTACACACAAGTACTCTGAAGTTGATATTAAAAAGATGCTTGATTTTCTGATTGACAATATCTATGTGGTTTTTGGAGACCAGGTCTTCCAACAATCTACTGGAATTTCTAGGGGTACACTAAAACCCTTGAACCAGTGGCCACAAAATTCACAATTTGAAAGAGCTATCCTTTCTTATCATAACCATGTACTTAGTTTGTCTGCTTAGTACTGAGGGACAGAGAAGGATTTTTAAAGAATTTATTAATTTCACTATAGGATCAATAGAGCCATATCCTAATACCAAAACTCCTGACCCAGGAGGCATGAATTTCAAAATCTTGAAAGAAACACCCTTGCTCATTATAACTATGCACTTTAGTTCATCTGCTTATTAACCAGGAGCAGAGAAGATTTTCAAAAAAATAATGCATTTTCACTAAATAATCAATAGAGCCCTGTCCTAACAACAGAACCCCTGACCCTGGGGCCATGAAATTCAACATTTTGAAAGAGCCACCCTTGTTCTAAACCATGCACTTACTTTGTCTGCTTAAAATACAGGGGCAGAGAAACTTGTTTGAAGAATGTATGCATTTTCACTATATGTTTAATAGAGCCTCACTTTATCACCAGAACCCCTCACCTTGGGGCCACAATTTTGGTAGATGGTTTTATGCTTATTACAATCATGCTAACAGTTTGATTACTTTATGTCCAGAGGTAAAGAATTAGATATAATTTTAATGACTTCACTAATTTTAGTGCTTTTAGCACCATTCTTCAGGCCCCAGGGGGACAGGGAACATGAAATTCATAATTTTTGTTCCCCTTCACCCATCGATGCTATATGCCAAAATTGGCTGAAATTGGTTCAGTGGTTCCACAGAAGAAGCTGAAAATGTTCAAATGTTAATGCACAACATACAATGCATTACCTTAAGCCACTCTCATAGTAAAATCATTTGACTTACTGTGTTAAACAGAGATTTCATAAATCATTTTTATTCAAGATACTAGTACTCATCAGGATATACTGCAGGTGCACTTAAGTTTTGTGGCAAATTTTGTGCCTTAACCAGAAGTGTGAATTCATATTGACCCTAATTATCCATGATCAATAAAAGCACCATATTTTGAATACAAAAGTAAGTGCACTTGCAGTGTATGGAGAATATCAATAATGTAAAAATGTGTATATAAATTAAATACAGAAATTTGTTAAGTTACTTAGGCCTAAGAAAAAAAAGTATGCATGTTTCTATTGCAAGTTAGTAAAAAAAAAATAGGGTAGATAGGCAGGATTTTGTTTCTCATTTTTTAGTCAAAGACCTTATAGTGATTGTAGTGTTTATTATGAAAGTCTTCCGTCTCACATCTGTAGTTTCGAAATATGTTGGTCCCATCGGAAACAAAAAAGACATCTGGTTATAAGAGAAAAATTTGGGTGTTTAACTTCCCCATAAATATGTAAATAAAAGTAATTGAGATGATTTTTATATATTATTGAGTATTATTGAATATTTTTGTAAAATTCACTTCTGGTCGCGTGTTTTCCTGCATGTCCTTATAATGAGATTTTGTTCACACAGTTGCTCAGCAACAGTACATGACTAAAGTCTAAAACCTTTCAGGAATGATAGTCAGTCATCAACTTAATTCACATCATGTAAAAAACAAATGTTGCCGTCACTTCCAGTCTCGACAGGAAGTGATGCAAAAAAGTGAATTTTTCAAGTTTCTTTTGTTTTTAGAGATATTTTGGGCTAATATGATGTTAGAAAGGTCAAGTCTATACAAACTATTTTCGTCAAAAGTGCCAGCCAAAAAAATTAAGTGATGCAAAAAAGTGAATTTTTCAAATTTCTTTTGTTTTTAGAGATATTTTGGGCTAATATGATGTTAGAAAGGTCAAGTCTATGAAAACTATTTTCGTCGGAAGTGCCAGCCAAAAAAACGGAAGTTGTTTCAAACATAAGTATTTTTTATGGAAACTTTTTAGGGATGATCAGTTGTAAATAATTTAGGTGCAGAATGAACTTTTTATTTGTTTGGGGCACTTCAGGTCCTGACCGGAAGTAAATAAAGAAAACAGGAAAGCAATTTGGAAATGAAGACATTTTTTTACCTGTTTTTATTTTTGGAAGCTTTGAAATGTCTTTTATAATCATTTAGATTTCTCTAATTGATAATTTTTTTTTATTTTTCCAAAGGAGTCAAGAAAACGAAAGACCTGTTATTGCCTAGGCGATGAGTATCTAGTTGTTTTCTTTTTATTTTTACATAAAGGCATAACTTGGAAATTTTTTTTAAGTCAGTTTGAATTTCTTTTCTTCTTGCCATAATTTTTTTTTTCAAATCTACCTGATGCAACAGCTCTAAAACAGGCCACTAAAAAGTGACTTTGTACGACCTATGAACCTATAGCTTTGAAGGAAATATAGACATTTTACAACCAAAAGAATATATGCGTTGGCAAACAGAATTAGGAGCAGTAAAGTTAACATAAACAAACAATTTTTTTCTTAGGCCTCATCAAAAGTTTTTAATTAAAATAGCACTAAAATGTTCCTATGAACAGCTGTCATTAAACTCCAAAGTAGTAACGAACTGGTGGACATGCTATATCCTCGTCTTCACTTCCTTCTAGATTAATGATCAAGTCCATGTATGACTGACTAGGTGAGGGCTTCAACAGCTTCAGCATCCTACAACAACAAGAGAGCTGACAATTTTAACTAGAAATGGTTACATAAACTAAAACATGTTTCCTTTTCAAACTGATTATATAAGAGTCCCATAGGGGTCAACATTCATTTTTTGCCTGTATCACTGATCTTGATTTATAATTAAAAATAAATCTAGAAAATAACAAAAGAAGAGTTCAGAGTAAAAAAAATCACACTTGATTGAAAGGAAGCTGTAAGAAATACCTCAAAGACAACTAAAACAAAGATTTCAGTTGCGGAAAAAATTCTTTAAGATGTGCATACTTTAAGGAAAAAGTTCTCACGGCATTTGACTTAAATTATACAATTTATATTCCATCCTAGTGTGTTGGTTATAAAAAATTCAAATGCATGTACCTGAAAATGTGAGTTGCTTGTCAAGAAATTGTAAACAAAATTACATGTACTTATCAATTTAATTTTCAAATCCTATAGGATTTTTAACACTTTTCTGTTGGTCATTACAGTCTCTTCATACATTGGTGGCCCTGAGTGCCAAGCATAGGTGTAATTTTTTTAGCCCTCCACCGGCAAGTGGTGGCGTTGTTCATATGAGTGAAAAATTCTCGAGAGGGACATTAAACAAACAAACAAACATTGGTGGACCTTCTATCTCATAAAGGTCTAAACTTAAGTCTGATATTGGGAGTAATGGTAAAAATAAAGATATGAAGTTGAAACAATTAAAACTCTAGTTACTATTCAATAAAGAAATTAAGTAGCATTTCAAAAAAAAAAAAACACAATGCACGATGACAGACAAATAGAGATAGCAATAGGTCGCCTAGGTGACTCAAGTGACCTTAAAAAAGGCTACTGAAAAACAAACAGAAAGTTACCCTACATGATCAATAGAGCCCTGCCACTGCACTATAACCCTGACCCAGGGGCCTGATTATCATCATTTACTTTGTCTTCTAGATATATAGAAGGTTAGAAGAAGACTTTTAAAGAATTTATGCATTTTCTTTATATGATCAATAGAACCCTGCCCCTAGCACCAAGACCCCTGATCCAGAGGCCATGAGTTTAACAGTTCTAACCATGTTTTTAGTTTGGTAAATATAATGGGGAAGCAGAGATTTTGGAAGAATAAATTTATTTTCACTATATGATCAAGAGTCTCCCTCTTAACACCAGAACCCATGACCCAGGGGGCCTTGAATTTCACAATTTTGGTAGAGGGGCCATTGCTCATCATATCTATGCACTTAGATAGTCTGATTAATATACAGAGAAGAAGAGTTTTAAAAGATTAATGCATTTTCATTATATGATCAATAAAGCCCACCCTAACACCTACACCCCTGACCCAAGAGCCAGAAATTTCATGCATTTGGAACAGATAACCTTGCTATTCATAACCATGCTCTTAGTTTGTCTAGTAGATATATAGGATTTTTAAAGAATAAATGCATATCCACTATATGACCCAAAGAGCCCGGCATACTACCAGAGCCCCTGACCCAGGGGCCTTGAATTTCCTAATTTTGGAAAAGGCACCCTTTCTTATCATAACCAGGCTCTTAGTTTGTCTGTTAAGAATACAGGGAAAGAGAACAATATTTTTAAAAATGCATTTTACTTCTCAATCAATGGAGCCTTACCCTCACACTTGAACCTCTGACTCTTGTGCCATATATTTCATAATTTTTGTAGATGACTCTAAGTATGCTACCAGTTTGAGTGCTTGATGTTCAAGGGTAAAGAAGAAGGTTTTTGAAGATTATATTAATTTTGATGATTTTAGCCCCCACCCCTCAGGTCCCAGGGTGGCAGACACCATGAAATTCAAAATTTTGATTCCCCTTTGCCCAAAGATGCTAAATACCAAATTTGGTTTAAAATGATTTAGTACTGGTTCAAGAAAAGAAGCTGAAAAGGTTCAAAAGCTTACAACCGATGCACAATAATGGATGAATACAGATTGCAATAGGTCAACTGAGTAACTCAGGTGACCTAAAAAATGTGATTGAAATTAACATCAAATTATAAATTCTTTTTACTTACTGCTGTGGCAGTCGTTTTTTATGACCAGGCATGAATGGGACAAACACCATTTTTACTCCATGGCTGACCATGGTAACCTCAAAACCATATTTATCCTAAAATTAAAATAAGCAACATTCAAACTTTCAGTCTCAAATTCATACCCATTGTAAGATTTCTCAGTACAAAATTTTTTTGGTTTTTCCACATTTATATACTATTGAAATTACGAGACTTTCTGTATATCACTGCCATACTAGAGGTGTCATTACAACCTCAATGTGGCAAAACAACACAAAGTTCAATACCTTGAAATGTTGCAAAAATTGTTGAAGCGTGAAATCAGCTGTTCCACGTATCTCCCACCGGTCCCACATTGTCACAGTCAAGCCTTCCCTATAAGCAAAGATAGATGACAATTGTACTTTTATGTGGTAAGCAGACATATATACAAGTATATGTTGGCACCCAGGGTTTCAACTTAATATGTATCCATTTCAAATGAAATTTAGCTATGTGTGCCTCTATTCATTCCTTCAGTGATTAGATTTAAGAATTTTCTTATGAAATAAATGTAGCTGTCATGGACTTGGTTAATGACAAATAAGTGTATAACAATGATATGGAACATCAGTGTATGTTTAATGTTCGTCACAAATCCTTATTTTGAGCGTGTCTCACTTTTATGGAAATGCACATTGCAATAGATAATTAAAAACATCCATAGATATGTTAAGTATAAAAAATCCTTATAATGTGATTCACAGTTGTCACTAAGATCAACTTCACCAATGTTTATATTTATTATTGGATACAAGCTTAGTAGATAATTTTATGTATTGGGTACAAGCTTGGTAGATAAATTTGTGTATTGGTTACATGTTTGGTAGATAATTTTGTACATTGGATACAAGCTTGGTAGATAATTTTGTGTATTGGATACAAGCTTGGTAGATAATTTTGTATATTGGATGCATGCTTGATAGATAAATTTGTGTATTGGATACATGCTTGGTAGATAATTTTGTGTATTGGATACATGCTTGGTAGATAATGTTGTGTATTGGATACATGCTTGGTAGATAATTTTGTATATTGTATACATGCTTGGTAGATAATTTTGTATATTGGAAACAAGCTTGGTTGATAATTTTGTATATTGGATACATGCTTGGTAGATAAATTTGTGTATAAGATACATGCTTGATAGATAATTTTGTATATTTGATAAATGCTTGGAAGATAATTTTGTATATTGGATACATGCTTGGTAGATAATTTTGTATATTGGATACATGCTTGGTAGATAATTTTGCTGGAGTAACAATCTTACTTGATGACTGTTTTCTCGACTGGCCCGGGTTCTGACAATACAATTATTGGTAGGGCTAAGTTCAAGAAGGCATTCTTGTACACCTCTATGGGTAAATTGTCCATCACTTTTATCAACTCCACTGTCACCTGTCACAATGGATAAAAACATTTATTTTTTTATCTATGTTGATTGTACAAATTTGAATAATCCAATAATCTGTTAAAAAGCACCGAAGTCCTCCTAAGGCTGTTCTTTAAACATGCTTTGTTTATTCATAGACTAATGCAAAATGGTGGTAGTGGTCTTGCAACAAGAATACATGTATAAGATTAACTCTAAATAGTCTATGAAGGGTCAAATGATATTTATACTGACCAATCCACTAACTGTAGCTGTGGTGGTGGCTATTGCAGGAACAATTCTACCGGCAATCCTCTTAGCTTTAAGGCGGTCTATACTGTCTATCTTATACATGGCTCCTCGTAGGTTCTACAGTCAGAGATAATCATGTGATTACATGGAGTTAAGTTTTCTGACAGACATGTATATACAATGTATATATATTTACTCACTGATGCTGCTGCTATGAAGTCAATGTGTCCATTTGTGTCATCATCCTTCTCAAATTCCACTGGATTCATTGGACTCAGTACTAAAAAAAATATTTTTGATTGTGTGTAAGCAGGGTACTTCAGGTTCTGAAATATGTATACAAGAATATAAATCAGATACATGTACTTTAGAATTGAAATTGTCCAACTCCTAAGGAACTACAGCAATACATTACCTTGTACTTAAGTGTTGCAGATAATAAGATACAATTGAAAGACTTTCTCCACTTACATTGTGTAACATCTGCTTCTCTTAAAGTTGACTGCAAAAAATTAGTTACACCCACCTTACCTTGTGTGATGTCTGCTTCACTCAGTGTCAACTGCTGTCAATAAGCTACACTCATCTTACCTTGTATAATGTCTGCTTCACTCAGTGTCGACTGCAGTCAATTAGCTTCACCCATCTTACCTTGTGTGCCATCTGCTTCACTCAGTGTCAACTGCAGATGATTAACTTCACCATCTTACCTTGTGTGACGTCTGCTTCACTCGGTGTCGACTGCAGGCATTAGATAAACCCATCTTACCTTGTGTGACGTCTGCTTCACTCAATGTCGACTGCAGATGATTAGCTACACCCATCTTACCTTGTGTGACGTCTGCTTCACTCAGTGTCAACTGCAGACGATTAGCAGCATCTAACAGATCATCTCCACTTCCTGTTTCTTCTAATGGCTTTGAGGCTGACTCATCTGTGACAATTTTCTAAAGCCAAGGTCATACAGCTTTAGAACCATAATATTATCCTTACAGGTTATTATTACAGTTATTTGAGATTGTGATATAACACAGGTGAACAGGTTTTAGATACTCTAAATACATGTACCTTTACATGCTTGTATATAAAATTTAATTCTGGTAATAATGTGGTATTTGATAAGGAAAAAAATGTATTTTATATCATATAAATAGGGTTGCCCATGTCACAATGATTTGAATCAAAAACATATTGATCCGCTTGACATTACACTTCAAATTTTGTACAATTTGAAGCCATTTTTTTTCAGGGCAATAATCTTTTTTCTTACACTAAATGAATGAAAATTAAATGAGATGTGTGTGAAACACTTATGCCCCCTCCTTGGACATACGTTATAGGTTTGCTCGATTGTACCCAAATCAGAACTTGACCTAGATATTCTTACTGTAATCTGTATACCAAATTTCATTTCAGTATGTGCAACCTCTGCGAACAAAATGAACGGAAACTATTGGTGGACTGACAGACAGACCAACTGACAGGCAGCATCAAAGCAATATGCCCTTCCTTCTTTGAAAGAGGGGCAAAATTATGAGGAATGAAATTAATAGCTACCCAATTTATACCGTATAAAGTGGGCTGGAACAGTTTACGCTTCCAGGTTTACAAATAAACTTAAACTGCCCCAACCCAGTTTATACCGTATAAACTGGGTAGCTATTAAATTCATTCTTTAAGTACAATACATGTATTTTATTTTATTTCATGTTAACTAAGATATAAACTTCAGTGGAATCTTAATCCCATACATTGGAGGAATAAATAATTTTACAGTCCATATTATTTACTATCAAAGATGGTCTGACACAATAATGATATGAACAGATTGCTGCATACAAGTATTAAATAAGGTAATAATTAAACTTACCTTGTTTGTTGGTCTATATTCAGGAACTTTCATGTTTTGTAAAACTGACTTAATCGTCTCAAATGATGTGTCCTAAAATTAATGAAACAATTCTGTAAAAATAATGGCATTGTATAAAAGCTGTCAATTTGAATTAAAAATTGATTTTTCTTTATTTATAACGACAATATCTATACAATGTATAATAAATATAAAACTCATTATATATGGACTTTACAAAGTATTTAAAAATGATTATATATGAAACATCTTACTCTGCACTCACTTAATTACACAGTAAAACACACTTACAGTGAACACTTATATGTACAGTAAAACACATTTACAGTGAACACTTATGTGTACAGTAAAACACTCTTACAGTGAACACTTATGTGTACAGTAAAACACACTTACAGTGAACACTTATGTGTACAGTAAAACACTCTTACAGTGAACACTTATATGTATATGTACAGTAAAACACACTTACAGTGAACACTTATGTGTACAGTAAAACACACTTACAGTGAACACTTATATGTACAGTAAAACACACTTACAGTGAACACTTATGTGTACAGTAAAACACTCTTACAGTGAACACTTATGTGTACAGTAAAACACACTTACAGTGAACACTTATGTGTACAGTGAAACACTCTTACAGTGAACACTTGCATGTATATGTACAGTAAAACACACTTACAGTGACGCTAACATGCACAGTAAAACACTCTTACAGTGAACACTTATGTGTACAGTAAAACACACTTACAGTGAACACTTATGTGTACAGTAAAACACACTTACAGTGAACACTTACGTGTACAGTAAAACACACTTACAATGAACACTTACATGTACAGTAAAACACTCTTACAGTGAACACTTATGTGTACAGTAAAACACACTTACAGTGAACACTTATGTGTACAGTAAAACACACTTACAGTGAACACTTATGTGTACAGTAAAACACTCTTACAGTGAACACTTACGTGTACAGTAAAACACACTTACAATGAACACTTACATGTACAGTAAAACACTCTTACAGTGAACACTTATATGTATATGTACAGTAAAACACACTTACAGTGAACACTTATGTGTACAGTAAAACACACCTACAGTGAACACTGAAATGCACAGTAAATTTTTTTTTGCAATTTTTTTAGTCGCCAGGCAATTTTTCTTATGCGACAACTTTAAATGTTAATATAATATAGGGACCCATAACGTGCCTAAGAAAACATGACATGTCCATTGCTAAAAATAATTTCCTCTTCTTCTAAAATTCTTTTCGCTTTTCAGAAAAATTGTTAAAAAATGTGAAAATTTGCAAAATTCGATGATCGGCAAGTCAATTTAAAATTGTTGCCAATTTGGCGACTTATGGAAAAATTTTAGATGCCAATCAAAAATTTTAGGCACCATGGCGACTAAATTAGTCGCCAATTAGAGCCCTGTACAGTTAAACATACTTACAGTGAACACTTATGTGTACAGTAAAAAACACGCTTACAGTGAACACTTATATGTACAGTAAAACACACTTACAGTGAACACTTATATGTACAAAAAGAAGCTTACATTGAACATTCTTATAATGAACACATGCTTATAGCAAAGGGATTTTCATTTCTTTAGTTTTAAAACCTATTATTTTTACATTTTAAAAATGAAAACCACTTTGCTCTAAGCATTATTAAATTTATAACAAATCAATATTGGTTGTTTCTGGCACTCTGCTATAAGGTTGTTTTACTGTATATCATAAATCATTTTAAATTGGATTTTTTATTATAATGTTAAATTAAACCCTAAATGATAAATAAACTTTTCATCAAAAGATTCAAACTCACCACTGAGGTAACTGGAATACTGAACACGCCTGCATAGAGACGAGCTGTACTGACTATAAATAGGAAATGTCTGAAATAGTGAAATAATGTTAGGCAATTTGAGTATAAATCACAAACAAAGAATTTAACCACAAAAAAAAAAAACGAAATGCATGCTTCCTCTGATATTTCACTTTTCTATTCTAAGCACTGCCACAAAGAATTAAACATTTCTAGACTTATAAAAAACACTGTTTTAATAATTCCATTGAAATATATTTACTTCTGAGAGAACTTACAAAGGGTTTTGTATGTCAAATTCCTGAGGTACTGGAGGTCTTTTTGGAGACTGCCAAAATAGGGCTGAAATTTACATTTAGGGATGCATAATACTATATGTATGAAGAGTACTTTCTGAATAATAACCAAATAAACCAATTTAAATGCCATAACACTCTGAAATTTTACTTTACTCAGCCTGCATTTGTAAAATGTTCAATGAACATTTACCTAAATATGTGTATAAACTACAGCATGTTTAACACAACAGATGATACATGATTCTGTCATATTGAGTTATACATGTATCTAACTACTTTTGTGAAATCATGTATGCCTCTTCAATTATACATGTACTTAAATTTGGTGATTTTAAAAACATTATTTGACCATGCAATTAAAAATGTTAGGTTTTAAAAGTTTTCCTAAATAATTTGAGAGTACTGGTAATATTGTAAAATTTACTCACAGCCATCTTGCATTTTTGTGTCAAGTGGGAACATGTGAAGCAGATGCTTTGCCTGGGAAAAAAATATAGTATCAAAAAGATGTGTTAAAGAAAAGAAATGCAAATATTTATTTGAATACTGTTAATTACTTACTTAAGTGGAAATCATACAGTCTACGTGAAAGTCAAAAAGTTTAAGAGGACATAAGGTCTGGTAAAAATATATACAGTGTGTTTTTTTTACTTACTAGACTGACTTTTTATGCCCCCGGATCGAAAGATCCCGGGGGTATATTGTTTTTGTCCTGTCTGTCTGTTTGTCTGTTTGTTTGTCTGTTTGTCTGTCTGTCTGTTGTCAACTTTAACCTTGCCCATAACTTTTGATTGGTTGGAGCTATGACTTTCATATTTCACATGTGTATTCCTTGTGACAAGACCTTTCTTTGGGTACCATCATATTTGACCTTTTGACCTTGACCTAGGAGTTTGACCCACTTTTGCAAAATTTTATGAGACTTTAACCTTGGCCATAACTTCTGAACAGTTGGAGCTTGGGGTTTCAAACTTCACATGTGTATTCCTTGTGACAAGACCTTCCTTTGGATACCAACCACTTTGACCTTTTGACCTTGACCTTGGACTTTGACCTACTTTTGAAAAACTTTAACCTTGGCCATAACTTTTGAACAGTTGGTGCTTAGGGTTTCAAACTTCACATGTGTATTCCTTGTGACAAGACCTTTCTCTGGATATCAACCACTTTGACCCTTTTGACCTTGACCTAGGAGTTTGACCTACTTTTGAAAAACTTTAACCTTGGCCATAACTTTTGAATGGTTGGAGCTAGGGCTTTCATACTTCACATATGTAATCCTTTTGACAAGACCTTCCTTTGAATACCAACGACTTTGATCTTTTGACCTTGACCTAGGAATTTGACCTACTTTTGAAAAACTTTAACCTTAGCCATAACTTTTGAATGGTTGATGCTAGGGCTTTCATACTTCACATATGTAATCCTTGTGACAAGACCTTCCTTTGGATACCAACCACTTTGACCCTTTGACCTTGACCTAGGAGTTTGACCTACTTTTGAAAAACTTTAACCTTAGCCATAACTTTTGAATGGTTGATGCTAGGGCTTTCATACTTCACATATGTAATCCTTGTGACAAGACCTTCCTTTGGATACCAACCACTTTGACCCTTTGACCTTGACCTAGGAGTTTGACCTACTTTTGAAAAACTTTAACCTTAGCCATAACTTTTGAATGGTTGATGCTAGGGCTTTCATACTTCACATATGTAATCCTTGTGACGAGACCTTCCTTTGGATAGCAACCACTTTGACCCTTTGACCTTGAACTAGGAGTTTGACCTACTTTTGAAAAACTTTAACCTTGGCCATAACTTTTGAATGGTTGGTGCTAGGGCTTTCATACTTCACATATGTAATCCTTGTGACGAGATCTTCCTTTGGATAGCAATCACTTTGACCTTGACCTTTGACGTTTGACTTTTATTTAAAAAACTTTAACCTTCACCATAACTTTTGAACAGTTGTATCTAGGTCTTTCAAATTTCACAGGTGTTTTCCTCGAGACAAGATCTTTCTTTGGGTATCAACATTTTTTATCTTTTGGCCTGGATTTTGACTTGCATTTGAGAAACTTTAACCTTCGACATAAGCTGCCATATGGGGGCATAGTGTTTCACAAACACATCTTGTTTTTTTTTAAATTCATACATCATTATGATACTGAGATTGAAAAATGGGAGGGGGGAAATTCTCACTGTTAAATTGAACCTTAAATAAATCCAGAGATATGGTTATAAAAAAATGATTTAAATGAAATGAATAAGCTAACTATTAATAATTTTTCTTTGTAAAAGGTAGTATACAACTGCATACAATTTTCTCTTTTTCTGCTAACTCTGGTTGTATGACTCATACAAATGAAATACACAGTGTCAAAGATTTTTATGCCCCCGGATCGAAAGATCCCGGGGGTATATTGTTTTTGTCCTGTCTGTCTGTTTGTCTGTTTATCTGTTTGTTTGTCTGTTTGTCTGTCTGTCTGTTGTCAACTTTAACCTTGCCCATAACTTTTGATTGGTTGGAGCTATGACTTTCATATTTCACGTGTATTCCTTGTGACAAGACCTTTCTTTGGGTACCATCATATTTGACCTTTTGACCTTGACCTTGGAGTTTGACCCACTTTTGCAAAATTTTTTGAAAAGTTTGAAAGTTTGTAATCCTTGTGACGAGATCTTCCTTTTGATACCAACCACTCTGACCTTGACGTTTGACTTTTATTTAAAAAACTTTAACCTTCTCCATAACTTTTGAACAGTTGTATCTAGGTCTTTCAAATTTCACAGGTGTTTTCCTCGAGACAAGATCTTTCTTTGGGTATCAACATTTTTTATCTTTTGGCCTGGATTTTGACTTGCATTTGAGAAACTTTAACCTTCGACATAAGCTACCATACGGGGGCATAGTGTTTCACAAACACATCTTGTTTTAAAATTTAAAATGCACGTTAAATATTTTTTTATTTCTTTCCTGATATCTCATAATGGATACTCTAAGTTTGATAATGAAAAAATAATGAAAATGAAAAAAAACGAGTCTACGTTTGAGTGTAGATCTCCTTTTCATGACAAAGGACATTCGAATTAGAACAAGAGGCCCATGGGCCACATCGCTCACCTGATCACATTGGCTAGGAAAAAAAGGAAAAATCAGTACAGTATTGAAAAGTTTACAGGGAGGGGGGTGTTGAATTTTAAACTACCTGATGATGCTTTCATATCAATATAACAAATGGCTTTGTTGTTCTTGAGCAGCAGATTTTTTTCCCATATATTCATTTGTAAAAATTTGATCCCCCATTGTGGCCCCATCCTACCCCCGGGGGCCCTCATTTGAACAAATTTCATTCTACACTACCCAAAGATGCCTCCATATCAATTTGACTAATCATGGCTTTTCTGTTCTTGAGAAAAAGACTTTTTCCTATATATTCCTCTGTAAACTTTGATCACCCATTGTGGCCCCAACCTATCCACGGGGTAATGATTTGAACAAACTTGAATCTTCACTGTCTGAGGATGCTCCCATATAAATATGACCAATCATGGCTTTACTGTTCTTACGAAGAAGATTTTTAAAGATATTTTCCTATATATTTCTATGTAAAACTTTGATCCCCAATTGTGGCCCCACTCTACCCCCGGGGGTCATTATTTGAACAAATTTGAATCTTCACTACCTGAGGATGCTTCCATATAAATATGACCAATCATGGCTTTACTGTTTTTAAGAAGAAGATTTTTAAAGATATTTTCCTATATATTTCTATGTAAAACTTGGATCCCCCATTGTGGCCCCACCCTACCCCCAGGGGTTTTGATTTGAACAAATTTGAATCTTCACTACCTGAGGATGCTGCCATATAAATATGACCAATCATGGCTTTACTGTTTTTAAGAAGAAGATTTTTAGAGATATTTTCCTATATATTTCTATGTAAAACTTGGATCCCCCATTGTGGCCCCACCCTACCCCCGGGGGTCATGATTTGAACAAACTTGAATCTACACTAGCTGAGGATGCTTCCATATAAATATGACCAATCATGCCTTTGCTGTTCTTAAGAAGAAGATTTTTAAAGATATTTTCCTATATATATCTACGTAAAACTTGGATCCCCCATTGTGGCCCCACCCTTCCCCCGGGGGTCATGATTTGAACAAACTTGAATCTACACTACTTGAGGATACTGCCATATAAATATGACCAATCATGGCTTTACTGTTTTTAAGAAGAAGATTTTTAAAGATTTTTTCCTATATATTTCTATGTAAAACTTGGATCCCCCATTGTGGCCCCACCCTACCCCCAGGGGTTTTGATTTGAACAAATTTGAATCTTCACTACCTGAGGATGCTGCCATATAAATATGACCAATCATGGCTTTACTGTTTTTAAGAAGATTTTTAAAGATGTTTTCCTATATATTTCTATGTAAAACTTGGATCCCCCATTGTGGCCCCACCCTACCCCCGGGGGTCATGATTTGAACAAATTTGAATCTACACTACCTGAGGATGTTTCCACATATGTTTCATCTTTCCTGGCCCAGTGGTTCTTGAGAAGAAGATTTTTAAATGATGCCATTATTTTTTTACTAATTCCTAATTATCTCCCCTTGAAAGAGGGCGTGGCCCTTCATTTGTACAAACTTGAATCCCCTTTACCCAAGGATGCTTTGTGGCAAGTTTGGTTGAATTTGGCCCAGTGGTTCTTGAGAAGAAGATGAAAATGTGAAAAGTTTACAACAACAACAACAACGCCAACGACAACGACAACGCCAACGACAACAACGACGACAGACAACGGACAAATTTTGATCAGAAAAGCTCACTTGAGCCTTTGGCTCAGGTGAGCTAAAAAAACAATTATAATAGGATTGTTTTAGATCAAAATTAATCCTGCATTACTGCTAAAATGGGTCAAAAAAAGGATATCTGTGGAAAATGGGAATACATGTATGTGTACATGTAAATTCAGATTTTTTTGGCCTTATTATTTTATAAGACAATCAGTCCTGAATCCTGAAATTTTTTACCAACCCGAACCAAATTTTACCAGTAAAAACCATGCAATGGTCAGGTGACTTTCACATAGGCTGAATCATACTTTAGCACCTTTCATTTAAAGATATACACGCTATATAAATGCAATTTTTATGTGAAACAAAATGATTAAATGATTTGAGAAACATGATGTGTAATAAAAAATAATTACTTTCCACAAAGTTTTACTAAATAAGTTGTTGTAATTATAAAACAATTAAGCAAGATCTGCAATTAAAAAATCAGCCTATTCATGAATATTGATGAAGGAAGTGCGTAAACAGTATATAGACACGCATGTCCGCGAGAAATCATAGACAACTAGGTACATTGCAATTTGACTACGATTTTTAATAAAAGTTAATATCTGTCATTACAGAGTAGATGCTTAATACTGGTTGTTTTCAAAGATAAGTATCTTTAAGCATAAAACGTATGCCATCCATGTCAAAAGTTATTTTGTAAACCAAACGGCCTACCTCGTTTTCTTGACGCCATTTTTGTTTATCAATCTAAAAGTAGCGACGGTGTCACGTGATGCATGAATATAAATATAGGCATTACTTTCCTAGTAGGATAATAAATAACTATAATTTGAGATCTGTATAATGCGTTCATTTCCAATTGTGTAATTTACAATATTTTCGTAACTTTATTTGGTAAACAAAATAAATGAATTTCCAACTTTATTTTTAACTAACGCAAGTTATAGCGTGTATATCTTTAACTAAATTTAACTAAGTAAGCTAAAAGATCTGTGCACATCTCCTTACCTTGTGATTGAAATATTTCTGGAACTTGAGTCTTGCCAGCTGTACACACTGACACCAGGTGGCGCTCCTGTTGGCCACCATTTTACTAACCTGGACAGCGCCATCTACAGATTGTCCATCTTTCAGTTTCTACAGTCAAAAATCTGGCATATCAGAAAACCATGCCTACTGATTTTAGTAAGATTCATACTTTGGCACAACAAATTATGCACTTATTCATTAATGACCAAAATAAGATTTTATTTCAATACATTTCATAGATATGCTGTTAACATGGTTAATATCAACTGTATTTTATCTATTATTAAATTGTACCTGACCTACATTGTATGTAAACTTTGGATATGCTAATCATAAGATCATGTACAGCCATTCTTCAAACATTGTCTTTCCAAACTTTATATATGAATAAATAGCCATCAAAGAATTGGGGAATACTTGTATCAATGTGCAGAAATCAAAGTGAGGGTAACATCTTGTTTTTTCTTACTTGTATAACATCAGTAACTTCTCCATTCTGTCTCCAGAACTTGTTAAACAAATCCGGCTTCCCAGTAAACGAACTCTCAAACTGCAAAAGAACAACTGGTACTTCTTATACAGGAACAGGAAATGATTAATCACATGTAAACATCTTGCAGGAGCAATATTACTAAAAAAAAAAGTTGTCAGTAAATCAGCACAGTAAAAATAGTTAACAGTAAAAAATTTTCAGATTTAAGGTATTACCTTATCCCTAGCCCACTGTATGCAGTGCTCAATATTTGCAGGGAAGGACTTCAAAGTACAGTACGGAACACTCTCATCTCTAGGGTCATTCTGTTTGTTAAAATCAAAGTCATTAATTTACACACTAAGATACAAGTAAAGACTTTACTGTTTGGTATCAAATTCTTTCTTTTCTGGTGTCTTTTTATTTGTTAAAACCAGTAAACATGACAATAGTCCCAGCTACTCTGTTATCAACATGTAGTTCATGGCTCAAACATATCACATTCATCTTTACATAAGATCTGGGGGAGGGTTGCAAATGTTTTGATACATAACCTATGAAAGGTCAATTAAACAAAGGCTTGTATGAGTTTTACAGTTCTATGTCAACTCTAACTTACTATCCTAAGGACTCTAAGACTTATAAAACATGTGTTACCTGACTGCTGTACGACTCTGTCATATGAGGAACGATGACCTGGACGTGACCTTTAGTTCCCAGAGTTCCAGACTCCAACAGTGCTCTCTGATTGGTCACACAGCGACTGCATAAGTAATCAACATAGAATTACAAGTATGTCATTTTTGGTCATTTATTCTAATGATTTTACAAACATCATACATGCATGTAGATATTTATGTTGAGAGTTATAGCTTACCTGTCTACATAGCGCCGGGCCTCAATGTTATCCAAAGCATTGACTACAAGGTTCTGGTTCTCAAAGAAGGCATCATTATAAACTTTGTCTTCTGTCTGAGGACAAACTAAAACCAAAACCAAGCACTGTCTTAGTGCAATCCAAAACAGCTGTCATATACATGTAAAGTAAATCTTTACATGATCACAGTAATACATCTAATCCAAATCGGTTATAATCAATGATAATACTGATTTATCAATCCAGCTTATTGATAACATAGTGATATGTAAATCCATTTTAAAAAAAACATAATGGGTTTATCAACTAGAACTGTCCAAAAGGGACAAATACCCCCCGCTGGGTTTTTCAGAGAAGGTACCAAATCACAAATGTTTTCTAGATGTGAGAGGTGTTCACAATTTGCTTAAACATTTAGATTGAAAATTTAATTACTCATTATATTTTTTTTTAATGAATGAAACTAAGGTGCAGCCTAATAAAACATCAATACTAGTAATTACAGTGTTTTTTATTACATTGAAAAAATAGTTTGCAACTATCTGTCATCTTTGTGAGACATGACACTCTGCAAATTGATTGTTGAAAAAATAATATCATAATTAATTATACAAAATCACATTAATTTTAATACCTTTATATCAAACTCATTTTAAAAATAAAAGGCTGGTTCCAGTAACTGTATTTTGACAGACATATATTACAATTAAGAGACTTAGACAACAGAGATCTTTATTTCTTTCTGCCCAATTCCCAGGAGATATAGATAAGACCTGCTTGATCAGAGATGCCCTAACAGCTTCTCACACTGAACTCATTAATTAATCTTTAACTGGATGCATGTCCACTCATTACTCCCAAGGGACAAATGGATTTACACTATCTGCTGTGTAATGTAAAAACTGTTTTTAATTCTTTGTGATTTTTTTTTTTAGTTCTAATGAGTAGTTTTAAGCTGTACTTCAAACTTTTGTACAGATGTTCTAGATTCTACGTCTCAAACCTTAGACATGAACCCAAAATGACTACGTCAATAAAAATGAAAAAAAAAAAACACCTGTAAAATGCAAAAAAATTATGCAATCATAATGAAAATACCAGGTGCACACCTTCATATGGCAAAGAATAAGTGTACAAATTTTCAGACAAATCCTTGCAACAGTTTCCAAGAAATGGTCCGGACAAAATCTCGTCTACAGACAGACGGACAGACAGACAGACAGACGGACAGACAGACGGACAAGCTGATTCCAATATACCCCCCCTAAACTTCGTTTGCGGGGGGTATAATAAATAATCATCCACTCCTTTTTCCTGTGTTTACTAGACCTGTAAGTTTACTAGACCTGTAAGTTTACTAGATCTGTAAGTTAACAGTACTAGACCTTAAGTTTACTAGACCTGTAAGTTTACAGTACTAGACCTTAAGTTTACTAGACCTGTAAGTTTACTAGATCTGTAAGTTTACAGTACTAGACCTGTAAGTTTACTAGACCTGTAAGTTTACTAGACCTAGAAATGTAAGTTTACTAGACCTGTAAGTAAGTTTACTAGACCTGTAAGTTTACTAGATCTGTAAGTTTACAGTACTAGACCTGTAAGTTTACTAGACCTGTAAGTTTACTAGACTTGTTAAGTTTACCTTTATGCTGTTGTGCCTCTATGTTCAGATCTGAAATTGAAGTGAAGCATGTAATAAAATCTGTACTAATGTAAAACATTCATCAACACATCTGTAGTAATGCCTCATTCTGTATATTCAACATGAGCAAGAGACCAAAAGGTCTCAATAATCAACTGGGACGTCAAACTTTTTGGACAAAATATGAAATTTAATAAAGTGTATTCAGGATTGATGTGAAAATTGTAAAAATTGTAGCCTTGTTTTCTTAGAGAGTTTCAAACACTTCAGTGTAAAACTGTGTAAAATTGTGACCCTCTGTTGGGGCCCCACTCTAGTCCCAGGGACCATGATTTGAACAAACATGAATCTTCACCACATGGGTATGTCTATATATTAATATGATTAATTAGAGTCTTCAATTGTTGAGAGATTATAAAGTTTTCTTTTTCCCTACATGTATATCAAATTTTAACCTCTATTGTGGCCTCATACTAGGCCTAGAGGTCATAAATGGACATGGAGATGTTCCTCACTTGAAGAGAAGATTGATTGATTGATTGATTGTATGTTGTTTTACGTCCCATTCAAGAATTTTTCACTCATATAGAGATGTCACCATATACCTGTGAAGAGCTTCAAATTTTGACCTTAACTCGGCACTCAGGGCCATTGAGCAGTGAGGGATCTTTACCGTGCCTGCCGCGACACGGGCCTCTGTTTTTAAGGTCTTATCTGAAGGACCCGCAACTTTCACTTCAAAGTGCCGAGCGCATGGCGAAGGAATAGTTGCTACCAATTTTATATCAACTTAGGTCAGTCGCGGCCGAGATTCGAACTCATGACCTTCCAATGATGCTTGAGGAGAAGAATTCGAATGATTTTTCCACTATATATCTAAGTGACAAGTTTTGACAACTACAATGGTCTCAATCAAGTTCTAGGGGCCATAACATTTTGATAAAATTGAATCTATACTCAATAAAGAAGCTTTACTGGAAGTTTTATCTTTTCTGACCTAGTGGAGGAAAAGATATTTTAAAGTCCCCATCCTTTTTCCCTATTTCCTAATTATCTCCATTTGCATAGCTCATGTGACAATTAAACTTGAATCCCATTTATTTAGGAATGCTTTGTGCCAAGATTGGGATATTGTGTCAGTAGGTGTATTGACATCCATAAATTCTTAAAAATATACCTGCATTAATATATAGGACTGCCTCTGCTGCCGTAGTACTCTTAGGTTTCTGAAATGGACAGAATATAAAAAAAATATTCCAAGAATGTTCAAAATGTAAAACCATCACTTTTCAACATTTTAATGCATAGAAATTGTTTGAAAGTCTACATTTTTTTTTCTTTTTGAAATCTAATTATTGCATGGATAGTTGATTTATAGATGGTAAATACCATCATTTTCATAAAGTTCTGACATATACACTGTACCAAATTGCCATAAAATGAATTTTAAAAAAATTGGATGGAGTTCTTTCTGCACCACTCTCTCCCAGAGGTTTTCTTGTGATTTGAAAAAAGATGTCCATGTACTAAACAAATCGAATGAACCTCTACCTGAATGTCAGCTGGTCGGAACAAAAACTGTCTGTTCAGATTGGACTTCTCAATTAAATCATTGTCCGTTATCGTTATCTACAACAAATGATAAATATCTTATTCTTACAACCTCACTTTTTTTTTGGCCAATAACTGTTGCATCAAGTAAATTTAAAGAATTTTCCCCATGGAAATCCCGGTCAAAAATACTCACACATCCTTGCTGTTTTTTTCCTATCCCTAAGAGAGCATAGTTCTTCAACATCTCACAACCAATGGCTCCACAGCCCACCTATATAGCATACAAAAGATTTCCTTAGTTGTCACATAAAATGCTTAATTAGTTGTCACATACAGAAGGCTTACTTAGTTGTCGCATACAAAAGGATTACTTAGTTGTCACACTGAAATCAAAAATGAGTGCAGAAATATGGGAAAGATAGCCCTTTCAAAATATCAGTTTGCCACAGACTTTTTTTGTTGTGTACTGCAAGTAAAGACTTTGAAAGTCTTGTAATAGCACTATGCTGTCCTTAAACTCCCTGATAAACACATATTACATTATTTCTGGTGACATATGACATGACTCCTTATATTCTTGGTAAGTTGCTAAATATGGAGCATACATGTACTTCCAAACTTCAAAACACTTTTTTGAATACAATGCAAATACATGTATTTTGACAAGCTTACACTAAACATACCATGAACAGTTTCAGGTGAGCTAACTTGTCACATTTCCTCTGTCCCAGACATATTCTTTGGGCATCATACCTGTCATTTCTAAAAGTCAATCAGTAAAACTTGTTTAATCAACACTATCAAATATTACTCTGCTTGTTTGCAACAACACATTAAAAGGGATATACCAGGACAAGCATTTTGTAGAGGCTTCTCAAAGAGAATTGGCTTGTGCTGAGTGACAGTGTCTTGTATGTACAATGTAGTGAGTGTTGAATAGTAAGTAAACCATATTCTTATGATAATTTTCTATCAAATTCATTTTTTTTAGGCACATTATTTTTCTATATGGAATGCTACCTGTATATACCCAAATGACTTGCATTCCCAGAGAACCACTTTTAAATTTTAACTTACCCTGGGTATATGGTTTCTTTAAATTGTTCATACTGTCAAATTACTGCAATATAGTGATATATCACATCTAAGAATTAGAAAATAAAGAATCCATACAGTAAGATCCGTCAACATACCTTGGTGTAAATGTGGCAGGGGCACCTGCATCATCCTTAGGTACAACTTCTCTACAGTCCAGGTACAACTGACAAAGACACATGTAATAGTGTGTATAACTGTCAAATATCTCTCAATTTCAGATATCATCTGTGATACTGTGTATAACTGTCATATATATCTCAATTCCAGATATCATCTGTAATACTGTGTATGACTGTCAAATATCTCTCAATTTCAGATATCATCTGTAATACTGTGTACAACTGTCACATATATCTCAATACCAGATATCATCTGTAATACTGTGTATAACTGTCAAATATCTCTCAATTCCAGATATCATCTGTAATACTGTGTATAACTGTCATATATATCTCAACACCAGATATCATCTGTAATAGTGTGTAACTGTCAAATATCTCTCAATTCCAGATATCATCTGTGATACTGTGTACAACTGTCATATATATTTCAATAAAAGATATCATCTGTAATACTGTGTAAAACTGTCATATATATCTCAATTCCAGATATCATCTGTAATACTGTGTACAACTGTCATACCTATCTCAATTCCAGATATCATCTGTATGACTGTCAAATATCTCTCAATTTCAGATATCATCTGTGATACTGTGTATAATTGTCATATATATCTCAATTCCAGATATCATCTGTAATACTGTGTATGACTGTCAAATATCTCTCAATTTCAGATATCATCTGTGATACTGTGTACAACTGTCAAATATCTCTGAATTCCAGATATCATCTTGTGACGAAGTTGATTTTTTTTTTGTATATACTGTTTTAATTTTGGTTTTAACGGGTTTCCTTACTATTGAGGTTGTTTTGTTACGAGTATATAAAGGGACCGGTTTTGTCAGAGTGGTCAGATCTAGTTTGGTGTCCGGTAGAGTGACCAGCCGGAGGTGTGCCACGTTTGTTGTTTTCCCCTGCATGATTATACAAGTGGCGAATATATTTCGGTGAGATATAGCACCGAATTTAATGGGTAGCCATATAACTTGTAAGGCAGACTATTGCAGCGTGTGTATGCAGTTCTAGCCTTGCGTAAGGTGCTGAGAGAATATTTTGCACATAGAAGACGGGCTGAGGGTCAGTTGACGACTGTTATAAGCATTTGAGGTCAGTGGGGAGCGTTGGATGGAGGGCCAGTCGTGTCATGTCCAATCGTCGATGCTGAACAGGAACCGATGTTGGTAGGACAACCGCAGTGGGAGGCGATAGACCCGGGGCTACGGTTAAAGCAACTACCACGTGGTGACGAGTGAACGGTACAGGACTTGGGCGTTCCTAGATAAGTGCTAATGGCGGATGCACGTGTGGTGTGACTTCCGGTGAACATTTATAAGCAGTTGTGATATAGTAACTATTGAGTAACTTTCAGCCGTTTAAGAAAAGGAAATTATTTTTTGAAGTATTATATAATTATTAACTAAAATTATTTGAGCTTTTTCGGAATATTATTTAAGTCAATTTTGGTGATTTTTTCATTTGATATAATATCTGATACTTACTGAATCAGAATTGTAGAAGTTAATATTGAATCATTGTAAAGTATCGGAATTGGTGAAAACTGAGTTAACAGTTTACTATTACATTTATTTCATTTTCGGTGTGTGAGCCTGTATGTGAGAGTGAGTGAGTGACATAGAATTTATTTGTTTTCTATTTTATTTATTTTGTGTAAATAAATTTTTTTGTTTATTCTGATTGATATTGTTTTCCTTCTCAACTCTACAAAATCCAAAAAAAATCATTACACATCTGTAATACTGTGTACAACTGTCATAAATTATATCTCAACTCCAGATATCATCTGTAATACTGTGTACAACTGTCACATATCTCTCAATTCCAGATATCATCTGTGATACTGTGTACAACTGTCACATATATCTCAACACCAGATATCATCCGTAATACTGTGTATAACTGTCAAAAATATCTCAATTCCAGATATCATCTGTAATACTGTGTACAACTGTCACATATATCTCAATACCAGATATCATCTGTAATACTGTGTATAACTGTCAAATATCTCTCAATTCCAGATATCATCTGTAATACTTTGTATAACTGTCATATATATCTCAACACCAGATATCATCTGTAATAGTGTGTAACTGTCAAATATCTCTCAATTCCAGATATCATCTGTGATACTGTGTACAACTGTCATATATATCTCAATACCAGATATCATCTGTAATACTGTGTATAACTGTCAAATATCTCTCAATTCCAAATATCATCTGTAATACTATGTATGACTGTCAAATATCTCTCAATTTCAGATATCATCTGTAATACTGTGTACAACAGTTATATATATTTCAATACCAGATATCATCTGTAATAATGTTTAAAACTGTCGTATATATCTCAATTCCAGATATCATCTGTAGTACTGTGTACAACTGTCATATAATTATATCTCAACTCCAGATATCATCTGTAATACTGTGTACAACAGTCATATATATTTCAATACCAGATATCATCTGTAATAATGTGTAAAACTGTCGTATATATCTCAATTCCAGATATCATCTGTAATACTGTGTACAACTGTCATATAATTATATCTCAACTCCAGATATCATCTGTAATACTGTGTACAACTGTCAAATCTCTCAATACCAGATATCATCTGTAATACTGTGTACAACTGTCATATATATTCCAATACCAGATATCATCTGTAATACTGTGTACAACTGTCATATACATGTATATCTCAATACCAGATATCAACTGTAATACTGTGTACAACTGTCACATATCTCTCAATTCCAGATATCATCTGTAATACTGTGTATAACTGTCATATATATCTAAATACCAGATATCATCTGTAATACTGTGTACAACTGTCATATATATCTCAATTCCAGATATCATCTGTAATACTGTGTACAACTGTCACATATATCTCAATACCAGATATCATCTGTAATACTGTGTACAACTGTCATATATATCTGAATTCCAGATATCATCTGTAATACTGTGTACAACTGTCACATATATCTCAATACCAGATATCATCTGTAATACTGTGTACAACTGTCACATATCTCTCAATACCAGATATCATCTGTAATACTGTGTACAACTGTCACATATCTCTCAATACCAGATATCATTTGTAATATTGTGTACAACTGTCATATACATGTATATCTCAATTCCAGATATCATCTGTAATACTGTGTATAACTGTCATATATATCTTAGTATCATCTGTTGTATGTGAATACATCTATCAATTGATGATGTAGGGGAACCCCTTCTTCAGTGCCAGGATATATGTGTGAGAAAAATAACTCTTTATCTTGGATTGTTTATCATCTATCATGACATCATGTACACATACTGTAGAATCATCATTGTTTGTGGATTCCATGGCATTCCACTGAATGTTTACTCAATGCATACATGCAATCACATAGATGCTAACTTTATAATATATTACTCATATCAAGATTTTTGCAACAGCAAATATTATTTTTTTCAAAATAAAAGATAAAATTTAGTAACCATTACAGCTTAAAACTGAATTTATGATTGAATTCCAAGCTTTGAATATTCCCAAGCAATAAGTATTAAAGACTCAATGAGATAAAGAAATAATGCCAATTACTTCAAAACCAATGCCCTGGCTGTTAAAATCTTTTCTTACCCACTGTTGTAAAGGTGTAAATTTCCCAGTGACTGCCTTGATTCCCTCTTGTGCTACAAATCCTCCCAGAGCCGCACACAACGGTGCCAAACAACCCAGGCTGGTGTACGACAGAATTCTTAAAACTTCCTCATCTATATCAGTTACCTACAGAATAATTAAAGTATGAGATAATTCTTACAAAAGCCTTGTTTAGAGCTATGGGATATGATTTGTAGGTTCCTGTGTTTGTAAGGTTTATCCCCATTGTACATCAATACCAGTACACAGCAGTGAGAGAGCTGTGACAATGATAGACAAGGTCACAACATCAAGAAACATCAATAACATTTGGCCTACTGTCTCTTGAGGTGAAAGTCTGACCCAGTGGATCAACAATGTACTTACTCTACCTGAACTCATAGCATTTACGTTACATTGTACATAAATACACAAACATTGCAAAAAATATTTCATGAAAAAAGATAAAACTTTACCTTAGTGACTAGCTGAGTGTTCAGGACATTAGCAATAGATATAATATTATTGGCATCCTCCACATTCCTGTAGTAAAAAATAGAATTCTAGTAAACACATGTATATACTCCATCTAGCTGACTGTTTTAACAGTTTTATCAGCAGTCTAATAGAAAACAGTATAACAGAATGAAAAGCAAACTTACCAAACATTTGGAAATCGGTTAAATTTCTCATAAAACTGATGGAGAGCTAGAAAACCTAAGTGCAAATTATTAGGAGCCTGGAAAGAATTAAAAATTTATTAGTTTGGACACACAAAAGCCACAAAATAAGTTAAGCTTGATGTACCAGTACATGCAATATGTTGTATATAAATGATGCAACACAATCATGGTACATTTGTATATTATAGTGTAGCAACATGTACTGATTGCATATGTCATTGTGTTTAAGAATTATTACATCATTTAATCTGTTTAGACTTTCGAATTCTTACCTCAAACTTACAAAGGTCAGGGACAAGAAGTGATGGCTTCATTAATTCTTGTTCTAAAGATTTCTGGTAAATAATAAATACAGGTTCATATACAATTACATTATCTATTATTATGTACTACCTGTATGGCTCAGGTATAGCACTGCAAAGAAATGTATGCCATAAGGACCAATTTCTGCCCCTAAATTTAAATTAACAGAGAAATCTATAATCGTGACGTTAACTATAAATCTATGTGTATTAACTTCAAATCACTGAAGAATGCATCAATATCATGAGCAAGTAAGAAAAAGACATAATATTTAAATTTCATTGATCTTAACAGAATGAGTTTTCTGTGAACATGTCTTCATTGCCCAAACCTCATCTTTTAAAATACCAATATGTAGAATGATAGTATCAATGAAACATATAATAAGACAAAGCAAACTTGTGCTCTCTGAATTCTAAAGGCAAACTGAACAAAAAAATCATGATATCTGTCATTCCATTTTAGAATTTAGGGGGGAAAAAATTAAAGATGTCATAGAGACAAAAAATAGACGTCAATTTAACCTAATTGTCACAATTTCCCCATTTCTTATATCTTCTACATAATGAGTTCATTTTGATTGACTTACACATTTTTCAATGGGGGGGGGGGGGATATTTTGATTCTTTAACTACATAGTGAAAAATTTTATATACTGTTCATTGCTACTGACAGACCAATTCATTAAAACAGTGCTTAATATACTTTAGTTTTTGATGAAGAATAGATAAGCTCTGTTTGTACATTTAGAAAACATTTACTGATATCTAAAGAGAAAATTAATACCAAAATTTTCCAAATGTTCAACCTTGAATCTATGCTAAAAAACATATTCTTGCCAAATTAATGATTTATTTTTTATTCCAAAGAATGCAATAATACAGACACTATTTAGGTGAACAGACTCTCTCCTATTCTGTGCTTATATACCGGGTAACTGTTGTATTTCATCGAAAATTTCAAACAATAAAACCACAAGATACATGTATATATTATATCTTAATCCTGTACCTTCATTGAATTCAATTGACTGGAATCACAAACAAGAGGCCCATGGGCCACATTGCTCACCTGAGCACATTGGCTAGGAAAAAGAAAAAATCAGTTCAGTATTGAAAAGTTTAAATGGGAAATGGGGGGGGGGAGGGGGGCTTGAATTTTAAACTACCTGAGGATGTTTCCATATCAATATAACAAATAGCTCTGCTGTTCTTGAGCAGAAGATTTTTAAAGATTTTTTCCTATATATTCCCTTGTTCAAAATTTGATCCCCCATTGTGGCCCCTCCCTAACCCGTGGGGGGTGGGGGTGTCATCATTTGAACAAACTTGAATCTACTCTATCTGAGGATGCTTCCAATATGACTAAACATGGCTTTGCTGTTCTTGAAAAAAAAATTTCCAATGTATTCCTATGTAAAACTTTGATCCCCCATTGTGACCCCATCCTAACCCTGGGGGGTCATGATTTGAACAAAGATGAATCTACACTATCTGAGAATGATTCCATATCAATACAACTTGACAAGGCTTTGCTGTTCATGAGAAGAAGATTTTTCAAATGTTTTTTCCCTATATATTCTTATGTATATCTTTGATTCCCCATTGTGACCCCACCCTAACCCTGGGGGTCATGATTTTAACAAATTTGAATCTACACGACCTGAGGATGCTTCCATATCAATATGACCAATCATGGCTTTGCTGTTATTGAGAAGAAGATTTTTAAAGATATTTTCCTATATATTCTGTTGACTATATGTTGGCATCAAGTCAGTTGTATCATAAAATTGAACATTTTAATGTATTACCTCCTACAGAAATATCAGATCATTGCCTTATAACTGCAAGTATTAATATGAACACAAATGTGTTTTGCAATGAAAAATATAAAATGCACTCTTTGAAGGGGAAATATCTCTGGTCAAGCACTTGTAAAAACCAATATGCAGAAGCTATTAATGAGGAAGAAACTAAAAATCAAATACTAATGTTGGATAATTTACTTGACCAAATATATGATGATAACACATATGATTCAAATTATCTTGTTTATAAACTATCAAGTATTATAATTAATGCAGCTAATAAAAGTTTTCCATTTAAACCTGCAAAATTTACAAAATCACAACGAAAAAATAAACAAAGACCAAAATGGATGACTACAGATTGCTTACTCCTACGAAAAGAAGTTAGAAATTTAGGGAAGAAAGTACACAAATATCCAAACAACTGTGAACTAAAACATGCCTTTGCAAAATGTAGAAAAGATTATAATAAACTAAGAAAAAGTCTTAAATCTAATTTTTACAATAGTATTGCAGAACAAATTAACACACTTTCGCCACAAAACTCCAGTAAATTTTGGAATAAGATAAAAGAAAATAAATCAAAGAAAACTAATGCAGAAACAATTGGAATTTCAGAATTCGTTGACCACTACAAATCCTTACTGAACATTCAATATACTGATGAAGAGAGCTTGAAATACAAGTACACTGAACTAAATACTGAACCAAATCCATTAGACTTTTTGTTTACTCAAGATGAAATAGAACAAAGCATTTTAAAGCTGAAAAATGGTAAAAGTGCTGGGCCTGACTTAATTTTAAATGAGTTTATTAAAACAAACAATACTACCCTTTTACCTGTCCTTACAAAACTGTTTAATATTCTACTTAAAAATGGAAAAATGCCCAAAGAATGGAACCTTTCACTTATAACATCATTATACAAAAATGGTGATCCTAATAATACAAACAATTATAGGGGTCTCAGTGTTACAAGTTGTTTAGGAAAACTTTTTACAGGCCTTCTACAGAAACGCTTAGATAATTATCTTGAGTCAAATAACCTACTAAGTCAATATCAATCTGGATTTAGAAAAGGTCATAGGACCACTGACAATATATTTGTACTAAAAACACTTGTAAACAAATATCTTTATACAAAGAAACAGAATTTATATGTGTGCTTTGTAGATTTTTCAAAAGCATTTGATACTGTGTGGAGATCTGCACTTTTATACAAATTGAATAAAAAGGGTATTGGTGGTAACTTTCTCAAACTTTTGACAGACATGTATACAAATACATACTATTCTTGTAAAAAGGACAATCAAATGAGTGAAAAATTTAAAGCTAATAGAGGAGTCAAACAAGGTGATAATTTAAGTCCAACACTTTTCAATATCTTTGTTGATGATTTTGTGAATTATCTTAAAAATGTAAGCACAAATCCTGCATATCTAGATACTATGCCAATAAATCATATGTTTTTTGCTGATGACCTGGTCCTTGTATCAGAATCAGAAGTTGGTCTACAAAACTGTATAGATGTTTTAGGAAAATATTGTTCAGACTGGAAATTGTGTGTTAATATGGATAAAACAGATGTTATGATTTTTTCAAGAAAAACAGATGATGAAACATCATTTAGATTTTATTACAATCACCAAATGATTAACATAACGAATGAATATAAATATTTGGGTGTTGTGTTCAGATCTGATGGAAAAATGAAATTTGCAGCTGAACAACTATCAGAACGTGCTAGGAAAGCATATTATGCTATTAAATCAAATTTTCCTACAAACATTAATCATTTTCAGCTGAAATTATGTTAAAATTATACCAGTCAATGATAATACCAATTATTACATATGGATCTGAAGTATGGATAACTGACTTCAAATGTGATTTAATGTCTTCAGACCAATTTCCTTTTGAAAAAACACAACACTTAATATTTAAAGACATACTAGGGGTACATAGAAAGGCATCAAATCTTGCTGTTTTATGTGAATTGGGTCGTTTTCCTTTGTACTATTTATGTTATGAATATATGTTTAAATATTTTAAGAGACTTAAGGAAATGGAAAACAAACATGATTACAATAATTATTTAGTGATTTCTGCATTTAAAGAAGACAAAAAACTTGTATCTAGAATATCTTGGCAAAGAAAACTGTCTTCATTACTACAAAAATTAAATATCACTTCTTTGGACATTTCTCACACAACCTTGAAAAACAAATTACAAGAGCATTACCAAAACAAGATACATGAACAACTGAAAAATATAAGCAAATCAAACTCTGGAAAGTTAGCTTTTTATAGTAAAATTGTAATTCAAAATGAATACAAATTGCAAAGTTATTTAAAGCTGCCTTTAAAGAAAAGTTTTAGATCTGTATTAACAAAATTAAGGATCAGTGCCCATCCATTGTATATTGAAACGGGCAGATACTGTAAACCCCCTATTCCTAGAGAAAAACGTTTATGCTATTCATGTAAATTATTTATTGAAGATGAAAAACATTTTGTTCTATACTGTTCAAAGTATGACCAATTTAGATGCAATTATACTGATATATTTAATGTAAACACATATACTAGTGATAATCCCATTAGAAAAATTGTCAATCCTACAAATATTACAACTGCTAGAAGGATATGTTGTTTTTTGAAAAAGTGCTTTGACACCAGAAAAGAAAGTCAGCAATGAATACTTAGAAATATGTGAATATACTCTACATTATTTTGTTCAACTAACATTTGTCATTTTGTATATGTATGTATTATTCTTGTTAATTCGTTTTATGTCATGACTGTATGCCGACATGGTAATTGTCAATAAAGTGAATTGAATTGAATTGAATATTCCTATATAAAACTTAAATCCCCCTTTGCGACCCCACCTATACCTGGGGGTCATGATTTGAACAATCTTGAATCTACACTACCTGAAGATGCTTCCATATCAATATGACCAATCATGGCTTTGCTGTTCTTGAGAAGAAGATTTTCAATGATTTTTTCCTATATATTCCTATGTAAAACTTTGATCATCCATTGTGGCCCCACCCTACCATGGGGGGTCATGATTTTTTCAAACTTGCATCTACATTACCTGAGGATGCTTCCATATCAATATGACCAATCATAGCTTTGCTGTTCTTGAGAAGGAGATTTTTAAAGATTTTTTCCTATATATTCCTATGTAAAACTTTGATCATCCATTGTGGCCCCACCCTACCCCGGGGGGTCATGATTTTTTCAAACTTGCATCTACATTACCTGAGGATGCTTCCATATCAATATGACCAATCATGGCTTTGTTGTTCTTGAGAAGAAGATTTTTAAAGATTTTTTCCTATATATTCCTATGTAAAACTTTGATCCCCCACTGTGTCCCCACCCTACCCCCAGGGGTCATGATTTCAACAAACTTGAATCTACACTACCTGAGGATGATTCCACATGAGTTTCATCTTTCCTGACCCAGTGGTTCTTGAGAAGAAGATTTTTAAAAGACGCTATTAATTTTTCACTTATTTGAAATTATCTCCCCTTGGAAGAGGGCATGACCCTTTATATGAACAAACTTGAATCCCCTTTACCCAAGGATACTTTGAGGCAAGTTTGGTTGAAATTGGCCCTGTGGTTCTTGAGAAGATGTTGAAAATGTGAAAAGTTTACAGACAGACAGACAGACAGCTAGACAGACAGACAGACAGACACCAGACAAAATGTGATCAGAAAAGCTCACTTGAGCCTTCGGCTCAGGTGAGCTAAAAAGCTATGAGGTACCAAATAGCAACAATTTTAAGCCACAGAAGATATCCCTTTCTTTGAAACATTTCAAGTGAATGACTTACAAATGATGCCATTTTGGACACTTTAACCTGCTTGACAATACCACCATGTTCATAAGGAGCAAAGTCTTGTCCTGATGTATCACAGATTTCAAAGGTATAGGGTGACGTCACTAAAAAACAACAAATGCTGATTCATGTTGGAATTTTGTTTCTACTGTATTACCTCAAATAATTCTTCAGTTAAATACTTGTTAATACATGTATATTTCAAATACGGAAATAACATGTAAAGTTCTCCGTCAAATCACTATTTATTTCAGCAAAAGCAAACATACTTTTTATTTGCACAAGTATATGAGTAAAACCTCAGATCTTACCTTTAATTTGACAGGTGTAACCATTCAGCTTTGTCATTCCATTAATTTCTCTAAAGGTCACATGGTCTCCAGATTCAAATCCATGCATTTTAATTTTAAAGCATGTCACTATTCCAGGATTATCCTGTTGATTATAAAATGAAAAAACTTACTGTACATGTTTAATGCTGAGAAAATTTCCTCTGGCCTACTGGAACAATAACTTTAGCTAAACAAGTCTAGCTCTTTGGGAAATAAAATTTGGACAGATATATCAGAGAGTTACAGATTCACCAATTGTGAAGTCCTTCAATGCATGCATTCCCCTCCTAAAGCACAGAATCAAATATTTAAACATAAATTTACTCCTGCTCTTATTCATTTACATGTACCCTTCAGTTGTTTCAAAGAGTCTTCTGTGGCCTTGCATATAAAAACACTGAGTTACAAAAGGGGCCATCACTTGATCCAGGATTTCAAGTTTACCTTCAAAACAACATTCGACTGGAAACATTGATAAGAAAATGATGTAACAAGAGTAGGAGTAAAATGTATGCTTAATTAATGGGTACCATGCTTCAGGCTAGGGAATGCATATATTCCAAGAGCTTGCTATAACAAAACAAGGTTTCTTCAGTGAGTGGATGTGTGGCTCTCTGGTTTGTTGGTATCCATATTTCATTTTTACAGTTCTTCAATTATAACAAGAGGCCCAAGGGCCTTAACGGTCACCTGAGTATAAAACAACAATCCATAGAGGATCCATGAAATATAAATTGAAAGCTTCCAAAAATAAAAAAAATCAGGTTATACAATATAAATTAATTTTTCATCCAATCAAATGATGTGTTACAACCAAAATTAAATTATATTAAAATGACTTATCATGGTTTTGTTGTTTTTGAGAAGATTTTTAAATGATCTTTCCTATAAATTCCTAACTAAAAAACTTTGATCATCTGTTGTGCCCCCTCCCTACCCCAGGGGGTCAAGATATGAACAAATTTGAATAAACATTACCCAAAGATGCTTTCATATAAATAAGACAAATCATGGCTTTGCAATTCTTGAGAAGAAGATTGCTAAAGAGTTTTCATATGTAATCATGTGTAAATCTTTCATCATCCATTGTGGCCCCACTCTATCTCCAGAGTCATGATTTGAACAAACTTGAATCTATACTATCTGAGGATACTTCCATATAAATATAACCAATCATGGTTTTGCTTTTTTTGAGAAAAGAATTTTTTCAAGATTTTTCCTACGTATTCCAACGTAAAACTTTCATTGTCCATTGTGACCCTACCCTTCCCCTGGGGATCATGATTTAAAAAAATTAACTTGAATCTACACTACCTGAAGATGTTTTCACACAAGTTTCATCTTTCTTGGCCTAGTAGTTATGGATAAGAAGATTTTTCCTATGTATTCCTATGTAAAACTTTGATAGTCCATTGTGGCCCCACCCTAATCCCGGGGGTCATGATTTGAACAAATTTGAATCTACATGACCTGAGGGTGTTTGAACACAAGTTTCATCTTTCTTGGCCCAGTGGTTCTGGAGAAGAAGATTTTTAAAGATTTTTCCTATGTATTCCTATGTAAAACTTTGATCATCCATTGTGGCCCCACCCTACCCCGGGGGGTCATGATTTGAACAAACTTGAATCTACACTACCTGAGGGTGTTTGAACACAAGTTTCATCTTTCTTGGCCCAGTGATTCTGGAGAAGAAGATTTTTAAAGATTTTTCCTATGTATTCCTATGTAAAACTTTGATCGTCCATTGTGGCCCCACCCTACCCCCGGGGGTCATGATTTGAACAACTTGAATCTACACTACCTGAGGGTGTTTGAACACAAGTTTCATCTTTCTTGGCCCAGTGATTCTGGAGAAGAAGATTTTTAAAGATTTTTCCTATGTATTCCTTTTTAAAACTTTGATAGTCCATTGTGGCCCCACCCTACCCCCGGGGGTCATGATTTGATCAAACTTGAATCTACATGACCTGAGGATGTTTGCATATAAGTTTCATCTTTCTTGACCCAGTGGTTCTGGAGAAGAAGATTTTTAAAGATTTTTCCTATGTATTCCTATGTAAAACTTTGATCGTCCATTGTGGCCCCACCCTACCCCCGGGGGTCATGATTTGAACAAACTTGAATCTACACTACCTGAGGGTGTTTGAACACAAGTTTCATCTTTCTTGGCCCAGTGATTCTGGAGAAGAAGATTTTTAAAGATTTTTCCTATGTATTCCAATGTAAAACTTTGATTGTCCATTGTGGCCCCACCCTATCCCCGGGGGTCATGATTTGAACAAAATTAAATCTACATGACCTGAGGATGTTTGCATATAAGTTTCATCTTTCTTGGCCTAGTAGTTATGGATAAGAAGATTTTTCCTATGTATTCCTATGTAAAACTTTGATAGTCCATTGTGGCCCCACCCTAATCCCAGGGGTCATGATTTGAACAAATTTGAATCTACATGACCTGAGGGTGTTTGAACACAAGTTTCATCTTTCTTGGCCCAGTGGTTCTGGAGAAGAAGATTTTTAAAGATTTTTCCTATGTATTCCTATGTAAAACTTTGATCGTCCATTGTGGCCCCACCCTACCCCCGGGGGTCATGATTTGAACAAACTTGAATCTACACTACCTGAGGGTGTTTGAACACAAGTTTCATCTTTCTTGGCCCAGTGATTCTGGAGAAGAAGATTTTTAAAGATTTTTCCTATGTATTCCTATGTAAAACTTTGATTGTCCATTGTGGCCCCACCCTACCCCCGGGGGTCATGATTTGAACAAAATTAAATCTACATGACCTGAGGATGTTTCATATAAGTTTCATCTTTCTTGGCCCAGTGGTTCTGGAGAAGAAGATTTTTAAAGATTTTTCCTATGTATTCCTATGTAAAACTTTGATCGTCCATTGTGGCCCCACCCTACCCCCGGGGGTCATGATTTGAACAACTTGAATCTACACTACCTGAGGGTGTTTGAACACAAGTTTCATCTTTCTTGGCCCAGTGATTCTGGAGAAGAAGATTTTTAAAGATTTTTCCTATGTATTCCTTTTTAAAACTTTGATAGTCCATTGTGGCCCCACCCTACCCCCGGGGGTCATGATTTGATCAAACTTGAATCTACATGACCTGAGGATGTTTGCATATAAGTTTCATCTTTCTTGGCCCAGTGGTTCTGGAGAAGAAGATTTTTAAAGATTTTTCCTATGTATTCCTATGTAAAACTTTGATCGTCCATTGTGGCCCCACCCTACCCCCGGGGGTCATTATTTGAACAAACTTGAATCTACACTACCTGAGGGTGTTTGAACACAAGTTTCATCTTTCTTGGCCCAGTGATTCTGGAGAAGAAGATTTTTAAAGATTTTTCCTATGTATTCCAATGTAAAACTTTGATTGTCCATTGTGGCCCCACCCTATCCCCGGGGGTCATGATTTGAACAAAATTAAATCTACATGACCTGAGGATGTTTGCATATAAGTTTCATCTTTCTTGGCCTAGTAGTTATGGATAAGAAGATTTTTCCTATGTATTCCTATGTAAAACTTTGATAGTCCATTGTGGCCCCACCCTAATCCCAGGGGTCATGATTTGAACAAATTTGAATCTACATGACCTGAGGGTGTTTGAACACAAGTTTCATCTTTCTTGGCCCAGTGGTTCTGGAGAAGAAGATTTTTAAAGATTTTTCCTATGTATTCCTATGTAAAACTTTGATCGTCCATTGTGGCCCCACCCTACCCCCGGGGGTCATGATTTGAACAAACTTGAATCTACACTACCTGAGGGTGTTTGAACACAAGTTTCATCTTTCTTGGCCCAGTGATTCTGGAGAAGAAGATTTTTAAAGATTTTTCCTATGTATTCCTATGTAAAACTTTGATTGTCCATTGTGGCCCCACCCTACCCCCGGGGGTCATGATTTGAACAAAATTAAATCTACATGACCTGAGGATGTTTCATATAAGTTTCATCTTTCTTGGCCCAGTGGTTCTGGAGAAGAAGATTTTTAAAGATTTTTCCTATGTATTCCTATGTAAAAGTTTGATCGTCCATTGTGAACCCACCCTACCCCCGGGGGTCATGATTTGAACAAACTTGAATCTACACTATCTGAGGATTCTCCCATATAAGTTTCATCTTTCTTGGCTTAGTGGTTCTTGAGAAGAAGATTTTTAAAAGATGCCATTAATTTTTCACTAATTTTTAATTATCTCCCCTTTGAAAAAGGCTTGGCCCTTCATTTGAACAAATTTGAATCATCGTTACCCAAGGATACTTTGTGGCAAGTTTGGTTGAAATTGTCCCAGTGGTTCTTGAGAAGAAGTCGAAAATGTGAAAAGTTTACGCACGACGCACACCCGCACGACGCACAACCGCACGACGACGGACGAAAACAGATAGCAATAGGTCACCTGAGTCACTCAGGTGACCTAAAAATATATGTAAATTCAAATATTTTGGGAAAAAACGATATTGACACTTTCTAGTATATCACTCACTTTGCTTATTTTTTCTATTAAGACCTCTTTGGGTTCTTCTCCGTCTATATCCGTAATTTCAAATCTGTCTCCAAAATCACAAAATGTGCCACAACACACCCCAAAAACATCAGCTGATATAAACTGCAAGTAAAATGAAATCCATTTCTGAAAAATCTGGACAGAAGTCCTAATCAATTCATTCATTTTCACAAGGACCTTAGACATATAAAATATCTATCACCAGCATACGTAGGTTGAACATAAAGGATTTCAAGACAAATCCTCATCCTCATACAACATTAACTTAACTCTCCTGATAGGCATGCAAAATCAATTTATTAAATAAAATAAAATTACTTCTTTATTAAAATTTTAAAAATTCATTAAAATTATTAAATAAATAAAAGTACTAGAGGAGATTTAATAGTGCTAAAAGAATTCCAGATCTTTCCCACATGCAGCAAGATACAGGTACCTTCCCCCCCCCCCCCCCTAAAAAAAATCTTCCCCCTTTTCTTTAACTTTGAAATAACTGAACAATTAAATAGATGCATATCAAATTATTCAGCATGCTGTGATTTTTTATACGTAAGTAAAATTGCTACATAAATTTTACCACAAGATATGTTTACCATGTAAACATTTGTCATATATATGGAGAATATGCTGAACACATATCAAATTTCTTATGTGCTAATTATATGCCAAGATATTTATATAAATGTATGAGACATAAACATACCCAACACAAATCTATGAACATAATTTGAACTTGAATTTTGCTCCGTTTTTCATTACGGTAAACATGTAATATAAATATTTCATTTTCGATTGTAAATATAGGTTTGAGAAATATTTTGAGCAAACGTTGCAGTTTTACCTATGTACAATAAGAAAAGAACCAATAAATGGACATATAACAATTTTTGAGACACTCTAAATCCTAACACATACTCTGATCTGAGGAGTCTGTTGTCTACAGAAGTTATTCACTCGAATCTGAACACTTAATGGAGCCTCTGTCAATATCACACACTGAAAAACAAGGCTTACATCAACTATTGTATGACTCAAATAAACAGTGTTACTTATAATAATGAAAAATATCACACATTGAAAAAGAAAAAAAAAAACGGTACATCATCTACTGAATGAGTCAAACATACCGTTTTACTTACGATTATGAAAATTTTGGTGACAAATTATACAACTGAGAAGAAATGTCAGTAGAATGATTATATTTTCTTTAACAAGGCAGAAATGAGCAATGAATCACATCATACATTGACTAACCTGAAAATTTTTGAGATAAGTGAGATCTGTGTTGACATCTAAGATCGAAGTTAGAGCATTGAGAGACACATATGGATTGAGTTCAGATAACCTGGGACCACTGGCCTCAGCTCTGTAAATCAAAGTTATAATATCACAGTACTGCAGTTTCTATAGCAAATAGTTTTTCCCTCTATAAAATAATGGTTGTCATCAAAATGCTCCCTAATCAGAGTGATTCCTCTGTGTTCATCTTTAAATGTCACTAGGTGACACAAATTTGCAAGATTTCATAACTCATTTAAAGACTGCTGTTATCATAAATGATGCAAAGACACACAATAGAAGGTTCAATTCATAAATAATCAATGTAGCATTTACAATTACAGGTAAACTTTGTTATCTCGACATCGATGGGACCATTGGAAAATGTCGAGATATCCAAGGTGTCGAGATATCAGAGTTGAGGTTTGACGTCCAAGATTTCACTGCATAGCAAAACAGACAAGCTTATTATATGTACATGACTTCAATATAGACTGTAGCTCAACATATTTCATAATACCCTCTATTTTTATTAAAAATCTAAGAAGTTATTTTAAAAATCTTGTTTATAAAATGTGTTCTTTATCAAAATCTTTCTAAATTCACAAAGTTTCAGCATAAAGTTACAGCATTCGCGTGTAACTTGCCTTTTTGTCAGAACAGGATACGAAATGCACTCTATAAACTTCAAACCATAAAAAGTCGACATCCGATATACGGGAAAAAATTAAATGCAGATTATTTTTTTCTTATTTCATTCAGGAAGAATGTACATTAGAATTAATTTTTTTAAGAGATTTGTGTATCTAAACTAACGCAGTGATGTTACAGATGCATGAATTACGGCTGATTCGGTCAATCGTGTTGTTAATTGGATTGTTTCCTGTTGAATACATTTTAACTACAAAATATTATTAAAACATCTTTTAATTCCTTAGTTTGAATTATTCAGTGTGTTTGTTATTCATTGTAATTAAGTTACCTTTTTCAAATTTAAAAGTTATGTTAGGTTTCGATATAAATAACCGTAATAAAATCAATTAACTTCTCAAAGATGCCGAGGGGGCTTGGGATTCACCTACAAACACAGTCTATAGAATTAATTAAGCAGTGTGCAGTCAAAACATGGGTATGAAAGGTGTGAAATTTTGATACCCGGAGTTGTCCGTGCGTGACGAGCGACCCTATCTGACAAACGGTTAGAGCAGAAAATTGCCGATGTCGACATATACCAGGTAAATTTTGCTCTTGGGACTGTGAATATACGTTGAGATAACCCAGGTTGTCAACATTACTGAGGTCGACATATCAGAGTTTTTGCAAATCATTTATATAGTAAATACTGCCGGGACCGCGGAAGGACGTCGACATATCCCAGGCAGGGCTCGACATTAACTTTTTTCCCTACTTGTCCATTCGGACAAATGACCAAGACATTTACTTGTCCGAACTTCCACTTCACTTGTCCGAAAAATTTTCAATAAAGATCTAATACTGTTAACTGAAAAACTAAAAATAAAGTCCATTACATGTGCATGATGTTATTTACAAATACAACAAACACATAAAACAAAATTTTATCTAGACTTTCTGTCCTGACAACATAAATGCTGTCAACATAAAACAGAATCCAAACTTCGTCAGTTCCATGCCTTTGCAGTAGTATGCAATTAGTGAACTTCGATCCCAATCGAGTGTACTCAATTACATAGCGATCTATATCGGGATCAAAGTTCGGTTTTTATGTACTGTTTCCGTCTTTAAGTACCCGCAAACTTTCAACAGTCGTTCTTTTAAATATTTAGAGACTTCTTTACATAAAAATGCACTTGTCCAATCGGACAAGTGCCCAGCAATATTCACTTGTCCGTATTTTTTTTTTACTGGTACCGGACAAGCGGACAAGCGTTAATGTCGAGCCCTGCCAGGTTGTCGACATATCCGATGTCGAGATACCGAAGTTTACCTGTACTTGACTAATTACTTATCCAGTCAATGTGGTATAAATTCAGTTTCTAAAGCATGACTGGTACATGTTTGCATCTCTAGATACATTATTAATTGATTGATTTCATTTACTTCACTGAGGTAAGATAAACACCATACATGTAAATCCTATCAGTCACAAAACGTTTCGATGTTACAGACCTGTTTCTGCCCACATCCTCCTCCCTCAGAAAGAACTGAGTCCCCAGGTCCTGAATCGCTGCTGGTTTGCCATCTTGAATGGTTATACTCTGCAAAGTGAAAGTTCATCTGAACAGTGATTATACTATCTTAAAAGTCAAGAAGTAATCTATAAGTATCAATTCACTTTTCATTGTACATTGTATTTTGCTTTGTTTGATGAAAGTAAGAAAACACAAGGCCAAAATGTTTTCTACAGCAATATATGATATACTCTCTCACTAAGCTCTTCAAATCAATGATTTACACAAACTGAAAGATGATCACCCAGATACTGAAATCTGAGAAATAGATATCCATCTTTAGGTATGAAAAATTACGAGAATAAAACATTGTCTTGTTTTAATAAATCCTTTTTGCCATTTATCACAATCCAATTAAACCAAGTATTTAGTATTTAATTAGTACATGTAGTGCTATGTATGTTTACTTGAACAGATTTTTTTTTATTTTAAAAAAGAGGTCTCACCTTCACTCCTGCAAGGACTATATTTTTAGCTGAAAAATTCAAAATAATTCAAGAACATTACATCCAAATACAAAAAAAAAGAAAAAGAAAATTACATCCAAATACAAAAAAAGGAATATAAACTTTAAGTGTTTAATGGTGTGATTTGTAAACCACTAAACAATAAAGGCAAATTAAAAAGCTTTCATAATGCTTAAAAAAAAACTTCTAGATAAGTATATTTTTATTCTGTAATTCATTCAGTAATTTGTTACTAAAATACTTGACGTAAAATATTAATTCTGATTCAGACAATGGCTACAGACTTCCCATGAAAAAACTTGACTGTGTTCATTTTTTGCTAAGGGGAAAATTTGTGCTCTCAACAAGAAATGGTGAATGTTTCATATATATATATAAGTTATTTTACACATGTTGAAGACATACTTGATATTTATTCAAAATCAGACACCCAAAATTAAGCAATCAAAGGAAAATAAGCCAAATTATACTCCCATCTATTCAACTCCCTAAAAGCTTTGGAAATTTTAAACTACAATGCTATTATGAATTCTGATGCAAAATCAGTAAGCTAATATGCCTTCATTATAACATTAAATAAATAATTTGGCCATCTTTATTTACATCAACATTTTTTCAAGCCGTTACATATTTTGACTGTAACAGACAAAATCATTCAATATTTTTTTTTAAACTTACCAATTTCAATTCCTAAACCTCCAATTCCATAGATCAAAATTGATGAGTTAGCCATTTTCTTCATAGCAGAGTCCCCTAGAACATAGCGCTGCCGGCTACAACAAAGAAATGAAATAACAACATGTGCATACTATAATCTAAACTCAACATTAAGATTTGAACAATCAACAGATTGAACAAAAACAAATTCATCTGTCCAACAATTTATAATTTGCAATGCATGATATCTATACTGAATTAATACTTATTTGTAGATAAATATCTCCCTTGTCATACCAAGAACTAGTTTAACGATGATTTTTCCAGTCTCTAAATATGAATGATCAGTAATTTATTAGATCATAATTTACAAGCAGGGGTTAGTAAATAGGTCCCTGTTAAAAATGTCTTAAACTGTTAAATATCTGTATTATTACGGAGACACAGATACTTTTTTCTCGAGTGAATTCAATGCTTTCAAGAGAATAATAAACCTGATTCATTACCTATATAAAGAATCGTCTATTTCTACCCCTTGATCCATGTCCTGAAATACAGACAATGAAAAGAAGTTTATGATACAAAAACAACTGAGGAAATTCAGGTTAATTTTTCTTCCAAGAGTTGTTAGTTTTCCTGCCAATTCCTTTGCAAGAAACTTTTATCCCAATGAATTCTTCTAAATCTAAAAATTTTACTCGATATTTCAGCGTTTCAAAGAAAACTGAGTGAGACAAGTGTCTAATATCATGACCATATTAAAAATACATGTAGGCCTTATAGGCCTAACATAGGATTATTAGCCTATATGACTATTGCACAACCTGTTTGGGATGCCGCCTAGAGACTACGCAATCACACCAAGCACTCAAACTCTGTATAGAAATACTGCTAGACTTCAATAATTTTGATTACTTCATAAAGATCTTGCTGATAGTAATCAAATCTAAATTCGATGAAAGTTGACTGGACTCTAAGTTCAGTAGATCTCTCTGATACTCTGGAATTTCGAGCCCGATGTTATTTAAACTTTCCGTCCAACTGCGTTAATTAGAACATGTATACGGGTAGTTTTAAACTTTATTTTCATATTACCTAATAGTTACAATAACTGAGTGACCTTTGTGCAATTTTATAATGTTCCGTAATGCTCTACACCTTTCCCGATTCAAATTTGGGAGAAATACCCGCTGAAACTTTTTTTTTTACCCTTACTAATAATTTTTCTTTAAAACATGCAATGATTTTCATCATTTGATATCTGTTAAAAAATCCTGGAAATGTATGCTGACTTTTTGTAGAAGAACATGTGATGGTATTATGATTTTAAACTAAAAATATCAAGGAAAATCATCAGTGAGAAAGTTACATTGTAAAGTACATGTCTAAATAAGTTGCGTATGTCCTAAATAATCTTTTTTTTTCTTTTTTCTTTTGTTTGCATCAATGCCCCTGGCTTGACCTTGTCCTGCAAGTCCAAGGGTGGTCAACGGTACCAAATAATGTAACAGGAAGGAAGAATTAAATGTATGACTGGACCGGGAATCACTGAAACCACCCTTACATCACGTCAGGTGCTCTACGCACTGAACTACCCAGGCCCAAACCCTTATTTTCCTCCTTCCTTATACTGTCTTCGCCCTCGAAGACACAATCCAAGTACATTAGCTTTACTTTAAGGAAAAAGTACATGTATGAGGCATTCCAAGACAGAGAGACGTTTCCCTGCCCAGCTGTCCACACAATATGTTACCCTCTTTCCAGATAAAATTAAGAGTTCTAAGAAGGTGAAGTTATAGAATTGTCGTTTTTTTCTACCCTCAGTTGTCCCCTTCCCTCCCCGGACGAGAATGAAAATTCCGAAACCTTATTGCAGGTCTACAGGACGTTATCAATCATTCTGAGTACTGTGTAAAATGTAAGAGGAGTTATAGGAACCAGGCCTAGCTATAGTGTTTTGACCACCAATCGACCAAACATTCCACAAACCCTATTTCAGATCTACATGGGATCATGCACCAATCATATTTCAAAAGATGAATTGGCTACGCGTACTGCATAAAATGTAAAGGGAGTATGGGGAAGAATTAAGATGGTGTGACAGACGGACGGACTATAGGATAATAATACATGTATTTCTTTAGAAATTTCTGGTATAGAAATGTCAATTTTACTGGTAGTGAACAGGTCTAGGGGCGTGTTTGTTATTGGTTGTTTCGTGTATTGTTTGTTCATCCGTCTCAATATAATAATTAAAATCAAAACGATTAAAATTATTTTTATGCCCCGGGATCGAAAGATCCCGGGGGTATATTGTTTTTGTCCTGTCTGTCTGTTTGTCTGTTTATCTATTTGTCTGTTTGTCTGTCTGTCTGTTGTCAACTTTAACCTTGCCCATAACTTTTGATTGGTTGGAGCTATGACTTTCATATTCACATGTGTATTCCTTGTGACAAGACCTTTCTTTGGGTACCATCATGTTTGACCTTTTGACCTTGACCTTGGAGTTTGACCCACTTTTGCAAAATTTTACGAGACTTTAACCTTGGTCATAACTTCTGAACAGTTGGTGCTTGGGGTTTCAAATTTCACATGTGTATTCTTTGTGATAAGGCCTTCCTTTGGATACCAACAACTTTGACCTTTTGACCTTGACCTTGGAGTTTGACCTACTTTTGAAAAACTTTAACCTTGGCCATAACTTTTGAACAGTTGGTGCTTGGGGTTTCAAACTTCACATGTGTATTCCTTGTGACAAGACCGTCCTTTGGATACCAACCACTTTGACCCTTTGACCTTGACATAGGAGTTTGACCTACTTTCGAAAAACTTTTACCTTGGCCATAACTTTTGAATGGTTGGTGCTAGGGCTTTCATACTTTACATATGTAATCCTTGTGACAAGACCTTCCGTTGGATACCAACAACTTTGACCTTGACCTTGATGTTTTACTTATTTAAAAAAAAAAATTAACCTTTGCCATAACTTTTGAACAGTTGCAGCTAGGGCTTTCAAATTTAACATTTTTTATCTTTTGGCCTGGATTTTGACTTGCATTTGAGAAACTTTAACCTTCGCCATAAGCTGCCATACGGGGGCATCAGTGTTTTACAAACATATCTTGTTTTAATAATGTATTTAGAAATACGATGTATTTAAAAAATAATAATTTCGGCGGTTTTACTCATTGTTTTAATTAAAACATACAGATATACACATAATACAATAATTTCAATACACTGATATAACTTGTGAACAATATTTCTATGTAACGAAATTGTATATTTACAATTTAAATGACACACGATAGGTTTTCTGACAACAGATTGACTTGAAATTGTATATAGTGTCCTATACAATCGATTCGAGTAAATTTATTATTAACGAACACGACTAAAATGTTGATTTCAGTCTATATAACTATTTTTGTCCAAAAACACCAGGAGTTTTAACCTTTTAAGATTTTATGAGATTTTTTTTGTATGAAACGTTAATTAAGTGGGATAGACATGAGAAGTACATCTACTATTGTCAGTTCTTCCTATACCCATTGACCCCTTTTCTCCTTTCTTTCATTCCAGCCCCTTTTCTCTCGTTGTCTCTTCATCCTTTTCCTCAGGCTCGTAAGAAGCAAGGTCACCATACGTTATTACTGAGGGTGCACAACCAGAAGTAGCTCTTTTTTATATACATGTATTGTATAGTAAATGCTTAATAAAACTATTGGTGGCAACCCCACCCCCGACTCTCTTCCTTTTTCTCCTTTCCCAGTCCTCTTCTTGAACTTCTTGATCCAACTCCTATTGACATTTCTAATAAAGTTATGAAAAAAAAATACTTTTTTCTTTTTAACATATTTATGAACAAAAACTGCTTTCATCGCAAGACAACTTTGATTGTGTCTTCGAGGGTGAAGTCAATTTAAGGAGGGATGAATGTAATGGTTTGGGTCCGGGTTGCTCAATTGTTGGAGCACCTGACTAGTAATCATTGCAGGGGTCCCGGGTCCGATTCCCGATCTTCCTTACTGTTATATTAGAATCCTGTAGAACATGTATTTTATAAATACAATAACCAATCACATTTTATATAGCAAACACCAGGGTGTTACTTTAATAAATACACTGCAGATGTTATTGTTTTCTGTTACTTTCCTTTTTTGGCAATTGCCAATTCATCTTTTGGAATATCCTGTAGTTATTACAATTTTCATCCCTTTTGGGTGGGGGAGTCGAAAAACGACAAAAACCCATGGCCCTTTTCACAAAAAATATTACGACTAGTCGTAAGTTTTTTAGTGAAAAGGAGCACTGGTTCACAGACCTTACATTTTACACAGTAGCCAATTGCAATTCATCTTTTGAGCGTTTTATGCACTATCTGATACATATATACTTATGTAAAATCATCCTATAACTATTGTTTCTTCTTCACTAGTTACCCAGGTACAAAGGAGAATAATTAAGAGGAAAATACTTACTAGTACGTGCGGGTACATTGGGAATCCAGAAGGGGGGGGGGTCCGGGGTTTGGACCCCCCTTTACTTTTTGCCAAGTGGAGAGAGAAAGAGAGAGAGAGAAGACAAAGAGTTTTCTGGAATAGATATTTTTATGTCTTAGTACGTTCTGAATATAAATGTAATTCAAAACAACTCGATCTGTCGCAATCTCCGCTCATATTCCACTTGCTTTAGAATTCCTTTCCATCATTAACCTTCACTATCCCTCTCTTTCTGCGTTTTTATTTATGAGTGAATGGTAGAATTAAGATATTCTACTTACTTCAATATACGATAAGTAACATGTGAGGATCAATTTGATACCAGATTCCTGTGATCTTTGGCTATATTATACCATTTTCGGATCATCTTTTCAAGGATCTAGCTTAAAGGATTATGCATAAGGCCACAGTAAATTATTTCTTCGTTTTACGTCCCCTGGTGGGTAGGTTTTCAAGAAAATCCAGTTAAAAAAAAAGTTTGTCAAATTCTCAACAAATTTTCTCTGTAGTTTTTGGAAATATTGAAAATCTACGAAAGCCTTTTAGGATCAAACTACGGTAAAAAAAAATTTAAAAGGCGTTATAACGCCTTTTCAAAAGGCGTTATAACGCGGAAAAAGGCGTAATAACGCAAATAAAGGCGTAATTACGCCTTTCCAAGAGGCGTTATTACGCCTTTCTAAAAGGCGTTATTACGCCTTTCCAAAAGGTTTTATTACGCTTTTCCAAAAGGCGTTATTACGTCTTTTAAAAAGGCGTTATTACGTCTCTTTTTTTTCAATATATGACTTACTTAGCCCACCCTGGGGGCTGATTATAATTAGATTTCTAGGAAAAAAAAATTTTTAAATGTGTAAAATATTTTCAGTGTTAAACCAACTTAGTCTGATGCCAGACGCTTCTACCAAAGTGTATGGATTTCAGAAATTTTGTTGAAGGCTAATTGCTCATTATACCTATGCAAATACTTTGCCTGTTTTTTACAAAGAGGAAAGAAAAATATTTCAAATTTGACATGAATTTTTAAATACGTACGTGGCTAGCAAAGCCCAAAGCTGGTTCTGCCTATATCCTGGATTTTCAAAAGTAGAGTGATGACTTCTCTTAATATGCATGCAAAATGCAAACAACTGTCCGCGAGATGTGCAGGAATATAGAAAATACTATAATTTATAATATAATTTATAATATTAAAACTATAATCTAAATATTGCATAAATAAAGATGGCTTTGGTTCAATCTTTCATATTTTTACTATTTTAAAATAACGCCTTTCTATTTTTGGATACAACTCCTTTTCAAACAGGCCGGTAGTACGAATGTGAGTGTGGGGGGGGGGGGGGGTCCCCACCCCACTTTTTGGGAGAATAGTCTTGCTATAGTTTAAATATAAAAAATCATTTATTGATTGCTTGGTCCCTTAACATTTTGTTGCAGTATGGTTAAACTCGGGCAAGTCATTGCATTTCAAAAAAGTTTTACCGAAAAATTAGAAAAAGTTTCCCCTCAAGTTTAGGCAGTTTATTTTTTTTTGGGGGGGGGGGCTTGTATTTTGGTTTGCTTGTTGTCAATTTTATGGGAACGCCCCCCCCCCCCCTTAAAAGCACGGGCCTGTCAAAGACATAATAATAATTGCCCTTCAAAAGGCATAATAACGCCTTTTTGAAAGGCGTATTAATGCCTTTTAAAAAGGCGTAATAACGCCTTTTGGAAAGGCGTAATAACGCCTTTTGGAAAGGCATAATAAAGCCTTTTGGAAAGGCGTAATTACGCCTTTATTTGCGTTATTACGGCTTTTTCCGCGTTATAACGCCTTTTCAAAAGTCGTTATTACGCCTTTTAATTTTTTTTTTTTTTTTTTTTTTTTTTTTTTTTTACCGTAATTTGATCCTAATAGGTTTTCGTACAAATCCATTCAATTTTAAGGCTACAGTAGTTTTTGGAATGTGGCTGTTTTTATTCGGAGTGGAAGGATACTTTTTCAAAGAATTAAGGGACATAAACAAAGATATCATTTACCATGGTCTATTTTTGTCATCACCGCGTTTGTGTGAATTTACGTTTGAGTTTGGGGGGGGGGGGCACCCTGACCCCCCCCCCCCTTTCAAAAGTTGCTGGATCCGTACCGGGGTATTACTGTGTTTTACAGCATCTAAATAAATATGTTCTTTAAAGAGACAAAGACCCAAGAACTTCCAGGGTTTCGATCCTGCTCCCACAGAAGGTTCAGTGCATCTTCGTTTCATGTCTGACCCACATCTCCCCTCACCAAATCCTGGATCCCCCTGTTGAGTTATCGTAAACTAAAGTGTGATCAACATGCCTCTTAGCTGATATGGAAATTTTGTTCTTGGTCTGACTTTGATTATACGTTTACTATTTTCACTATCTTCTGAAGGAACTAACTTTAAAAAGTCATAAGAGGGAGTAGCCAAAAATGCATCAGAATTTTTTTTCTCTCCCTAGCTGTGCGTATCTTCTATGATCGAGTGGACACCACCATGGACCCCCCCCTTTCAAAAATTGCTGGATACTCCCCTAGTGTGCATGCATCTTCTATTTTACGTTTCAATCGGACAATATTGGGGGGGGGCATAGCAAAACATGGACACTGCCATTCTTTCTATAACATTGAGGGTTACTCACTCCTCCCATTCCACTGAATGAAATTTAATGAGACTCAGATTCTTTATTATACGGTGGCATTAATCATGCAATGTTCTGATCGAACAGATATTTGGGGTTTCCCATAGCAAAAAATGGACTTTGCCATTGTATTCATTGGGAGCGGAGGTAGATCGTTTGTGGTGAGCTCAGTGCTAGTGTCTCTTCTTGTGCTTAGATTCAACAAAAAATTTAAAGATTGCATGGATTCAATTTTATTGAAACGAAAATAATATACCATGTCTATAGAATGCATTTCAGATTTGTCGTTACATAAAATATGATCTTTTATTACGACAACACGATCCAATGCCTTATCTTTTCCCGCGTGGTGTCAAATGAAATAAAATCCGCCCAAGTTTTGGAAAGTTTATGTCACGTGACTAAAGATGGCGCACTTGTAAATTTAGTGTGGAATGTAATGGGAAAAGGTAATGTTTATTTACATTTTTAAAGGCAAACATCGTGCTTTGTTTACACACAGAGTAATAACGGTTAATTTTCTATATGAGGCTTTACATTATCCCACCATATTCCCCAGAGGTCCGGGATTCCAGTCCTGCGAAGACAGATCTAAAACGTAATCTGTGCAATGACCGGATGTAAGCTTACCAGATTTGTGGACAGGTGGTATTTCCATTAGTGTTGTAAAGTCTAGTTATTTTCTTATATTTTTTAAGCTCTTCCGTACTGATAAATCTGTGGACAGCCCAGACTTATAACAAGAGTTTTTCTTTGAGGAAAAAGAAATAGCAGGTGGCTGGATCTTTAAGCTACCTGGCTACTTCACAATGTGTAGAATAAGTCATTTTCCAAACAAATAGAGTAACTAAAATGCAGAAGTTTCACATACACATACTTTGATTAGATCTGTAAATGAACATAGAGAAAAGAATGTATTTGATCATTAATTATGACTATTGGAGAATTTTTTTTAAGGCCCGAGGAGTTGATGACCCAGAAAAGAAAACTGAACTGACCTAAAGCAACATTATATTTATCTAAACAAGTAATCATGATGAATACACAATAAAGTCATTCCAATTTTGCTGGTAGAAAGTAAGCTTCCGTGTTTGTTTGTAATGCAAGATTATGAATTACTAGTAAGTTATTTCTACTACTCGTAATCCTCAGAATGATCTATAACCTGACTTTGTGGGGGGTAGGGTTGGGAGGAGGATATGTTTTAACTGAATTATATTTTGTATTGCTAACTTTAGATTGCTGTTTCATAATTGAATAATCTAACAAGAAAAAACTTGTCATACATCATATGTATACACAAGTCAATTTTTACAATTCACAATTGGACTACAAGAAATCAGTCGACTTGCATCAGTCAGGGGTGAGACTGAAATCTGTCATTTTTAAAAATGATTGATAATCGTCATGTTTACTAACTACGTATTTTCGTCATTTTTGTCAATATGACTTACTATCGTCATATTTTCTTTTTCAACTTAATTCTTCTATCCTGGTTACATAAAAGCGAAATTTGAATTCACCACTGAAAGGAGAGTGTTTACGCAAGTTTCATTTCATCCGGGTCACTAATTACTGCCGACCACGTGCATTAGAACATCAACATGGAAGGTGAAAGTTGTTATTTAGCGGTAAAATGTTGAATATTGGTAGAACTAATTCGCCATTTTTACATGGCTTTTAGCCCAGTAAAAACATATAGTACACAGTCTGGAAGAATACGTACTTGTAGAGAAAAGTCTCGGCAAAAAGTTAAAGCCATAAAAAAGTAGTGTGCCCCGTAAAACAAGCGAGATATTTAAGTGCGCCCAGACCCTCCATTTTGAAAAAAGACGAAATATCGTCATTTTCATCTTCTTTCATTGCTATTTAATGCAAATAAATTGACAAATAACTCTTCCACTCTTATTTTTGCTTGGGAAATTTGTACTGTCAACATAACCAGTATTGTAGTCAACTGTATTAGAGAAATGAAGTTTGTTTACGGTGTTTTTTGTCCTTTCATCGGTTGGTGGATCTAACATTTTTCAAAGAGAGGTAACTCGGTATTCTAGAAACACTCTAAATTTTTATGACTGTTTTTCGTCATTTTCTTAAAAATGACGAGTTTTAGTCATAATAAAAATTTTATTTTATGACTAAAAATCGTCATTTTAAAAATGACGGATTTCAGTCTCACCCCTGACTGTACATGAAACTTCAATTTTTTTCACAGAATCAGCAGATTTTAGGAAAAAAAATCTAAAGTTGGAGTATTTCTTTTTCCAGAATTTATGTCATTAAAAAATCTATTCATTAAAGCCATTTTCTATCCTTTTTTGTCAATATAAATGATAAATAAAAGTTATTTCTGAATTAATTGTTATATACACACGCATGCTTGTTGTTTGTGATGCCTGAAAGGGCCCTGATTTGGAAATAAAGAATCTATCTACACAAGTGAGGACATTGACATGTCCCAGCCTCCCAGGTAACACTCCTAAGTGATCAAAAAGCAACCCCCTTTTTTAAAAACCGAAAATGACTAAAACAGATAATAACTTACTGGGGCTATTTTTGTAACACATGAAAAGTATGTGCCCCAAATGAGAGAAAGACTTAAATTTCTGGCTTTAGTTATATTACATGGCATATTTTTTGGCAGGTTTAGTGAAAAAATGTAATGAAATAATGTTAGGAACTTGTAGATATTTTATGATGAAAAAGTATGGAGATACAAATTGATATATAAATCTGTGTAATAAAAAATTGTTGCTGCTATATACTTGATTAATTTTCTTGTCTTACAAGAAACTGCAAGAAAAAAAAACAGTGTTATAGAGCAGTGTTTTTAATGTGAACATCACAGTATGGTAATTACACTTTTGAAATTTCAGAAGAATGCTGAATGGCATTTGATAAGAATTCAAGCCCCGTTTATGTAAGTATACAGTTTTTCATATGACCAGGAACTTAATTCTGGATTTTCAATGCTCTCATTTTTTGGGAGGAAAACTTGAATTTTTTTCTTTTAATTTTATAGGGAGGTGGGCAGATCAGTGTGGATCTGTCCCAGGGGGTCCCCTTAGACAGTCCTTTGTACCTGGTGTTTGAGGGACCCTATCAGAGACACATTACAGTGGGGATCAGATATGGCAACACCTGCTGGGCAGTTATTCCAGGTAAACTATGGAGCCAGAGTATAGGGAATTTGGGTTACCCTGTTTTGATCGTTTTAGTCCTGAAATTATGTCATCTAAAATTTGGAAGACTTTATGCCTTTAACTTGGACTGGTTTAAGTTATGTATCACTTTTTTGTTATGGGATTTAATTGTGAAAGTTGTCATATATTTGTGCATTACCTGGCACATACTGAACTGTATACACATAGATTGACATTCATTTCTTGTCATGTTCATGTATAGTTGGCTAGAAAGAGTGGCGTACAGCTGACATTCAGTTCTGATCAATATATAGCTACAACAAGAACAAAGGTACAGGTATATACAGTTGGAGTTTTACCTGTGTCAGGTGGAAGTTTTACAAGACTCTGCTAAAGTGACTGTTTGTTTTTAATGGTATCGTAAATTTCACGTATTGACATTTGTCTTAGATTGTGGTCACCTAACTGATAACATTACTTGAGGAAAGTCTCTCAAATTCATTTCCAAAGGGACATATTTTTCCCCTTTGAGTAAGTATGGCATCCTTGTTCATTAAGATACATTTTTTGATGTGTTATGATTGGAGAAAATCAAAAGACTAGTATAAAATTTTTATACATCAATGGGTAGGTTATTATAAATCACTGTTTTCTCACTCATATTTAAAAACCTTTTTAATTCATCTTAGAAACTATTGGGAAAATATGGTAAATTTTTGGGAAAATGGCCATGTTTCCTAGGGAAAAATAACTATATTGAGGCGTGAAAAAAGACAATAAACATCCCTTACTGAAAACAACTATATGTTATATGAATTAATATGAAAGATGATTTATGGAAGAAGAGGAAAATGTTTAAGATTTTATATTCATTGTAACAGTTGTTAGTAGTATTAAAGTCATTGGTCTAGATATAACAGACAAGAAAGAAAATATATATTTAGGCTTTGAATGAAAAAAAAAACCCAACAGCATGGATAAAATTTAAAATCAGCATCAAAACCATGCATTCTGAGCTTGGCCTGTTGACTTTGTTGTTTGGTCCTGTGGTGTGCAGGTAGAAGCAGCTTAGGTTCTGCTGGTTATGGACAGGCAACAAAAGGAAAAGAGATGCTTATTTAAAAAAATTTTCATTTTGACATGTTCATTTTGCAAGGCTTGAAAATTGTTAGGGATGTAATGATACAGTGTATCTTGAGATGCCATGATTCACTGAGACTATATTATGATATGTACCGTGGTATATCACCTTTCATAATTTTTTTTTAAATGAGTTGTGTATATCTGTTCTGAAAAGGGAAACTAATCTAAGTTTTGAAAAAAGGTCAATGAAAAAAGAAATATACACCATCTTTGTAAACAATTGATATAGGCTATCACGAACATTTTATCAATTCAAACATCTTAATTAAATACAGGCAGCACCAGAGATGTAAAGCTACAACATTTATTTCATAAGAATTCTTCAGAAATGAATGCAACATACTGAAAATGTGGTGTATCGGGATGTGCAGGTGTACGTTTTTCATACCGTGATACAATTTTTTTTGTGTGTGTGCGTATTGAGTATTATGGTAGACGTCAGTATATTGTTACCCCCCGAAAATCTTGGTCAATTATTTTGTATATATATACAGATATATATATATAGTTGAACTTTGGTATCTCGAACACCGATATCTTGAATACCATGGATGTGTCGAAGTGATTTGGAAGTCCCAACCACTTATTCTTTAAATATTTTTACCCTCGATATCTCGAATCGTCGGATATCTTGAAGTTTTTCGTCGGTCCCATCGAGTTCGAGATAACGAGATTTGACTGTATATAGAATATTCTAAGTCTGCATGCATGAAGGAAGTATTAGACATGTAAGATTAATCTTCCTAATGAGATAGATTTCCACTCCTCAGACATGCTACTCTTTTGTAAGACAATAGGCGTGGTGTAATTACTGAGAATTTAGGGGTATGTTCTCACTACTTATGTTGGTCAGACTTACAGGTAAATCTTGTCGCATTCCCTGTCAGAAATTCAAGTACAATGGTCATTGTAATGACAGGTGAAACGGTCAGTGATGGATAGTAAGGTATATAGTGTAGGGTGATGCAGTGATGGGTCAGTAATAATGAGGGAATTAGTCTATTTTGTGAGTGAGGAGACAAAGTGGTCAGTTGTAAAGATTGCCATTGTACAATTTCCTGAATGAGATATCATGAATGAGGGAGATATTGACCGACTTTTATACAGGAAATGCATGACCTGAGTCAGTTTTGAACTTTTCAAACCAATAATTTATTCAGTCTAGATGTTATTCAAGAATGTATCAGTTTTTGAGTGACAGAGTAACTTTTTAAAATTTATTTAAAATGAAATAAAATTTTGTCTGTGTCTTTTTATTTTAAGTGGAAAAAAGCATAAACTACTGTAGATTCCTTATTTTACGCGAGTACTTAATATCACAAAATGGCCCAAGGGCGTCAAATCGCGAGAACAAAAATTTGCGAATCGTTGATTTATCTAGAGATTTTACATACATTAAAGCACTATAAAAATAAAAGCGAGTAATTTTATTTCGCGAGTGGTGCTTCTCACGTAATTACGTGATAATTTATTCCTCGCGTATATTTAGGAATCTACAGTATCCATTATTCATAGGTTGTAATTTATAATTGAACAATGTATTACAATTTATAACACACTACCTGAAATATAAAGCTGGAAAAAAAAATGCTATAGAAAATAATGATATGAAGGAATTACCAGGTATGCACTCATTTGATTGATTGATTGTTTGTTATTTAATGTCCCTCTTGAGAATTTTTCACTCATATGGAGACGCCACCACTTGCCGGTGGAGGGCTACAAATTTTTACCTATACTCGGCACTGAAAGCCATTGAGCAGTGAGGGATCTTTTTCGTGCCAGCACCTACTGCGACACCGGACCTCGGTTTATACGGTCTCATCAGAAGAACTGGTCTCCATGTCCCACAGTGGGATTCGAACCTGCGACGTAAGGATCAACTCCTTACTTCGCGACTATAGAGCAGAGCTCTAACCAAAGTGTTGGTAAAAAATACTCCCTTTATAAGATAGCAAGAGTATATAAACAATCCTGACACTTAACTGTCAAAGTTTCTCCATATTGTTCAAATCTATTTTTACAACTTTCAATCTCTCAATTGCTTAGCTAAGATGACGTCTCGCAACCACTCTATTATGACGTCACAGCCCATGACACTGTGCTAAGAAAAGACAGAGGCAAAAGGAAAATCAAAGAAATGTAATAAACAGAAAATTGAATGTTTTTTGGTTGGATACAGGATTATATATATATATATATATATATATATATATATATATATATATATATATATATATATATATATATATATATATATATATATATACACACTTCACCAGAGTACACCCGATAGACCGGACGCAATTCATAGCGCTCCGGATTTCTTTGTTCACAACTGTTTATAAAATTCAAATTAAACATGTAACATTGTAAATATTTAGTGTTTGGTAGTTTAGTAGTAGTGCTAGTTGTTTTTCCTTTCTATTTCCTTTGTTTTTATGACTTCTTAAATTTTTTCTTTGTCCTGAGGAAGGGACAGGTTGTCCCGAAAATTTGACAATTATTATTGTTCGTGTCGTTGGTCATTTTTAGTGCTTTATATATATATATATATATATATATATATATATATATATATATATATATATATATATATATATATATATATATATTATGAAAGTGCTTCGTGCTTCACACTTATGGAAAAAAATCTCACATGTGAAATAAATTCCATTTCCATGCAACTACAAAACATTGAATATCCTCTTTCTAATTTATATATGAAACTCCTACATATGTAAAGTATATAATAATAATCTGATTAGATGCTATTAATGAAATATAATTTAGTTCAATCAATACCCATTGATCAGCCTGTTTAGTGTTGGATTTGTTGACACGTAATGTTTGGGACAGCCTTGGTTTTGATGTTGGGTTGTGTATATATACCTGCTGTCAATGTGCTTTATGATGCAGGAGTTATTTAACATCTGCTCTGTTTGTCGTTCCTCAGGGTGACCTTGAATTCAGTAGGACAGCCTCGGATTCAGTTGATAAATCAAGTATTTCCCAGAATGAAAACTATAAGATGATTCATGTTGGAGAAATGAGACAATGATTAATTTTTCATTGAAATTTTAGCTCTTATCTGAAAGTGTATATTGTATGGTACTAATTTGATGTGTGTCGGGATACAGTTGAGGAACTGTAAAAATAAACTCAAAAAGTATACTCAGCAGAAGAGACCTGAATTATTAATTGATTACCAAGTGGAGGGAATTTTGCTGGAAGAGATTATTATTTGTGAAGGAAAGGTTCATTTGCTTTTGATATCAAAACATGGTACATTAACATCAAAAATGCATTTCATATCCCAGATTTATCCATGTCAATTTAGTGGTTTTACAGAAATTAAATTTTTTTTTAATGATTACAAAAATAGGGTCAAAAATATTACTTCAACCTGTTGCTATTTTTGGAGCAGCTGGATTGAGGAATAAAAATTGACAAAAAAAATTTTCTTGGATGATTTATACAAATATTTTTCAGATACCATGTTTATTTAGGTTCTTGTTTGAATTTAACTGATTATTACAATAAATATGGTAATAGTGGTGGGGTTGCGTGGGGGTGGGGGGGTAGGGGGTGGGGGTGAATTGGAGAATTCGAAACTTTTGGTGATACATGTATGTATAGACATTATACCAGTCCTGTATTTTAATGTACACTGGGCTGTATTAGTATACTTTTTTTGTATGTTAGGTGGTTTGAGAGTATAGTGTTACCTCTGTTTATGTCTGTTAAGTGTACGTAAATGACTGTGTTTGTTCTCATACTGTGTATTCCTGGTATTGAATCTGTGAAGTTTGTCATCAGCCAATCTCTTCACTTGCTAATCCCCAGACAACAGGACAATTGGATTGTTTATACTTGTAAACCCTCCTTTTGATAATATTGTTCCTGGCACATAAAGCCAGTATTATATCCACTATAAGTTAATAGTAAAAGAAATGATCTCAGTGGACACTACACTTTGTATAGAGATTTTACAAGGAGTTTTAAACTCTTCAGTTTTTTGTTCTTTTATCTGATCTTATTCTTATGACGATTGTGAATTCTTCTTAAAATCCCTGTTTTGGGGGGGAATTACTTGTATAGATGTCTTATTGTGAGTGATAGTGATTTTTAAATCAAATTCCATATTTTGAACAGCATGAACAGTGAATGTGACCTTAAAAAATCCTTTAAAAAATATCCAAACTAAGCAATAAATAAATACATGTATACAAAGTTAATATGCATTTGTTATTATGTTCATATCCACACATTGTACATGTTGAAAAATGTCTAGATCTAAAACAGATGAGGTGGTTAATGCTGCCACCCCCTTTCTATTTATTAGAAATGAAACATGTAGGAATAAAAACAGTAACTGAAACATGTAGAGGAGCAGTGAAGCTCTGTCACTGAGATAAAATCTGGAGAAACACAATGGAATCTTCCAGGCCATTGTCAGACTTGCCTTAATTGGGGTGAACAAATTTTCCAGCTGAGAAAGCTCCTTTTTGTTATATGAAATACAATACCTGTATACTTTAGGTTTCAAATACACATTTGAATTTTTCTCTATTAAAAATGCAACTAACCTTGTCTTCTGTGATGTTATTTTTAACTATTTGGGGGAAGTTTTCAGCAATCAAAATGTAATATATAAATATGTATAGTGTAAGGCTGGACAAAATAAATAAGTTCAAGCTAATATGAAGCAGCTTTGAAGAATTTATTGATTTCACATAATATTTTAAAGTTAAATAGTGAAATTCTTACCTGTGCTATATTTTTACATAGCTGTATTATGTAATAAAAAAGATTAAAATGAATCTAAACTTGAATTTTGCAGCCCATGGTGAAGCGGAAAAAGTGCAGTTGACTCTCTTCAGTTACTATAACAACGATATCTGTGCCTTGGTGACCTCTGCATTTGACTTCTATCATGACCCTACCTATTTTCTGGCCTGCTTTTTAGTAGAGAGTGTATATAATATAGCAGCTTTAGAGGATTTAGAACTCATAAAATCAGAAAAGTTTGACCTGGGGGAGGAAGATCTTGATACACTGGACCAGCGGTTATATCTGGCCTTGAAGTACCTAGAGATACCTGAATGGTGGCATATACTGGGTCCAAACTCACCTGCTGGTAAGTTAATATCACACATAAGTCAAAGCTCATCCACCGATAAGTCTACATCACACACAAGTCAAAGCTCATCCACAGACAAGTCTACATCACACACAAGTCAAAGCTCATCCACAGACAAGTCTACATCACACACAAGTCAAAGCTCATCCACAGACAAGTCTACATCACACACAAGTCAAAACTCATCCACAGGTAAATCTACATCACACACAGGTCAAAACTCACCCATGGGTAAGTTTACATCACATACAGCTCCAACTACCCACAACAAAATTCTACATCTCATTCAAGTAAATTTGCCCATGAGTTTACATCACGAACAGGTCTAAACTCATTCACAGGTAAGTCTACCTCTCACATAGATCTAAACTCATCCATAGGCAAGTTTACAACTCACAGTGATACAAGTCTAAACACAGATAAGTCTACATCTTATGCAGGTCTGAACTCACTCACAGGTAAGTCTTAATTTAGTACAGGTCTAAACTCCCCACAGTCCAAACTCACCCTTAACTAAGTCTTCACCTCATCAGGTCCAGACACATCTTTACATCTAATTACTTGTCTAAAAAACCCAAAGATAAGTCTACATCTCAAAGAAGACTAAACTCATCCACAGATAAGCCTACATCTCAAACAAGACTAAACTCATCCACGGATAAATCTACAACCAATACATGTACAGACTAAACTCATCCACAGATAAGTTTTTATCCAGTGTAGGTCTAAACTCATCAACAGATAACTCTACATCTAATACAGGTCTTGACTCATCCATAGATAATTTACATCCAGTATAGGTCTAAACTCATCCACAGATAATTTACATCCAGTATAGGTGTAAACTCATCCACAGATAAGTAAATAATTTAAACGAACCTCTACTATAACTTTTATTTTGGCATATTAATGGATAAATCTGCACCAATTGATCAACAAAAATCTGTAGAATGGAAAAATATATATATAATAAAATCTGCCTGCCCACCTTGATTTATAAAAAAAATATTGGATGAGAATCTTAATTTTTTTTTATTATAGCCAAATAAAAGTTATAGTAGAGGTTTATTTTAATGTACATGTCTCTTACTACACATCCTTACCAAGCCTTCACTAACAATGACCCTTGTTTTAGTTGTTTAATACGTATTACAGTAATTACCATCTTGTCAATTGTTAAAATCACACTGACATTCTGTGGGATATAAAAGGAAAGTTAAATGTAAAGTTGATAACTTTATAATAACTTTATAATAATCTTAACAAAGTGAAGGAAAACAAATTTTAAAAATCGAGGTGGGGTAGTAAGAAATATGTACATTTAAATGAACCTTTACTATAACGTTTATTTGGGCATAATAGATAAATCTGCACCAACTGATCAACAAAAATCTGTAGAATGGAAGAAATTTTAAAAAATGTAAAATATGCCCACCCATCTCATTTTCAAAAAAAAAAAAATTGGATGAGAATCGCAGGGTTTTTTTTTTTATTATGGCCAAAATGAAGTTTTATGTGTCAAAGAATATAGTATTCATAATTAATTTGATAATTTTTTTGCATTTTTTCAACCAGCGTATTTATTTCAAAGCTAACATTCCATATTGTATGAACTGATCAAAATCACTAAATTTACATTTACTAAGATAATAGAAAAAGTAGAAGAAAAAACATGCATCTATAAGAGACCACCAATGCCATCTTGACAAACAGCTAAAAAATTGGGTAGCAGTGGAAAGTGTTCTTATTTTGACTTTTGGTCAAGAGTTTTTTCTTGTTAGATTTTTTTTTTAGGGAGGACATTGTTAGTTAGCTTCAGATTTTAAAGTGGACATTTTGATTGTGGGATCATGTTTTAGAGGAAGTAAGATTACTTTTTCTTAGATGGGGTACAACTGATTGATTGTAATATTTTTAGTTTCAGCAGAACACATACCACGTGAGACTCTCCTACATTTTGTGGCTCGTCTTGGACTTAAAAAAGTTGCTCTCTTTTTACTTGATAAAAATGGTGCTCAGGAAGCTCTGCATCTACACAATCGCTATGGGAACCTCCCAAAGGATCTGGCTGCTGAAAATGGTCACTCAGAGTTAGCTTCAATACTGGCAGAGTAAGTGTTTACAGAATGTGGGAGTTACCTCCCTTAGACTGTTTCATCTCCAGTATTATAAAGTCCTCCTTGTGAGAGACTACAAAATGGAGTACAGCTTTGTGAAAGCAGGCCAGGTTTTGGAAATTTTCCAGAAAACTGGTGGATTTGGGTACATTGAACAAAGAACAAACAGTCTATGTGAAAGTTTTTTGGTCTACACAGGACATTCGGTCCTGCGTAATCAATGAACACACAGGACCAAACCAAATTTTGTCAGACCGAAAAACCTGATGTAAAAAAGTGAAATTTGAAAATGCAGAACCAAGGAAATCTTACTTATTATGCTAGTAATACTTAGTACTAACAGCTTTCTTTTACCAGGGATCACTCCTGCACAATACTGTAGACGGTCCATGTGGTTTTAATCACATTCATTTACGTATTTGGATTTGTGCGATTTTTTTTTACTTATAATAATCATTTAAATGACTCTGCGTCAAAATGGTAAGGCTCAAAACCGGACACTGAGACATCGGACATTCCGGTCCAGTGTAAAAAAAAAAATGACTGCATCGGACCAGATGCACTGCACAACGGTCAGGTCCGACAATCCAATGTCTTTTGCATAGACTTAACAAAATACCAGCACAGGTGCAAGTCTATAAAATAAAATATAAACTTCAGAAATAAACCATTCTTTCATATTATGCACTGTAAACTTTTACAGTACTTTTAATATTTTGATCATCAGTCATGCTCTATTTTAAATACTAGAGGAAAAAAAGCTTAAAATATTTTCCATTTTGGTAGAAATTTTCAATTTTTCATGAATTAAGAACAATGATTCAATTCATGTCTAGTGAGAAAATTTTGTAACTTTTAATAGATGAGTAATTACCATGAGTCCAGTTGATAACAAACACTGTTGTCCACTGAAATTAAACAGTTCTAGTTTTTTCAAAATTTTACCCGGCCATTTTAGACCTCTAGTGAACCTTGCTTATTCAGAATCTGTGTTACAGGTTGACCTTCATTGACACTAGTTAGGGGGACAGGCATTAATTAATTCAGTCATCCTGACCATTTGACCCACTTAATAGTTGTTATGACGATCATATCAGCCGACTTTGTTTAAGTTTGTGAATATAAGGCTAGAAATCTTAAAGTCATTGTAACCAGATGTCAGAAAGCAATAACATTACATGTTGACAAGTTTGAGACAAGCACACAGCTAATAAGTGAAGATCTGCCCTGTATAGACAGTGTTAATTGATAACGATGTGTTTGTGTGGGATGTCCATACTGCTGTGATGGAATGGTGTATCTTTTACAAGCTTCCTCTAAATGAAGGTGACTCGTTGACAATGTTGGGAAAAAAGTAAATTAAAAAAAAGCGTACATGAATCTTTCATTAGATGACGACGGCTTCAGGGATTTTATTGTAAGGGAGAACACTTTAATTTGCAGATATATTGGATATTATCTAATTGACGTTTTACCAGTTTGGTTTATAGTGGTGAGTCGAGATGGCTCGAAGAGTCGAGAAAAGTTTTTAAGTGATCAGAGGCAACCCGTAATAAAATTAACTTTTAAATGATAATTCAAGGATAAATTAAGGTTTTGATGGTCTAAGACAAACTCATTTTGTCACTCCTTAAGGAAATACAGTACCTGGTGCTATATATCCATACACCACCTATTGTAAACAATGTAAAATTTGATAATGCTTTGGGGGTTTCAAAAGTCATGAGTGACTAGTATTGTTAAGGTATTATTAATTACTATCTGAATGGGGTTTACATTTTAATTTGAAATGTTAGCCTTAAGATTTATCATAGGGATAATTAAATAGGTCTCACAAGCTGTACACATAAATTATGACATCTGGAGTCAAAGGAACCAAAGAATGTGACCTACCTTTGTCATTCGAACCTGTATCAATATTGGGGACTTAAAAAAAAGATTTTTAAAACATAAACCCCTCAGTTTCCAGACTGACACAAAGTTTCCTGTTTCCATCAAGTGTAGATGATGATGTGATCTCGTGTCGACATCCTGTATCTACATGTATAGATGCCTCATCACAACCATAGGACGATCATACAACTGTTGTTATATTTAAAGCTTACATTATTTTGTGGATTAAACAGACAAAAGCAATTGTTATTTATTTCTTTGTAAGTATTCTTACAAATACACAGTATTGTTTGCAGCCTGGAATGTGCAGTATTTATTGCTATAAACATTATATCTGTGGATGGAGGGATTCAGTATAGTCAGTGTCTTGTATTGTTTATTAAGATAATACTTCCTGGTAATTTCTAAGAAGCAGGGACACTAAGTGAATGGTTATATATTGATTTGATGCACTCTGGTATTTGTGCCAATAACTTTAGGTAGACAGGAGAAGCATTAGTCGATGGTTGTACCTGATAATAATGTCACAGCTGCTTCTTATTACCTAGGAAGGTATTACCACCTCTTAATGGTGCATCTTCCTGGGTTTGGTTGGGAGAAGATTTCGGAATATTAGAGCAAAATGACAATGTTAGACAAAGGTGAAAGTCTGTGAGTTTGGAGTTTGGATTGACAGCTTGTAAGGATAGCAAACATGTAGCAGTTGACTTTAAACCATTGTCATTGATGTGTTAATATTTTCAGGTACATATTGTTTCATTTTCTTGGCATTTTTATGGCCACAACCAAGATTGCTTCTCGTCGTTGTTGTTTTTAATTTACTTAATTTAAGAAATGTATTCCAGTTTTGAAAGTTCATGAGGTTATATATTACCTGAACTCTTTCACCTAGGCATATTTCATGAAGCATGTTACCATATCTTGAAAAATATACCTGGGCAAAAAGTATCCAGTCATATCATAATGAATACATTACTTAATGTTCCAGCTATTCATTTATTTCATTCAAATACACAGAACTTGGCCAACTTTCTAGGGTTTGTTTTCTCCTCTTAGCTTGGAGTAATGCTATCAGACTGCTATTTTACTTGTTAGCAGTTGTGGTTCATGAGGATGTGAACTCGGAATTTCTTTGAAAAAAATCTGAAAGGGAAATCCCAAGTTGTGTGAATATGACAGTATGTTAACTTTGCATAACTAGATATTTCCAGTGTGATATATTGACATTATTTTGTTCGATTTTTTTTTAGGTTTAGTGGTCATTCTATAACATTATACACAGAACCAGTTGCCACAGAGTTTGGAATTATTTGTCAACTGGACAATGGTCAAAAGTCCATGAGTACCATCACTCGCAGACCAGTGGGTAAGTGTTTTCTACCCCATAGTTTTAGTAAGCTGAAGGACTCCTTGCATATTCAATTCTTATTAGTATAATAAAAAAACAGTGTTATCCAAAGTGCATTGTTTGAACCATTTAGAGAAAATGCAATATGAACATTTAATTTTTATCTGAGGTATTTTGTTTATAAGTATGCATACTAATTTACTTTTTATTTAATGTAACATTTACCAATTTTTCAAATTATACAAAGTCGCATATTTAGCCATACACAGAAGTGTTAGCCATACACCGAAGTGATGCAAGTTTATATTTAGATATGTATTAAAACCAATAGGAGAAATATTGATTCATTTTGAAAACTGTTATCATGGGTGTTAGGGCCCCTTAATGAAAGCAATGAGTCCCTTACCAAAATCAATGCATCCAGATATAAGGGTATCCATATGATAGAGGAAATTCTGGTGTACTATAAAAGGTTATTAAACTAAGATTCCATTCTATTGAAGCATAAAGTGGTTTACATTATCAGTGAGGAGCAAGCTAATTTGGTTTTGTGACATGAAAATATTATATCGTCAACTATGCACTTTGGTTTTATTTTTAGATTGCAATTACAGTCGCACACAATATAGTGTTGTACACCAGCAGTTCCATAGCAAACCAATATTAACATTTAATGAAATAAAGTATTAGAATTTAAAAAGTGTGAAATATAGATAAAAAGAATCAAGAAGTCAATACTTATAGGGAAAAATAAGATGATAAAACTGAATTTTAAACAATAAGTCGAAATAATGTGTTTCTTTTTAGATATTTGTGTCATAGGGTGAAAGACTTCTGAAAAATAATGAAGTTTTGACAAAATTAATCTCACTGTAAAGCAAGAAAGACAGCAAAATATGAATGCTGGAAAAACAAAGATCATATCTACCATATCGTTGTTAATATCAAGATCACATGACTTAATTTTAGTGTAAAACTTGTAAATAACATACAAAGGTGAGGCTTAGGTTCTGAGATTGTATCAAAATCCTTGTCTACCGACTTGAGATCATAGTAACCTCATCGATTTTCAATGTATAAGAACAATACATTTATGACTTTTCATTTTGTTGCGTCCATCGAAATGCGCATTTATTGATATCATGCTTCTTGAGCAAAATTAATTTGTAATTTACATAGGACGCATGTCAAAACAAATCACTGAATTCACTATCATATCATCCAAATTTAAATTAGATTTTTAAATTGCAGGGTTGCAGTTGTGGATTAAGGTTTAGAATTTGACATTAGGCTTATATTTGTTCCCTGATATTAAAGAATGAAATTTTGTGCGTGATGGAATGAGAGCCTACATGATCTTAGGATTAGATTAGTTTGTTACATGGATATTTTAGTCCATAGATGTTTTAATCTGATAGTAAACAGGGAAAGCTTTTTTTATGATTTAAGTTGTCCTTAGTACCAGAAAAAGACACAAAACTGTTCTGAAATTCAAGATCAAGGAAGTGTTTTGCACTTATGGAGGCTCATTACACCACTTTTTGATGACGTACTACACAGAAAAATAAACCTCCATTGCTTCATCCGTTTTCTCCTGGGGACAAATTGTACAGGTTCGCTTTGCTGATAATCTAAATCTTTTAAACGCTCTAAAAATAGACAACATGTGATTTTGTAAACAATGAGAACAAGGTAACGGATTCATCATAAATCACAAACGAAGAAGGTTTATTTTTAAGTAGAGACCAAAGAGAATGACAGTCAAATCTTCACTACCAAGTAGTGTACAATGTCATGGCGAAAGCAGCAAGTTCAGTACCACTGACAACATGTACATATAGAGGAAATTCGAGTTGAAATCTGCAACCTCATTGAAATAAATTATAATTGACTGTGCGCTTTTAAAGTACTGTACTCTTGTGGGTTTGTGTGCTTGTCTTTATTTCTTTTGAAAATGTATATTTATTCTAGAAATTTTAGCTTATTCTGCATCTGATATGTTCAACCTTTCCTGAGCATAGGGACTTGAGACAATCTTAGCAAATTCGGGTATATAGTATAATAGGCTCCCCTATTATACTATATACCCGATTTTGCTAAGATTGTCTCAAGTCCCTGTTATACTATATACCCGATTTTGCTAAGATTGTCTCAAGTCCACATGTTCCTGAGTGTTTTGAGTCAGGGGGGTTGAGGAAAGATAACTCTTGCAAGTGGACTTTTTATTCCAATTATTTTTTGAATTGGAATTTTCATTTCCTTAAAGTGACAGTACGGCGCATCTCATCAAAAAACTGACTAGATAAAATTTTCCGACAAGATTTGGAATTTTTTTACCACTCATAAATGTATAAACTTTCAGAAAATTACAACTTTTACAATTAAATAATTTGGATTATTTCATTAAAATTAATAGTTATTTATGGGACGTAAATATATACATCGCAACATGTTCGGGGTTCCACATTCCATGCTATGCACGCATGCGTAGTTTTCATAAACAAAACAGCATGGTTAGAGAGGGAATCCTGGTAGGCCTGCTACATTGACAAAGTAGACCAAAAAGAAAAAGAAACTGAAAATAGAACTGAAAAAGCAACTTTCCTGACTAAAATTTAGTTTGGGGATTAATAAAATCGCTGGATAAGGAAGAAACGGGAACTCGGCGACACTCACGCAGGGCTCTCGAAGGTTCTATTCGACAGGTTTGTTGATACTTCTTATCATTTCTCATTTTTCCGTCGCTTTCAAAGAAAAAAAAAATAATGTAAACTCAACATAAAAAATACATCTTTGACTTATAAACATTGTTGCCATTTGAAATGCTAATTTTTTTTAACTGTGCAGAAAAATATTTTGTTTGACATTTGCCGCGATAACGTATGATTAGTTGGTTTTTCCTTTCTCTGACCCCAATACACAAAACGTAAACATTTGTACTTTTAATTCTGTTAAATTTGCCTGAATGCAGACAAAAGATCTTTACGATTATTATTTTAGATTATTTTATCAGAAAGTTATGATAATTTGTGTTTTTGAAAATTGCTTTCACCTAATATTCATTATAACTGTAAACTCTACAGTGTAGGCACGTGCCGTTTTAGAATTCACGTGGTACAAATAAACAGATCTAAGATTGCTCCAGTTCGTACGACCTTTGATTTTCCGGCAGATTCTAATTACATTAATTTTGTTTGAGTAGAGAATGTTTCTGTTTCTCAAACTGCTCACATCAACTTTATACCTTATTTCTTAATGACATATTGGGTAAATCTGGATGAAAAATCGCACATTTTGGAGCCGTACTGTTGCTTTAAAACAATTTGCATTCAATTTGTCACTTGTTATTCATTAATATACATTCCTTGTCTATTTATAACTGATTTTCCAAATTATTCATGCAAAGATTAAGAAGAAAATCACATGAATTCTTTTTTGGGAGAAAATTATTTTTTCTAATAAAAATAATATTAAATAATACGAAGTGCTACTATATTGCTTACATATCTGAAGACGATATCCATCACTTGACATTGAAATTTCTGCAATACTATTGATCAGAAACTTGAAATCAAACATATAACCAAAATCAGAAAAAAGATTAAAAAATCTTTAAAAATTATTTATCGTATCATAACCTCCATTTGGATATTTGAAATGTTCATAATAAGTGGTACTGTAATGAAATCTAAAATAAACTGTGGGTGTAATGAGCCTCCTTAAATAAAACCAAGATTTTGAAATTTTCAACAAGAAAGACTGGTTTTAATAAAAAATAATGAATAAACAGCTGTGTTATCACATGTACTAAGTTGTGAACATTTAATGTATCACTAACGCAAAGTTGTAGTAAAAGGTCAAGGTCACAAGGTCATTGAGGATGATCACAGTAAAATTAGTTTATATATATATATATATATATATGTATATATATATATATATATATATATATATATATATATATATATATATATATATATATATATATATATGATAGTTACTAAAGATAATAAAATTTAAAACTTTGAATTTTAACATTTTTATACCTATTTTATCAACATTGAATCATGGAATCATGCTTAATTATTGCCGAGAGATGTTGAGATGTCTCTGTTAAGGTTGTAGACATTTACCAACTAATTTCTCCTAACTAAGGTCCTTAAACATGACACTGATCATTTAATTAACATTTTAATTTTCATTAAGATTAATTGTATCTGTCATAATTAAATAGGAACCAGAATAAAAGACAAAAATATGGTTACATGCACAATGTGTAGAAGTGTATACTTGGCATATGTTTTGTGCAAATAGTTCATTGACAGGTCAATTAGTAAATTTTGTCCAGTTGATGTTGTGTCTTATTATATATACATAAATATAAATATATTTGACTGGGTATTTAGATTAATAATTGATGTAAGTGGCTATATATATAGTCCGAGAGGTTTTGGAACTGTAGAGGAAAGGAAAACATGTCTGTATTATTTTATGAATATTACGATTATTATTGTACCAAGTACATTGCCCTGCTGATTTGTGTAGGAGTGATGTAAAGCTAATTTTTCTTCAGATGATTTGCTGTATAATTTTCATCACTCCAACACTAAAATAAAATGAAAACTCTGCAAAAAGGCAATGTAGGCTATTTTGAGATACCAATGCAAATGACAAGAAAAGGACTATAATTTGTTGATTCAATTTATGAAAAGGTTACATGAATCTGAGGTCTATTAATTGATAAACTTGCATCATCAGGTTTAATTGTGCAGATCAGGGATGTAGTCAACAGTAGCATTGTAGCACTGATATCTTTAAATTGGAGTGATATCTCCCTGCTCTGACTACTTACTTGGTTGAATCTTTTCATTACTTCAGAACATATGCATTATATCTTTTCACAGAGGAAGATATTTACATTTATCATGAAATGATCAGTCAGGAGGAAGGGGGAGATAATTCTGTCCAATTGGAATGTCAGACAGTATGGCCTGTCACTGGGACAGAAAATGATACAGGTAAGTGAGGTAGATACAGTGTTTGAAATAACTATGCGCCCGACCGCCCAAGATGCACAAATTTTGCAGCGGGCGAATAAATTTGCATGTATTGACGCCTGGCTGGACGTGTTAAAATTTTTCGATAATAAAAATTCATATATTTGATAATTTTTTTTTCATATCAACTAATAGTATCGGTAGCAAAGTGTAACAAGCCAAGAGGAAGAATTCATCAGTCTATAGATTCTGGTTCGAAGTTATGTTGACCTGGTTCAAGTCACATAATCATTCAAAACAAATTTATAAAATTGACAATTATTTTCTCGGGCTAGTAGATCTTTGGCAGGGCTGGCAACTTTTACTAGCAGTCAGTCCTGCATGTCTGGCTAATTTTGCAGTGAGTTTCAAACACTGGTAGATATCTCAGTAAGTAGAGGGTTTAGTCAAATTAATAATTAAAGTGCTTAATTCTGGTTGCAAATATGTCATTTAAGATTTTTATCCAAGAATCACATGCTAAATACTTACCAAATTAGTCAATATTTATTTGAATTGAATTTTATATATATATATATAAACTTTGTTATCTCAAACTCAATGGGACCAAGAAAAAGATCAAGATATCTGAGGGTTCGAGATATTGAGGGTAAAATACTTAAGAAATATATCCATGTTTGAGATACTGAAGTTCAACTGTATATACTTCTTTGTGTCATTAAGATTGAAGGAGGTATACAAGAGAGAGAGAGAGATAAAAACCTCCTTTTAATGTGTTAGATTACCATAATTAAAGTCTGTGATTTATATGTGTAGGAATACTAGCTGTGAAGAAAATGTCAACTTCTAGTTAAAAGAGTCTCGATTTCTGATTGATTCTGTCAGTGATTAGATTATCACACATAATGAACACACAAGTCTTTTATCCCATACTTATTGATTCATGTTAGCTAAAGCGGAATTTCCTCTTTAGGGTAAAAAATGACCACTCAATACATTCATCTTCTTTCACACTATCTTGTTTGGTCCAATCTGATACAGTAGTAGTGTATCGTATATCTTGTCTGATTTATGTCCAGATTCTGTTATTGGTAAAGGAATTATCCAGACCTCGGATTCTGTTTTATCCACAGAGAGCCAGTCTGTGACTGAGATGGAGGATGGTGAAAACAAGTTGCAGACCATTATAGAAAAAACCAGAACATTGCAGGATGCAATAAAAAATGTCACCAATGATGACCTTGATAATTCCCTGGAAGACCTTGAATCTCCTGGACATTCCATGGAAGATTTATCGGATGTAATGTCCGACAGGGGCGAGATGGATCAGGGAATTTATGGTAAGCTTAAGTAGCATTATCTCTGTGTAATTCAAATCATACATATAGAAATACTGCATCTTTCAATAAGTTAATTTGAAAAAAAAATGATGGTCTGATTATTAAATTCCGTTTACTGCTTTTTCAACTCACAAAACTATATATATATATATAAACTATACAAGATTCATACTTCTGATGAATTACATCCTAGTATGTTACAGAAGATGATTTTCTAGTTTTTTTACTATTTAAGCAATGATAATGTTTTATAACTGATTAGTCATGGACATAGCCAACACAGGGATCGACATTAACGGTTGTCCGATTGCCCGGGACAAGTAAATCCTCATTTCGGGCAAGTGAAACTGTCAACATACTTGTCCAATCGGGCAAGTGAATTTTTCTCATAGAAATGTACATATTTATTAAGTTTACATTAATTTATAAATAAAACAATAAATTGAATACTTGATTTCCGCCAGATACATGTACCTGACTGACATTGATTTACATTAGGAAATCCTTGGTAGCGTTTCTAGAATATACGGACCATTTTAAAAAAAAAAACGGGTTCATTATTTTGTTTTCTTTCGTGGTACGCTCTACGTATAACAAATTTGTTAACTTCTAATTAGGAAATTCATTCACAGAATATAAGTAACACGATGTACAATGTATCCCAATCCAGATATGTATGTTTCATAGCAACTGTCTTCCTTTACTGTTGCTTGTTATCTCTGAAAATCACGATTCACAAAAGGATTCTATGGAATTAATTTTTAAAAATATGAAGTTTATTAAAAGAAAACAGGGATAATGCTGCATGGCAGTGTGTTAACATATTAAATTGACAAGGACATTGATACACATGTACAAACGAAGCATCGAAATTACCTTTTTATGTAGCTCAACTTGCCAAGTTGACAGTAGTGTATTTGGTCACATTTTTTTCTTCTCGGTTTACAGTAATAATATTTTTCTTCCCCAGTTTTGGGCAACCAAGTTTTGCATTCGGACAAGTCAAAGTCTGAGATCACTTGTCCGAAGGGCAAGTAAATCTAAAAGTTAATGTCTATCCCTGCAACAGTAAGCAGTTGTTTGATTACCTTTTTCATTCCTCTTCAATTTAACCGTATTTATAAAATGTTAACTTTTTTTCAGCATTACAATATTAACCATTATTTACTAGCTGAAATATTTTTTTACAAAGCTGTCAAATTTTGGATAGTAATCGATGTTGTATTTTGATAAGAAATGGAATATACCTGAATTACTATAATCCAAACAAAGTTCTGGTTAGAGCCAGTTGTATGAATGAGTAGGAATTATTTATATAGTAGAAGAGGAGATGTAATTAACTCCATCCCCAGAATGCCAATGTTTACTATTAGCAGGAGGTTCACTCCAAACAATACTTTTGTTGGTAGCTGGCAAAACTTTCTCTTAAAAAAAAAACAGCCATTATGATGCATTTCTACCTTTCTTTGCAGCTTGACAGTCAAAATCATCATGTAGTTTCAGAGAAAAAAATTAAACATCATTTATTATAAATAATTTGGAAGACTAACCATTCATTTTTTTTTTGTACAAAGAAAATGCAAGGATATGTATGTTTTTTTTAGGAGTGATTTGATTTCTCAAATCCTACTTCTTTATCATGGTGTTATTTAATTTTTTTTTTTTTTACTTACAGCATCTGAACTTTGGAGATTTGCTAAATTTGGAATTAAAAAAAATGGATTATTTCTAAGAAAGTTGATTCATTTACTTAATCATATTCAGAAGAAAATAGGACCAGCCCCTCTCAATAGCTCAATTTTACTGGAAGTGTATTGTTAACTTCTTATCTGAAGATTTTTCCTCATTAAACTAGTCATCTTATATTCATGGGTCAAAGTTGACTTTATTTTGAAAACTGAATCAGAAGTGATCATTTTCAATTTAGCTTTACTTTTTCAATTTATATGAAGCATTGTCTTGTGATGTGGCTTAAATTTGGTTAAATTCTGGGTCCAAATATGACTGTTTTTAAAATGCAAAGAGACTTTAATCAATTCAGAGGAACATAAACCTACTGACAAGACAAGGAGGTATCCCCGGTGATTGCTGCAGGAGATGATTTCTCTGAGCTGCTGAGAAAGTAATTCAGAGTAGAGAAGAGTGTAGACAGATACACACAGGAAACTCTGCAAAACTTTCGCTTCTTCATATGTCCTGGCTACAACTCCTTGGCCTCAAGAGATTTTTTTTTCGCTAAAATTAATTTCTATGGAGTGTTTTTGTCAAAGTTTTGGTACTTTTAATGTGATATAACGGAAATTTAATTTGTTATAGACGGAACATTGACTGCTGTACAAGGTCTCAATGAAGACTTGTTTAAACTGCGGGATTTTCATCGCAATAAACTCCAGACTCAGGTGAGAAGCTGTTATTTTTATGATTTCTCAATGGTCACCAACATTTTTAAACTTTTCTGACAGAAGAGACTCATGGATTAAAACAGTTAAATGTGAGACAAGAAGTTACATTATTGTACAGAGAATGTAGTTACCATTTGCTTCCATTTAAATTCTATAATTGTTTCTGAAAATACTCAGAATTTCTGAAATTACCAAGTCTGAAATTTATTTCTGTGACAGTTTTTGCTACATTAACAATTATATACAGATATTTATCATTTCTTACGTGTTGTATGTGTAAAATGTTAGTAGACATAATTATCTTGCATTTTTTGACAGTATAATATATATATATATAATTTATAAATATATATATACATTTTGAAGTTCAAAATTCCTTTTTCAGAACATACAGTATTTTAAATATTGATATAATATGAGAAAGAGGGAGAGGAAAAGAGATTCTGATATTTTTTCAATATTTTTTCAATATCAGGTGGATTTTTTTATTAATACAGCATGTAGAAATAAAAGACATGTGATTGCAGGGTTTATTGAGTAGGAATTCAAGTACAAATCTATAACAGAACAGAGAGAAGCTAACTTTTTGATATGGTATTGATGCTGGAGAGATTAAATAAAGATTTGCTGAAGCTCTGTAGCCATTTCAATTAAGTTCCTAGTCTCAGTTGCGTAACATCACCCTTTCTAATGGGATCGTCAGAGCAAAGAAGTTCTGGATTTCTAGATTTATAAATTTTCAAATGAATGATTTCTCTGTCATTGTTTTTGGGAGGAGATATGAGGAAGGGGTGTAGATATTGTGAGTGTTTCCTGGCCCTTTTTTAGAGTAGATATGAAGAAGGGGTGTGTAGATATCTTGAGCTTTCATCCACTTGTCACTGTGTTTATATGTTTTAGCCTAAAGCTTAGGTGCGTGGGGTTATACCAATATATTACATTGTCTGATTTGTTTGACTGAGGTACAAACTGTTTATTGTATGTAGGTGTGCAGTGATGTGCTTTGTCAGGAGTTATATTTGCACTCCCATTACTCAGGGTTTAATCAGTGGTTTAGTGGAGGTATCAGGGTAGTTTTGAACTCTGTTTGGTCCTGGATGGGATCTTGAGAGTATCAGGGTAGTTTTGAACTCTGTTTGGCCCTGGATGGGATCTTGAGAGTATCAGGGTAGTTTTGAACTCTGTTTGGCCCTGGATGGGATCTTGAGAGTATCAGGGTAGTTTTGAACTCTGTTTGGCCCTGGATGGGATCTTGAGAGTATCAGGGTAGTTTTGAACTCTGTTTGGCCCCTGGATGGAATCTTGAGATTCCCAGCAATCACCTGTCAAATGGCTACTATTATTTACGGTCATTATGGGGGAACAAATCTTTCTCATTATCAGTTCCTTTGCAGACATCAAATTTCCAGACTCAGACCAGGTGCTCACTCTGGCATTCTCAGAATTTTCTAAAACCTACTCAAGTTTGGCTTGTTTTTATGCAGTTTCTAAATGAAGTATTTTTGGAACATATCTTTAGGATACTCTGTCCTTAGATTTTTTTATCTTTTATCTCTGCCGAATCAACCTGGAGTCTGGAAAATTTTAAATCATAAAAAGTGTCCTGGAATTTTCACTAGTTGATCATTCTCTCTTATCTGTCATGAATTCTGAAATGACCATAGCTAGATTTTAATTGAAGAGAAAACTTGAGAGGCAGCAGTAGGGAAACTTAGTCAGTACTTCAAATTGAAATAAAAATGGATGGTTTTGATTGGGCACTGAGATGTATGATCCTATCATACCCCCCCCCCCCCTCCCCCCCCCCCTTCACAAAAAGAAAAAAAAAATTAAAAAAAATGAAATCTTGAGGGAGGGCCCATTGTTTTGAAATTATCTCATTATAAACATGTTTCTTTGTGTATCCAATCTCTTTATGAACAGAACAAACTGTATTTAGTTTTCCTGTGAACAGAGCAGTTTGTACTATAACAATAGGATGAAGTCACTGTGATATAAATATACTTTTTGTGGTCAACTTGTCAGGCCTTCACACAATAATATGTGGTGACACAGTATTTAAGCCTTCCAGCTGAATGTTTGATTTTTTCTTATGTATTGATTTTATATATATCATGACTTTGTCTGGTTTTGGAAAAGTTAATAAAAGTTGTTCCTATATTGTGGCTGTTGACAGACAATGTGTGACCTAGGGTAGTTATGGGGACAAGGGACTTATTATACAGTAAAACATGCTTATTAATGATGGGTGATTTTGCTTTGTAATAAATGAAATTCATTAAATCCATTTAGTTTACATATTTTAAAGCCATAGGGAATGAAAATCACTTTGCTGTAAGCATCAGTTCATTATAAGTGTGTACACTGTAAGCCTGTTTTACTGTATACACATGTTAAAGGGAGTACATAGGTTTGTGTTAGGGAAGTCATTAATGCTTGCCTGGAAAGATGAAGTGAAAAAAGATTTCTGGTCTCCAAGTTGGAAGTACATTTTGATTCTGTTCTTTTAAAGCTATAAAGATGTTTTACCTGTATTTTATAGCATTCTGGAGAATACAGACACACTGACTCTGTAGTCATCTTACACATGGAGTCATCATTTGGCAGGACTTAATCAGCAAGTGTTCTGTCCTACAATCTGGCTATTGCATCTATCTATGACAAACTCCAGTGTATTATGTGCCACTAGAGAGAAGAATATATGTCAAATTTTATGAGATCTCACTTGATGAGAAATCTGCAGGAGAGAGAGTGTTCGGATTGAATACTTGTTTCTTGTGATGCTGTTAGGATTTATTTATGTAGAGGGCTGGTAAATGATGATGCATTGTGTCCTGTGTGTCTTGTTGATATGTATCAGGTGTGAGTAGTTTTGTGTGTGTGTCATGCTTCACAGAAGCAAGAAGTAACAAGAGCTAGTGACATGTCTATGTTCTAAACTAAGGTAAGGAAAAACTAAGGCTTCACTCTCTGTACAGGATACCATGTCTGGGACTTAACTGTGACAGGGTTGGCAATAGAGTCAGTTATAAGGTAAAAGGAAAAGTTTGATTATGGTAGTAAATTATTATCAGGTTTTTTTCTCTTGTTTTTGAAATCCGTAATTCCTTTGTAATAGAGAATGTCTAAAAAATAAATCTTTATAGGAAATTCAAGAGTAGAACTTGGTCCTATAGACCAAGAAATGCAATAGACTTTAAGATTAATTTATTTTGCATAAATGTAATGGTAAAGTTGAAAGAAAAGATAATCATTATTAATACATTAGATGTTCATCTTAAGGTGTCTAGATTTTAACCAGAATCAGATAGGCATGTCTATGAAAAGGCTACAGAGTATTGGTGTTCTCTTTGGTAACCGAGCAAAAGTGCTATACTACTCTTGGAATAATTCCATATTGATACCAGCAATATCTTTGCTTTCTGTCATGTTATCAGTTTTTCCTAAACTACAGCCTTTATATTTGGTATAATGCTCATTCATTGGTTCCCTGTGATAACTGATTGATTTTGCATTAATTATAGTTTTTCTTAGATAAAACCAAGAAAAATCAAACATAGTACAGATTTTTCCCTCCCATTCTGATAAATGAAGAAAAGTGCACAAGGTCCTTGGTCATAATCTTGCTTAGAAATTGATAAATGAACCTGTATGCTACCTAAATATTTGCCAAAAAAAATGTGGGCAAAACACCACAATTTCTGTTTTATACACAGCTGAAATGCATTTAATACCTTTTACACCTGTAATGATGGCTGAAATTCGGTTACCTTTTATACTTGTAATGATAAGCTAAAATTCAGTTACCTTTTACACCTGTAATGATTAGATGGAATGCAGTTACTTTTTACACCTGTAATGGTTTTTAAAGTTTAAACATTGCCAACTACTTTTCTCTTTTTAGCTCACCTGAGCTGAAAGCTCAAGTGAGCTTTTCTGATCACATTTTGTCCGGCGTCCGTCTGTCTGTCCGTCTGTCTGTCTGTCCGTCTGTCTGTCTGTCTGTAAACTTTTCACATTTTCGACTTCTTCTCAAGAACCACTGGGCCAATTTCAACCAAACTTGCCACAAAGTATCCTTGGGTAAAGGGGATTCAAGTTTGTTCAAATGAAGGGCCACGCCCTCTTTCAAGGGGAGATAATTAGGAATTACTGAAAAAATAATGGCATCATTTAAAAATCTTCTTATCAAGAACCATAGGGCCAGGAAAGATGAAACTCATGTGGAAGCATCCTTATGTAGTGTACATTCAAGTTTGTTCAAATCATGACCCCCGGGGGTAGGGCGGGGCTGCAATGGAGGATCAAAGTTTTACATAGAAATATATAGGAAAAATCTTTAAAAATCTTTTTCTCAAGAACAGCAAAGCCATGATGAGTCATATTTATATGGAAGCATCCTGAGGTAGTGTAGATTCAAATTTGTTCAAATCATGACCCCCGGGGGTAGGGCGGGGCCGCAATGGAGATCAAAGTTTTACATAGAAATATATAGAAAAAATCTTTAAAAATTTTCTTCTCAAGAACAGCAAAGCCATGATTGGTCATATTTATATGGAAGCATCCTCAGGTAGTGTAGATTCAAGTTTGTTCAAATCATGACCCCCGGGGGTAGGGTGGGGCCGCAATGGAGGATCAAAGTTTTACATAGAAATATATAGGAAAAATCTTCAAAAAATTTTCTTCTCAAGAACAGCAAAGCCATGATGAGTCATATTTATATGGAAGCATCCTTATGTAGTGTACATTCAAGTTTGTTCAAATCATGACCCCCGGGGGTAGGGCGGGGCTGCAATGGAGGATCAAAGTTTTACATAGAAATATATAGGAAAAATCTTTAAAAATCTTCTTCTCAAGAAAAGCAAAGCCATGATGAGTCATATTTATATGGAAGCATCCTGAGGTAGTGTAGATTCAAATTTGTTCAAATCATGACCCCCGGGGGTAGGGCGGGGCCACTATGGAGGATCAAAGTTTTACATAGAAATATAAAGGAA